AAACAAACAAACAAAAAAATAAAACAAAAAAACAACCCAGAAGTGGTACCAGGGTTAGTTAGTTAGGAGGCCCATGTCCTTTATAATTTTATTTTTAAGAATAGTTTTTTCTTTTTTTATTAATTTTACATTGGTATACCGTTAATTCACTGGGAAAACCACCCCCTTCCATTACACACCAATACTGCCATTACTTCTAGCAACAGTAATTCTATAATTCAAAACGTTTTCATTTTCTAAATCCTTCTAATATAAACATATAACAAATATAATATTGTTTACACTTTTGCAACCTGTTACATGGTCCATGTAGAAACAGCACCAGAAAGAGGATAACAAGCCCCCCCCCCCCTGTTTTCTTAATCTAGGAAGTATCAAAACATGATTCTAATAAAATTAGCAGTTTGGATACAAAAGGCAATGATGATTAGCAGTTTTCATATTTAGTGCATTTAGAGGGTTGTCTTTCAAACCTTCTTACATACAATACTTGAAGCAGCAATAATGTAATAATCTACAAAACTTCAAATACAGAAGTCCATAGACTGAGGTAAATGAATTTCAACATGTATAATTATATTTAAAATATCATTGATTGATTCAATCTTTGATATAGACTGATAGATGTTTATCACTCAAATTTCAAGGAAATTTCTTTCTGCCCAGCCCTCAGTTTCATCCTGTAAGATGGTAGTTGACATTGTTAAATTGTTAATGTTTATTCATTGATGATTAGATATCTTTAATCATTTGAAAGTTGACAAGATGATAAATTCATTAGCTTTTTTTAAATGTGGTATTCTACAAACATATGATACAAATAATAAATAAATAGTATGTAAATATTCAAGTTTAAACCCATCTCTACTGTTCTCTTTCATTATATGAGGGTGGCATCTTTAACTCATAGCCTGCCATGAGGCTGCGTGCACGCTATTGTTACTCTGCTAATTCTTGCATGCTAGCACGCATTCGTAATAGCAGTTATTGTTCATGCCCATTGGACTGTGCCTAGTGTTTTGCACGCGCTATTGTTAGTACCATCGCGTTAATCCGATATAAATCTGGCACTGGGGGGATTAGCCCTGTACGTGGCAGGATTAACCATGGTGGTGGGGAGGTAAATTAAGAGGAGCATACGCCATGTCTGGATTTAGTATGCCATGGGAGGTGTGAAAGGGATGGTAATGATGGTCGATGAGGTTGGGATGGCTTAGACAGGGATCATGCGAGGAAGGAGTGTGAATTCCATAAGCCCCCTGGTGGTGATGAGGAGGGTAGTGATAATGGTAAGGGTGGTGTTCCAGCGGTGCATCGTGATGTGGGACGTGGGCGTGGTGGGGTGCAGGCTGGTGGTGCTGGGAGTGGATACCAGCCTGGTGATCCAGCGGTGCATCGTGATGTGGGACATGGGCGTCATGGGGTGCAGGACGACCATGTTCGTGGTGAGACGGTGGCTGAGGGTGGACGCCTAGGGTTTGATCATGGCATGGATTATGAGCGATGTTAACATTGGGATAAGATGCCGCCTGCGAGTGATGTTGCCGATGAATCGCATGACCCAGTGGCCGATCCAGGGGGGGGCCCGGGCCCCCCCCCCCTTGAGAAAAAAAATCATGTAAAATCACGTGATTTTTACCTTTTTGGGGGGTTGGGCCCCCCCCCCCCCCCCCCCTGGCGCTCAAGGGGGGGGGGGTGCAAATTGAATGAATTTTTTTTGAGGATCAAAAAAAAAAAAAATGTGCTCACTACCCCCCCCCCCCCCCCCCCCTGGATCCGCGCCTGGCATGACCATAACTGGTCTTTACCTTTAACAATTGTACTATTTTAACAAGGTACCACAACCCCTTTTCCCAGATACAATGGCATTTGTTATGAAACGTATTAAAGGATGTTCACATAGCTATCTATGCAATTTTATTAAAGAGGAGAAAATGAGTATGTAAAAGTTTTTCTAAATGGAAATGCATTTTCGACCTGAATGATAAGAGTTGGGAAACATATTGTTCCATTGGATTTAATTGTACCATTGATGTGGGCTTACGATGGTTTCAGTTTAAAGTTTTGCAACGCATATTATATACGAACGATCTACTGCTTAAAATGAATTTAGTCCCAAGAAAAGAATGTACATTTATTAATGAACAGATTGAAACAGTTATACATTTGCTATTTTATTGTATGCATGTTAATATTTTGGGATAGGTTGGAGCATTGGATATTATACTGGTACCGGAAATAAATTAACATTTTCATTACAAGATAAATTATTTAGTTAAGAGGTTCAAACAATTATGCATTGAATTGTAGTGCGACTGATATACTGATTGTAGTGCGACAGATGGTGGATTATTTTCCAGGCAAGATGATAGCATACAAAACATCACAAGGTTGAAATTATACTGGTACCGGAAATAAATTAACATTTTCATTACAAGATAAATTATTTAGTTAAGAGGTTCAAAAAATTATGCATTGAATTGTAGTGCGACTGATATACTGATTGTAGTGCGACAGATGGTGTATTATTTTCCAGGCAAGATGATAGCATACAAAACATCACAAGGTTGAAAAAATGATATAACATTAACATAATGATATTTAGCACCAGCCGAAGCCTGAGGATCACCTAAAATAATTTTTAAAATTGTCTAGAGGCTCTCCAAAATTGTCTGTTTTTACAGTCATATGGATACGTTAATGGGAAATTATCATTGATATGAAGGCTAAATCTGGTATATGATACATAAATACAGCAAATGTATGTTACTATACGGTAATATACATGTACATTAAATACTGTTAGGATTGAAAAAAGAGCTGTTCAAGCTATGCATGTATGATAAATGCATGCTAAATGCAGTACGGTAATATTGGAAGTTAGCAAAACTGTATAACATTATTATTAATTCAATTTGAAGTTATCAAAATTATTGATAATTATTATTAATATGATTGGAAGTTAACAAAATTGTGGAACATTATATCGATTCCTACACAAATGTAAAAGACACAGTAATCAAAGTAAGAGGGATATGATAGAACACATTGATAGCGAACGAGAACGTACATTAAATACGAACTTAATAATCACAACATACGCATTAAGAATATATATCAAAGTGTGAGTTATTCTATGATAGAGAAAAAATTGTGAAAGCAAGCTAGTATGCTTCTACAAGGGGAGGCAATTCAAAGAGGAAGTTTCGGAGCACATTCAGAAAAGGAAAGACATTGATACCAAGACACGAGTCTCTGTCTTCCTCTGAGAGGTGCTCCCAAAATCTGGGAAAAACATAAAAACAAGAAAATCTCAAGCTATTGCATCTTGCTAATTCATGATTGAAAACTTGCAAAATAAAATAAAAATTGCCCGACTTTGATAATATTAGAGTTTCGATTATAAATTATTTCAAAACGAAAAGTATATTGTACATTCGAGTTGTACAAATAATAAATTCACAGGAAAATGGTTCAAATTCAGGAATTTGTTTACATCAAATGACATTTTTTTGTATTGTATTTTCTTTCCATGAAAATCAAAAATGAATTATTGAAAATGTGTTTGTTTTCTGTTAACTCAACAGTTCAACAATACTTGTATCCTGAGAAGCCTACTTAAATTTATGTTATAAATGTAAATTACCTTGAATGTATATTTATTTATTTGTTTCAAATGAAAATCAATAAAATTCGACCTGGCTGATAAATCATCTCAAAGATTTTTAACCGTTTTTCGAACGGATCATCGATTGACCAGTTTGTTTTGACTACAGTAAATTATTAGCATTCGCTTTATACTTGATCGTGTGTTTCCATTTCATGCCAATGCTTTTTTGTTGTCTTGCAGGCAACTACTGGAATTTGGTTTCTAAAAATCAAAATATAAAAAAAGAACAGGCAGAAGTCCAGAAATTGTTGAATATAAAGAAGTGAATTTGAGATGTAATGGAGAAGAAATATATATTTTTAAAGAGTGCGGGACAAATTTATGGGAGAGACGGTATTGGCAGCAATAAATGAAATTATTTCAACCATGAGTGAGCTATTATTGCTGACTGATCTTTTTGAATGTGATATTTTTATTATAGCGATTTATACAGGCTGCAAGATAGGAAAGCAAATAATGCAGGGAGGGACAAGCAAAATTAAAGGAGAGGATTATAGAAAATATGAAAAAACATTTTCTAGCACATGTCGTCATATACTCATCACAGGAATAGGTTGAGGGGTAGAGATAGAGGGGTAGCAGACAGAATCAGAGACAGTCGCAGAAAGAAGGGCAGAGAATTAAAGTGAGAGAAAATAAAGAACACAAAGGCTAAAAATCGTTAGAGAGTAAGAGGGAGAGAGGGGTGTGGCCAGACAGAGACAGCGGCGGAAAGATATGCAGAGAGAGTGAACAAAAAGACTGGGGTGGATGGAAGAATGCAAATGCTAAGAATCATCAGAGAAAGAGAGCAAAAAGGAGAACCGGAGAGAGAGGAAGTGAGAGCCAGGGAGAGATAAAGGTAGACAGATAGGCAGGAAAGGTGAAGTTAAAATGCTTGTTACGCTTTAATAGCAATCACTACCATAATTGGCTGAACGTTTGACGGGCCTACGAAGTATAAACCAGCAATCTTGATATTTGTAATATAAAGAACAAACAGTCCTTTCGTAATTATTTTGTTACTCTCATATCTGTTCTCTTTCATTACGTTGTATGTTTCGTTAATCTCTCCTCTTTCTCTGTCTCAACAGTTAAACTCTGTGTTATCTCCCCCATCCACCCTTTCTGTCTCTCCCTCTCTCTGTTTTGCTCTGTTTTTAAATTTTGAATTGGTGCACTTGCTCTTAAAAATGTGAGGAATAATGTCAAATTAAGCTTTAGAGGAATACAGTATGAAAGGAACTTTCTTGTTGATTTCGTGTCAAATGTTATAGGGGCGCAGACATACAGCTCCCCATCATACCTAAAGCAGACTATCGACAACATAAAACTTCGCAAACGTAGCAAATTGGTGAATTTTGAGATTTTATTTTAAAAACATTACTTACTTCTCTTATGTGTTGCGAGATACAAGAAAACAATGTTAGGCACGCCATCCTTAAATACATGTCAGTGTACAAATAAAACTACGGTTATCAAACCTTAAAGGAGCAGTAATGAAGCTGATTGCATGTACATACATTACAAAAAAGAAAAATCACCTAGCTTACTGTAAAACCAGCAATGTCTGTGACACAAAACTTTTGGACAGTGCAAATAATATAAGCCACATCCCCCTCCCCAACAATAACACAAAATTAGTGAATAGGAAAAGTTTGATGTGTCAGATTTCATTAATTTGCTACATAAACCTATTCGGATAATATAGCAACTCACAGAGTTCAAGAACGTTTCATGCATGCAAAATATTTGTGGTGTTACAACATTATGGAAGGCTTGTTGGATTTTGCCAAAATTTGATTTAACTTATGCTTTTAAAACACAATGTTTAATGGCGACCCCTCATCTTAATACAATGTTACATTAATCCGCTAAATTGTATTTTGTATCTTTGTATTTTTTTAAACATTTATTTCCTTCTCAACAGTACAATATGAAACACAATTTATATATAAATTATATATGTAACAATTATTACTAAATATATATGTCTTTCCGATTACATGATACTACAGACATTTAGCACATTAGGGATGGTATTCTGACAATCAACTTTGAAGTACAGTGTAAGTGAAGTATCTCAATTATGATAAAAATTATACTCATCAGAATACTTAAGTAAGTGCCATAAATAAACATGGAGTTGTTAGAAAAATAGAAGTCGACAAAATATCTGGGGCCCATCTGGGTTTTGTGTGGGCCGACTAGAGCCCACGTGGCCCATACAAAAACCACATGTATACCAGATGGGCCTTCCCACCCAGAGCCCACAAGTACCAACACATATGGGCCCCATGTGGTTCCCATGTGGGTTTTTGGTGGTGAAAAGCGCACATTGGCAAATTAACAAAGTCTTCTTATTACCAATGCCTTTACATTGTGTTGTTGCCATTAACAAAATTAATTAGTACAAGTGCTACTTATACCTTAACTTACTAATTAAGCCTTTTAACTGGAGCTTTCAACTGGTTAAAAATTGTGCCAAATGGTACAACAGGTCCAGTTAGACCAGTTAATTCCAACTGGTAACTGAATATGTGACAGTCAGGACTTCATAAACCAGAGAAAATTAAACCTCAAAACCTTAGAAATTTGATGGTAAACAACTGAATTCAACTGGGTAAAAATAGAACCCATTTAAACAATATGAAGCCCATTTAGAACCACATTGGCCCATATGGGGCCCATATAGAACCCACTTGACCCATATGAAGCCCATTTAGAACCCTCGTGGCCCATATGGGCCCCATATAAAGCCCACTTGGCCCCATATGTAGCCAATATATAGAACCCTGGATTTTATGTGGCAAGTCCCACATAAAACCCACATTTGGTAACCCTTGTGCATATTGCTGGGCCATTTGTGGGGTCCATCTGGGTTCCATGTGGGCCCATCTGGGCCGAGTGGGCCCCAGATGGGCTGTCTATCTGGGGCCCATCTATAACCCGGGTGCAGTTTGCTGGGCCCCACAATGCGTCCTTTTGGGGCCCATATACCAGCCCAGTTGTTACTAGATAAAACCCAGATGGGCCCCACAACATTTTGCTATCTGGGAGCCTATCCCTGGAACATCATCACCATCAATTGGTTTATTTATTATGATTTCATGTCCTTTAGAACGCTCACTTTATCATAGACGAGTTTCGCTGCTACAGCATCTTCAACAGCCACTCCTAGAAGATAAAATCAAGATAAGAGCAAGGTCGGTTAAATCTTAGAAAATTATTTTGTCAAGGCCATCAAGGGATAGGATTCAAATTGTTTAAACATTTCACTGGGGATGCAAAGATCAGCCTACTCTCTTTTTACGACACCATGACAATCAGTTGCTTTCATTTGTTATGGTTTCACGTCATTTAGAAGACTGACTTTGTCATAGACCAGTTTTGCTGCTACAACATTTTTAATAGCCACACCTACAAGTTAAAGACACTCAGTAGTCAGATCTCATGGGGAATTCGACACCGTTCGGGTGTTTACCCAATAACAGGTGTTGTCAATCACCAGGGTTAGCCTTCAGTTTTATGACCATTAGACCTGCTTTGCTTTTCCGTCACCCGAATGCTCTCGAGTATTCTCCAAGAGATTAGGGGGGAATTCTTGACTGGCCAACGGGTTTGCTGTGTGCAGATTTGTAATCCCATTAATGGTATTTCCACCAAGTCTAGTGTCAGCGAATTATGTCCTTCTGCACATGGAAACTGACGAGTGACTCCCTTTAAAATCCAAAAATTTTGAGAGAATTCCAACCCATGTATATTGTTTCCAGAGACATTCCATTTTATTTGAATTATAAAAACAATGGAGCATAAAAAGAAAAATATTGTTGCCAATTTGAAGAATAATATGTGATCAATTCAGCACAAGGAAAATATCCGTCTTGAAAGGGACATACGTGTACTACACAAATGACTTTGTACATTATTAATCCCCTTTATAATCATTACAAGAGCATGAGATTTAAATACATGTACTACAACTAAGGGATTTTTTATACATGTATCTGTAAAGCGCTTTAAGAGGGCCTTTGGTCCTGAAAAGCGCTATATAAGAACTAGCTATTATTATTATTATATTATGAACATGCATGAAGTGCCTAATTTTATATAAAAACATGAATCCATGATTTCTAACATCAGAATTGATGAAGTTGCTTTGAATCGCAAGATCGACAAGGTCTTCTTGTATTCGAATACAAGTAGAAGTCTAAACCATTTTGTAGCTACATGTACAGCAAGTAATGTTGAAGCAGTTGATATTTACCTTGAGATTTGAAGACCGTAATCTCGTCTCTTTTGGCTTCCTTGGTCCCATTAATCACCTCTCCAATCTCTGCAAACACCGTCACCTTCAAGATAATTAGCGAATAAAGAAAGACACTTCAAATGTGTAGCTTAGCAAAGCACAGTCGTGGCACGTTATGATGCGTTAGGAATGTCAAAGGCATAAAGGTTGGTGATATTGGTGAATTTAAACTTGTAATTTCGACAATATACAATGCCACTTTCCGTACGTTAGCATGATCTTTATAGTAAATGTACACTGTACATGTATTTTCTCTGAGTCAATCCTACATGTGATTCTAATGTTCTACCACCTTGCCGCAAATTACGATTGCCGACAAGTGCTGTCTTTACATACCAGCACCTTTAAAACATGGCTGTCAACTTTGGGAAACTGCTTGGAGGGAGTTTTTTTTTGTTGGAGAAAATATTAAGTGCCAAATCTAGCCAGCTGCTGAATGCGGAAAAAGTTTCGCAACGACTCAGCCAGCCGCTGAATAAGCCGGGGGGGGGGGGGGGGGGGGGGGGGGGTAAAAGTAATTTTTATTTGGTTGCTTGCTTCAATTTTTTTTTTTTTGTGGTACGGCTTGGCGGGAGGTTTTTCATAAACCGGTAGATTCTACATCGTTGGCGGGAGAACAGGAGGAAGGCGTGGTGGCGGGAATCTCCCGCTACAAGCTTTTGGGGCAGCGGAAGAATGAGCGTGGTGGTGTGAGACTCCCTCCAATTGCCGGAGGGTTGACAGCCCTGTTTAAAACTAATGTAATAAAGGTAGTGGTGTATACACATGTACAGATGTTGGGGAGCTACCGGTATTAAATATTTACGAAACGTCCTATTGTTCCGCAGCAAGTGCTATCACGCCAAGACATATGCGCATGCGTTATAGCTTCATTGCAGTCTTCCTGTTTATATGCTATTACATGATTCAGGAAGTAATACTATTAATAATAATAAATTTATATAGCGCAACTTTTATACAAAATATATCAAGCTGGGCTGGTTCAGAGCTCCCTTTTTTACTTAATTCTACAAAATAGAATCTCTCAATTGAACAAACATTTTAATTTGGACTTGAAGACATTGAGAGTTGGAGTGCTTCGTATTTCTATTGGCAAGCTATTCCATAGTTTGGGGGCAGCAATAGCATAATGGTCCCCAAGAGTTACTTTAGTTTTGCCATGGGGAATCTGGAACAGTAATTTATCTGTGGAACTGCGCAGGCTACGACTGTGTGAATAGACTTTGAGTTGAAGTAATTCTGTAATGTAACTATGGGCTTGACCACTCAATGATTTATTAACAATTCACAACTTGTTTTTGAAAGAAATTCTTTGACGGACTGGCAACCAGTGGAGCTCTCTCAGAAGAGGTGCGGTTGAAGTGAATTTTGATTGACGATAGACAAGTACTAGTACAAGTACAAATACAAGTACCACAAATGAGGGCGCCCTTTCCCGATTACGTGACAGTCAGGACTTCATAAACCAGAGAAAATTATTCTCAAATCCTTAGAAATTGGGTTGTAAACAATTTTTATAGAGGTCAGATTCTTCAGTTAAAACCACAGGAGTTGGGAATCCTATATGTAGGAAACAGCTGTCATCAGATTGGACACAATCATGTAAAAAAATAATAATTTAAAAGCTCAATTTCTGAGACAAATTTGCTCTCAGCCAATCAAATGCCACGATTATTGTTACTTGTTATTGATGGTCTAAGATCTGGAAGCACCAACCGTCATAAAAGGAAAAATTAAGTATCATAACAAAAATCTATGAAGAAATGAATGCTAAATGTTTATAATTTGAGTGCTTTGTAAGAATAAAAAGCAATAGTACCTTGGATAGTAATGGGCAACTAAAGCTGTGGAACTCTAAATTCAAACTATTTTCTCAAGAAGTACTGATTGGTCTTACATTTCAAACTCAAGTTTGTTCAGTCTTATGGAGGAGCAGAGAGATCTTAAAGACCGTCAATACTACTGGGCCAGAAGGGATTAGACTACACAGCGAGGTCACTGACAGGTGGCTATCTCACTAACTCAGCTCTCAACTAACATAAGAAAAAGAGGATCATGGGGGACCAACAGGCACCGATTGGGGAAGTTTTCTATATAGAGGGAGCAAGTAGCTACAAGTAGGACAGTGGGGCTTTAAGCAAATAATGATTTTTTTTTTTTTTTTTATATATTTTTTTTTTAGTGTATATACTATTACTACGACCATCAAGATATGCAATTTATCACGTGACCTTATTTAGATCAAACGTGTTGCAAGGTTTTGTTATGTGGGATATAATGCTAATTACCTTGGAATGGACGATGTCTCCAGACTCCTTATATGCACCTGGAGTGTTATCTGTGTAGACTACAGCCTTCTTCATCACCTCAGCGCCCAACTCCTGAGCCCATGGTACGCAGGCCCCTACACCTGAATCACAGTGAGATGATAATAAGAATAATTCCGCTTTTATATAGTGCTTAATATATCTATGATGTCTCTAAGCGCTTTACAGATATACTACTATATTATTACCCAGGTCATTGGATTCAATGTATGCACAATCTCCACTCCCTGGGGAGCATTCCAGCCAGGCATTACCTGACGCTCAAAACTGTTTGATCAACAATGACGGTCGCATCCTACCAGGTACCCATTTAACACCTGGGTGGAGAGTAGCAAGCGAATATCTTGCCAAAGGCTATTAGTGCCGTGTTGGGATTTGAACCATCGACCTTATTCGCATCTCCAGTCAAGTGCTTTAAACCACTCGACTACGACACTCCTACATTTGATCAAAGAGAACTGAAATTCTCAAAGTACTGTACTCAGGTCATATAGCAGCGTATCAGCATGATTGATCTTGTACCATGAATTCAAAATATGTCTTATATCACTGGTGCTTAAATAATGGCCTGTGGGAGCCAGTGACCACAAAAAAAACAAGTAAATAATGCCTCCGGCACCACCTTTGATAGTGAAGGCATAAAAAACTCCAACCAAAAAGAGTTGTTAAGTTCATTTTCATGCTTGAATTGGATACATAAACACGGACACCGATATTGAATAAATGTCAGACAATTTGCTTGCTCGCTTTGCTCACTTGCAATTATCCCATCATTGTTATCCGACACAAGATACCATCATGTATGACTTGAAAGACGTTGTCAATAATTACATCAAATGAGGAACAAATTTTTTTTTTTAAATAGGCATTGTAGTTGTAGTGTATTATGGCAGAGGAGAGATGTATTTTTATTATGTAAGTTGTCATGAAAAAAACTGTAATTGCATGGAATTAACACGCATCTATGGCGCTTGCATACATGTAGATGTCTTTTTTAACTTTACATGAGGGCACAAAGCTTTGTGTAGACATCAACCCAATGACTTGTCCTAGTTTTTTATTTCAGACAATCGATATTAATAATAATAATATTCCGTGTTTATATAGCGCTCAATACATCGATCCACCGATGTGCCTAAGCGCTTTACAGATATATTATTACCCCGGTCGTCGGATTCAGGCCTACCCGCACACAATGTATGCACATTTTCAACCAACATAAAAGATAACATCGTTTTCAGAATACCACCCCAGAAGTTCATGTTTTACTGTAAAATAGAAAAGCAAGATCATGTAGACTACTTACAATTTATGTGAGCACTGGGTTTCAGCCAGCTAGACTCTAATACAGGAGTATGAGAAGAAGTGCATGTGGCAATTACATCTGCGCCAGTAACTGCCTCTTGAGCTGTTTCACACGCTTTTACATCAAACTTCTGGGCAAAAGCCTGGCATTTCTCAGAAGATCTTGTCCAAACTCGTACCTGTATCAAAGAGATCAACGTGATATCATTTGGTAAGCAGTTTACAGCTTTGTGTCTGAAGAATTCTTTGTTGATCAAATGATCCCAGGACCAAAATCCAATTGAAACCAGTTGAAATCTCCAACTGGTTTCAATTGGTTTCAACTGGTTTCAATTGGTTTCAATTGGTTTCAATTGGTTTCAATTGGAATATAAAATTTCCAGTTAAAACCAATTGCCGAACTGGAAAATATTGTTATGGGTACTCATTTCCAGTTCAAACCAATAAGAAGTGCAACTGGAACCAGTAAGGTAATTTTTCCAGTTACTCAATTGGTTCCAGTTAGAAGTCATTTCCAGTTACCCAACTGGTTCCAGTTAGAAGTTCAACTGGAAACAGTAAGATGATTTTCCTGTTACTCAATTGGTTCCAGTTAGAATTCATTTCCAGTTACCCAACTGGTTCCAGTTAGCATTCATTTCCAGTTAGAAGTCATTTCCAGTTACCCAACTGGTTCCAGTTAGAATTCATTTCCAATTACCCAATTGGTTCCAGTTAGAAGTCATTTCCAGTTACCCAACTGGTTCCAGTTAGCATTCATTTCCAGTTAGAAGTCATTTCCAGTTACTCAACTGGTTCCAGTTAGAATTCATTTCCAGTTACCCAATTGGTTCCAGTTAGCATTCATTTCCAGTTAGAAGTCATTTCCAGTTACCCAACTGGTTCCAGTTAGAAGTCATTTCCAGTTACCCAACTGGTTCCAGTTAGAATTTATTTCCAGTTACTCAACTGGTTCCAGTTAGCATTCATTTCCAGTTAGAAGTCATTTCCAATTACCCAACTGGTTCCAGTTAGAATTCATTTCCAGTTACCCAATTGGTTCCAGTTAGCATTCATTTCCAGTTAGAAGTAATTTCCAGTTACCCAACTGGTTCCAGTTAGAATTCATTTCCAGTTACACAATTGGTTCCAATTGGAAATATTTCCAGTTACCCAACTGGATCCAATTGAAACCAGTTAGCCTAATTTGCATATTATCTGCTTGTGTGCAGATCAATGTTTTATGTAATTTATTTTGATTTACAATGTACTTATTAATTAATTTTCATTTGCAAGTAATGCATTTGTTTTAGATAATTATAAAGATTAATTAGCAATGATAAGCATGTTCATTAGTAACATATTTTTGTAATTACACAGATTAAAAGTTGATTAGTAAAACACTAACCATGTACAAAATACATCAAATACAAACATATATAATGGCAATGCCTTCGTTGTGAAGTATATTATATGGTCTGCACATTATGATGCCCTTTACATTGTACTTAATGTAGACACATATAACAATGCTTCTGTGTTGACATGAGCGATAATTAGTGCAAGCAGGCGCGGATCCAGGGGGGGGGCCGAGCGGGCCTTGGCCCCCCCCCCCCCGCAAAAAAAAAAAAAAAAAAAAAAAAAAAGAGAGAGAAGAAAGGAAAAGAAGGGAAAGAGAAAGAGGAGAGAAAGGGAAAGAAAGAAGAAGAAGAAGAAGAATAAAATAAAAGGGGGAAGAAGGAGATCGGGGGGACCGAAAGGGCCTTTCCTCCCAGGCTGTTGACCCCCCCCTCCAATCAAAAAAATAAGAGAGAAGGATGGAAAGGGAAAGAAAAAAGGAAAAGAGGAGATACTGGCGTACTAATGGGGGGGGGGGCTTTGGGGAAATCAAATTCAAACGTGGTTTATTTATAATTCCACAACGGTGGATTACAAATAATGCTGAAATGACATAATTTCCGAGATTTGTCCTCACTTTTTAGTAAATTATACGTTTGTATATGTGTTTGTTGGAAAATGACAAATTCCTAAATTTACAGCCAGGCACGAAATATGATTCTTGAGATTCCTACATGTCAGGGCCCGAGGTACGGCAGGGATCGGGAGCCTCGAGCTCCCTCCCCCTCCCCACTTTATTTGAAAAAGTATATTAAAGAGGAAAAAAATAGAATGAGCGCAAGAAAGAACGAATAGTTAACTGCCAGTGTTAAAAAATGAGTCATCAAAATATGCTCATCTGACCGTGATTAAATTCGTAAAACCCTTAAGCTTCCGGGGCTCTGCCCCCTGGATTCCACCTAGGGCGCTACGGCAGGCCCTTAGATGCTCATCTGACGGTAATTTAATGCCTAAAACCCCGCTTTTGGGGGGACCCGCCCCCTGGACCCCACGCCAAATAGTGACCTGCCAGTGTCACAAAATAATAGGTATTAAAAAAAAATGATCATCTGACCTTAATTAAACGCCTAAAACCCCTGAGCTTCCGGAGCCGGACAAGTTATCAAAATGTGTTTATCTGACCGCAGGCGCGTAGCCAGCCAGGGGGGGGGGGGGGGGGGTCCCCCAAATCGGAAGAGGACGTAGAAAGTAAAAGGAGCAGACAAAGAAAATCTTTGAAATTCAGACAAGGATTAAGAGTATAGAGAACGGTACAACGTATCGTCTTCTTTCTCTAATAATTTAATGAAACGTCAAAGCTTCGCGCAGGAGGGGAGGGGGGGGGGACTGAATTCAGACAAGGATTAAGAATCGAGAACGGTACAGTGAATCGTCTTCTTTCTCTTATAATCTTATGAAACGTCAAAGCTTTTGCGCGGGAGGGGGGAACCTGAATTCAGACGAGGATTCAGAGGCGAGAACGGTAATAATAATCTTTAATGAAACGTAAAAGCTTCCGCGTTTTGCGCGAGGTTGGAGGGGGAACTAAATTCCGACGAGGATTATTTTCGAGAACGGTACAACGAATCTTCTTTTTTCTCTATTGATTTAATGAAAATTAAAAGCTTCCGCGCGGGGGGGGGGGGGACCTGAATTCAGACGAGGATTAAGATTCGAGAACTGTACAGCCAATCGTCTTCTTTCTCTCATAATCTTATGAAACTTAAAAGCTTCCGCGCTTCGCGCGGGAGGGGGGGGGGAACCTGAATTCAGACGAGGATTAAGAGTCGAGAACGGTACAACGAATCTTCTTCTTTCTCTAATGATTAAATGAAAAGCTTCCGCGCTTCGCGCGGGAGGGGGGGGGGGGACCTGAATTCTGGCGAGGATAAAGAGTCGAGAACCCTACAACGAATCGTATTCTTTCTTTAATATTTTAATGAAACGTCAAAGCTTCCGCGCTTCGCGCGGGAGGGGAAAAACTAAATTCAGATGAAGATTTTGAGTCGAGAACGGTACAACGAATCGTCTTCTTTCTCTCATAATCTTATGAAACTTAAAAGCTTCCGCGCTTCGCGCGGGAGGAGGGGGGGGGGGGAACCTGAATTCAGACGAGGATTAAGAGTCGAGAACTCTACAACGAATCGTCTTCTTTCTCTCATAATCTTATAAAACTTAAAAGCTTGGGGGGGGGACCTGAATTCAGATGAGGATTAAGAGTCGAGAACTCTACAACGAATCGTATTATTTCTTTAATAGTTTTAATGAAACTTCAAAGCTTCCGCGCCTCGCGCAGGAGGGGGAGGGGGGGGGGCTGAATGTAGACGAGGATTAAGAGTCGAGAACGGTACAACGAGTCGTCTTCTTTCTCTAATGATATAATGAAACGTAAAAGCTTCCGCGCTTCGCTCGTGAGGGGGAACCTGAATTCAGACGAGGATTAAGAGTCGAGAACTCTACAATGAATCGTCTTCTTTCGCTAATAATTTAATAAAACGTAAAAGCTTCCGCGCTTCGCGCAGGACGGGGGGGGGGCTGAATTACGACAAGGATTAAGAGTAGAGAACTCTACAACGAATCGTCTTCTTTCTCTAATAATTTAATGAAACGTCAAAGCTTCCGCGTTTCGTGGAGGAGGGTGGGGAAAAACTCGCCCCTCTCTGCACCGACCCCCCCCCTCCGCATTACGTCACTGTTGGTCATCGTTACGTACCAATATTTGCTCGCATAATTTCAAATTTGGGCCCCCCCCCCCTAAGAAATCCTGGATCCGCGCCTGGTGCAAGAGCTAATTAACTTATAACTAATTAAGTTTATGCCAACTGTAAGTTTCAATTGGATCCAATTGAAACCAATTGAAACCAGTTGAAACCAATTGAAACCAGTTGAAACCAATTGAAACCAATTGAAGCTAACTGGTTTCAATAGGGAAATTGGAACAACTGGTTCCAGGTGAAACCAATTAGGCAACTGGAACCAGTTGGCAATTGGTTTCAACTGGTTTCAATTGGAACCAGTTGGCAATTGGTTTCAACTGGTTTCAATTGGAACCAGTTGGCAACTGGTTTCAATTGGAACCAGTTGTTCCAATTTCCCTATTGAAACCAGTTGGCAACTGGTTTCAATTGGTTTTGCTCCAATTGGTTTCAACTGGATTTTGGTCCTGGGCATGTCACAGGAACTTAAAACATTTGCATGTAAATAAATGGCAAATTGTAATACAGAAATGAACCTGTACACAATGAAGATCCCTGTAAAGAGTAACTATTCATTTTAAGTGGTTTATTGATAAGAAATCATTCGCAGCCAGATGGCTGAACTGCAGATTCTTTTAGAATCATAATAGATCAAAATGGATACATGAATTACATGAATCTCCTCTGCCACGCGATGCGAATGTATCCCCGGCACTGGCTGTGATTTTTGTGTCATCCTTATGATCGAAGGAGGGACAAAGATCCCCTCTCCCCTCCCTGAAACAAAAGGATGACATAGAGATCGCCACTAGTGCCTCGGACTATTGTCAAGACTAAGATTAGCATCACCAAACACTAAAGAAATCCGTTAAGAAATGTGGCAGTTAGAGCGCATAAAAGACATATGACCTTGGACAGAACAATGAAGGCAGCATCCCCCAAAAGTGGCTTATAACAAAAACTGTCATTTGTCACTGATGACAAGTTTTGTGAAATGGGGCCCTGATACAGACCTCTCTAATTGTCGTCATATGCTTCAAGGCATGAAGGTGAGCCACGGCCTGGGACCCTGCTCCAAGAATTGCTAACGTCTGCCAGCCATCCCTCGCCAGGTACTGGAATGAAAAATGGAATAGATATTGCATCATTTATGTTTTGATGATAATTATAGGATAACATCAATGATTATCATAAAGAAATAAGAGCAATAACAAATTACAACAGGAACAATAAAAATATTAATCATAATTATAAGAAGAAGAAGAAGAAAAAAGAGAAGGAGGAGTAGAAGAAGAATATTATTAATGATACTACTACAGTTCAGCTCAGTTCAGTTTTATTTTATTTTTGCACGGCACCCACTTCAGCCAAAGGCTGTTCTTCCACAGGTCCATGCACAATGAAAGTATGTGTACAATTATAAGTTGGCTCTACTACTAATAACAATAGACTTAGGGGCACTAAACAAAACAAAGCATAGAAATTTGAATAAAATAAAACATTAAAACCACTTAGAAAAACTAGGTCACAATAGATCAATGAGAATTAAAGATATCAAATTTTGTTTAAACCTTCAGGAGAATCTATTCAAAAAATATAATTAGATTTGTTTTCATTTTTGTATTTATACATAAATATATTCATATTGGGGGGGGGGGGCAGGTGGATAAATTCACTCAACTTACAGGCACAAAGGCAAAAAGTCCAGACGCATGAGTACAAAGTGCTAGAAAGGAAAATCATTGCTAGGAGGATGAAACCACCACAAATTTTGCAAGTGGTCGATATAAGTGAAGAAAATGTCATGCCTAAAAAATGATTGTATAACAACTAAAGCCTTCAAATATTAGGGATGAACCCATTGCAAATACCATGTTGAGTGAAAGATATTGCCGTCTTCAACATGGTAAATTGATTCCTGTTGAGTCTAATGTCAGATATGATTTCTTACCTTCGTGGCTACGGCTGATGCTGCGGCGGTTCTCATAGCAGTAATGTGCTCTGCATCCATTACCTAGTAAATGAACAGGAAGGTACGTACGTAGCTTAGCAAAAAAAAACGTCCAGAACACAAAATGCATAATGATGGAAAATTATTACTTAAAGGCCGTCTCACACTATGACGAATAGGGGGTACCACAAGCTACGATAAGCTGCGAATTGCAATATTCAAATTCCCGCCAATCATTGAGTGTTGTCTTCAATTGTCGCTGACGACTCCGCTAGCGACCGTAGACGGTCAAAATTATCAGTCGCGTCCGTCGGCAAATTTACAGCGTGTTGATAATTTTGTGGTGGCAAAACGTCCGTCGCCTTTCGCAGGGTCTTTGCCGCTTCAATGTGAACCGGCCTTTAGAAATAGAGTTAGAACCATCATTACGACATGTAGCTGGTAAGTAACTCTATGACCTTGATTATAAAAGATAACACCAACGATGTCAATGATTACGAAGATTCAGGATTCAGGGCTGTCAACTCTGGGGAACTGCTTCGAGGGAGATCGAATGCACATAAAGGAACATGAGGATTCTTTCTATATTGTTATAATGCATTGGATTTTTAATATGACAATGGAAATAAATCAACCAACAAAAAAATACAGAGTAGTAATTTACTTACTGCTCTGGGTACTCCCGTCGTTGCATCATTCAAAATAATTGTTCCCATATGGGAAGATAAGTTGTTCTTGGCATTGTTGGGGAAAATGGCAACAATCTTAGTCGCTATGATATTATCTGCTGAGCTGACAACAGGCATTACAAACACATGGCTGAAGAAAGAAACATAAGAAAACAGTTTTTCAGAATATATTCCCCCTCCCCTCTTTTTTTATTTTCCATGCTCGAATGAAATAGGACATGCTCATAGCTATTTGAGAGGTACAGTTATGTCACAGGAAGTGTTTGCTGATTGGTAGGTCACTTCACAGAGCTCCAAAGAGTTTCCTCCCATGGAAATTGAAAAATGGGAAGGAACTGTTTGGATCCCCGTAATATGACCTATGACCCTAACTTACAGCTTTGGATTTTCCGGTCCGGGCATCATGCAAAATGATCGTTCCAAAATGTGTGGGTAGGTTGCGCTCAGTGTTGTCAACGTAACGATTGATAATCTTTGTTACAATGACATTACCAGCAGGACTAAAAGCAGACATAACAAACACAGAACTGAAGAAACAATAAAAGCAAAGCAAAGCAAAAAAACAGAGTAAAGCTGGTGAAATGTACACATGCAAAATTAAAAAACATTAGAGGGAAAGGTGGGTTCTTGTTTAAGACCACTAATGCCTTCAAAGTACATGTACATGGTTATTGCCCTCATTCTTTTTTATGACATTTCTAGTGCCCTTTCAAAACCTAAAATTGCTATGAAGGTCAGTTTAGACCCCAAATATGTGAATTTAGATTGAATACGATACCTATTCAGCTCCACTTTAAAAAAATATGGTGACCGTTAATTGGTTAATTAATTAATAATAACAATACACGGGCCGCCTGGTAGTGCAAATTATAACCGACACAAAAAAGCCAACAAAAACCATCAAACAAAGATGATTTTGTCATTTAAATTGTATATTCTTTCACATTTGACACTCAGTTTTTCATCTCAAAATTAAAAAAAATCTTTTTGTGTCACGCCCTCTGCAACAAAACTTAACTACCAGTATCCCTTCAACCCTAACAAAGTGGATTTGAATTAATATAATTAAGAATAGGGCCAGGGGGAGGTGGGGGTGCGGGGGCATGAGTTTCACTTTATGCCTTGCGTATCTATTAATTATTTCATCCAAAAGTGAAAATCTCTTAATTACAACCAATGACAAATGGGTCTTTCTGGTACCACTGGTAATTTTTTGGATGAAGTAAATGAAATAAAAACATATGTTGTATGGGACACATTACATGGAATCCCCCTTCTGTACAATTTATCATACAGTTTATGAAGAAGAAAACTGTTTAATTTTGTAGATTACATTTTATCTCATTCCGGGGAAGACATGCAAAGAGAGCTGTAATACCAGAAAATTTCACCTGCAAGTAATGTGTGGGAATCTCGCTAGTGGCCCAGATTTGTTGATGTTTACTGCCATGTAAATTTATTTATGTGTCATTTAACACTACACTACATTTTCAAAATCTATGAAAGTTTCATTCTGGTCTCCTACTACAGCAGCTGCTATGAAATTGCTAGATTTAACCGTTTTATTTTGTTTTTCTTTAAATATCTTATAACTATAATGTAAACTAATAAAAAAATAACCTCTCTCCAATATATCTCTAAGGCACCAATCTAAAACAGCTATCATCTTCATGTTGCAAATTTTTCTGGTTTTACACTTGCAGCATGTATCTTGACTTAAATGTAATAATAAAATGGATTGGGTTATGTGGCTCACATGTACTGAAGGCAAATGTGTTTATAAGCGAAGCTGCAGGAGGGAGGGGGAGGGGAGGGGCACCGCTTCTGAAGATGAAAGAAATGAAAAGATGATTGCAAAGACTTCATAAAGGATCAAGGCAATGTCAATACCCTTCCGCAAACAGTACACCGATATATTTTGTTGACAAAAGCAGGCAAAGAGTTTTAGTGATTCCAAAGGTTAGATCGGCCTTTAACCCATAGCAGTTCAGAGTTTTCTTCCTTTCTAGATTAATCAGTTTTCCCTCCTCAAATTGGCGAAGGTAGTCTTCTTATCCATTCCTTCAAAGTTTTGCAAAAAAAAGTGTTCACGAACCAATGTGAAAGCAAATTGTAAAATGTTATTCCCAAAATGGCAATATTTTGTAGGCTAAAATTGTGATTTTATATATTCCAGTGTTGCCAATTTAGAGACTTTCATGATTAGTTACAATTAAATTGCTTTTAATTGAGAAATGCACAACATACTGTATTTGAAATAGACTTTACATTTTTTGTGATTTTCGCTCTGCCTGCTCATGTATAATATGTAATTCCTTGTTTTCACATAAAGGAGACAATGTTCTGCTATGGGTTGACACAAAGAAGTGTAAAAATTACTAGGTATTTTCGTAATATAATCAAAATTATCAAATTCAATGCATAAATCTTTATTAAGTGCCCTGTTTTTTCTTACAGATTATTTCATTCACCTGCGACAGATAATTTCAAAAGCCAGAATTACATAATTGTTGCTAGTCCAGACAAACATCATGGCATGTCCACCTAACAACACGGAATGTATACAATTTGCATTCTAACAACGATTTATGCATTAAATTTGATTACATTATAAAAATGGTCTACTCCAAGCAACTGACCCATTATGCTCTTCAATTTTCATCATGGTTCTCTGTGGATATATTCCTCCTCCCCCTCCTTCTTCGTTCCTTTTAGAAAAGTTCCCAAGACCTTGTTCCACGGCGGGTATGAGATCCTTGTACGTCAGGTTTTCGACGACTTGGGCGGGGCTGATCAAGCATGGTTGGGGTGATGTATGGGCCATTTTGTACGGAACCTAGAATTCAGAATATAATTAGGTCAGTCCGTAACAAATCATTCCAAATTGTTTGCAGTTTAAACCCTACCCCCTTCTAAATGGCTTAAATTCAGTCTACGGTGTGACTGTGACTTTTTAAGATTAAAATTCTAAGTTTAAAGATAAACTTGAGTACTGGTAATGCGATTGCATTGTGAAAGAAAAGGTGTGGAATGGATCAGAAAAGTTGATCATATAGCATGTAAGTAATGGTGTGTAATGCAAGGTTCTAGAGTCATCAAAATCATCATAAATTTGGCAGAGTCTTGGTAAAGTAACAATCACTTACACAGATAGATGTATATAGGACAACACACATGGTGTTGGGGCTAGTACTACCCTGATTTCCTTATCTTTCTATGCTCATTACTCAGCCAGTATACATTTTCTTCCAAAATTGTTTGGCACATGACATTTATTTGTAATCTTGAACATTCAGTGTAAGTTTCGTTAGATTCTGTGAGAATTCATTTTCTTTTTTTACCAGAACTCAAGTTTATCTTTAAGCTTTACCTAGCCAAATGTTATGTGTGTTGAGGCACATGCATATTCTGGTTGCATGTTGGCCCAAAAATGACACGTTTCACTTTTCAAACAACCATACCTCAAGAACTTGGATCTATGTGTTTTATAATGAGACATACACTACATGTTTTTGTATTATATTGACGTACATAACATTGTGTTTCGGAGGGTAATACATGCAACTGTAAGATGTCTAAATTTAGCATTATTTTTCATATCCAGACATTGTAAAGACTTCATAACAATAATAATAATAATAATAATAGCCTAATAGTCCACTCCAAATTTTATTAAACCGAAACGGAAATTCTTTTTGCCTAATTGATCGTGAGCCCGGCAGCCACTGAGCAGCGCAAGATCGACGTTGCTCTATCCCTTATTGTTGAACGCCAAACAAGGTAGCAACAACTCCCATCTTTTAACGTCTTTTGGTATGACGCGGCCGGGGTTCAAACCCACGACCTCCCGGTTGTGAGGCGGACGCTCTACTGACTGAGCCAACACTCCGGTAAAGGTAATACAAAGTCTTGGGAAATTTTGAAAATTGGGTGGATATAGTGATTCTATACAATTTTGATATATTTGGATGCATCATGCCCCTGTGGATGTTGTATAAGCACTAGAAAATTTAGCCCCTAAAACACTTCTGCTTTCGAGAAAAATTTAATATAAAATTTACTGGTGCTCTCGATAAATTTCAAATAGCGCCTACGACGTACAATGGTAGCTGGGACCATGAAAATCTCAGAATATGTAGTTGTGTCATATGTAATTTCCAAACAGGAATAGCTAATTGGTCGATTTTAGTCAAGAAACATTGTTTTATAGCTTAATTAATATCTTGACCTTGAGAGGGAGCTATATACAATTTCATAACTTAAGACTCATTTTCAACCGCGACAACGATCACTGAATATTATAGTATGGTATATGCTTCCAATATGTTCATTTGAACCGAATTCATGACCCCATACCAACACTTTGTATTACCTTTGGCTTTAACCTTGAATTTCATCTTGAAGGTCAAGTAATCTGGAGATGAAGTTTGGTCAATTTATCTGCATGTCAACATATCTTCTACAATCATCAAAACAAAGGAGATAGACCCAGCTATAGATTAAATGGCACGCCCCGGTAAGACGACTAGATGCCATCCCCACCCAGCCTAGCTAGGGTATCACCTTATAAACCCCAAAACATAATGCCTACACCACCACCTTCAGTGGGCGGAGGCATAAAAACGTTATCATATATTACCAAATTGCCAAGGATGGTGGCAGAAGAGTTGTTAGAGCGATGGAATATTCCCTGCAACTTCGGAGCAAGACGTCTCAGACCCCAGCATGCTAGGTATATGCAGCCCCCTCCTACAATGCGTCTGGTACTCTGCATTCAAATACTCCTGTAATAAAGCGGTAAAATATATCAAACACAAAATATGTGTATTAAAGACAAATGTGCTTCAATACAGAGTTTATACTTCAACTCCCCTGGTAACTACAAATTTTGTCTACCATTACCAGGGCACCCAAACTAGTCCAAACATCTCCAAAAAAAGGTAAAATTAACGTGTTTTTACACATTTTTTTTCCCCAGGGATGGCCCCCCCCCCCCTGGATCCGCCACTGCCTACAACAGCTGCTATATGAAATGGCTAGATTTACCTGTTTTATTTTGTGTTTCTCCAAACATCTTATAACTCTGTAAACTATGACCTCTCACCAATACATTTCTAAAACACCAATCATCCAAAAACCACTGCCAAACTCACTTAAATCCTTTCTCCTAAATCTCCAACATAAGAGTAGCAGTGCCCTAAATCAATATGACAGACTCAAAAGATGTCCAGTGCAGGTCTGTCTGTCTTTTATTGTAGGCTGCTATGCAGTAACGTACTGAACATTTCTAAGCAAATAATATTCAAATGAAATGAATCCATGAATAAAGAATGAGAAGAGAACAGAGGAACATGGAAGACTTGGTGTGTAGATGAGATGAATATAAAGGAAGGAATTGCGTTGAGTAATTGAAGTAAATAAATATGTACATTAAGTGAATAAGCAAATGATATGAAATGAATATGTATAGAGAGAAGAGACTAGAGAAACAAATAGTAATTGTAACAAATACAAGTATGGAAGGAGTCTAGCAAGGCTATGCAAGTCTCCTTTCTCCGAACTCCACAGCATCCTCCTGATCTGCTCATAGACTCAGCTAGCCTGGAGATTGTTTCCGCGATTAAGTTGCTCGGGGTCATCATCCAATATGACTTCAAGTGGGATCAACAAGTCGATCCTATCATCTCAAACGCGTCGAGGAGATTGTTCTTCATCAATAAGTTAAAAAGGAATGGGGTCAACACACAAGATTTGGTGACAATCTATCAGCTCTACATTCGCCCGGTACTGGAGTTTGCGGCCCCCGTTTGGACTTCTGGTATAACGAAGGCTCAGGCTGAAACCATCGAACGTATTCAGAAGCGAGCCTTGAGGATAATCGTTTACCCAAATTTACTACCATATAGTGAACTCCTAAAAACTTTAAAACTAGAATCCCTTAGTAATAGGCGTCTCGAACTAGCAACTAAAATTGCCAAATCAGTTTTAACCTTTCCTGACCATCGCCATCTCTTGCCACAAAGTAGAGAATCAATCACAGGTCGCAATCTTCGGAACTCTACACACATGACATTACCTCGTATACGAACTCAAAGACGCATGCTTTCTCCCAATCCTTACTTTCTTCTGAATTCAACTTCTTAGTTATGCCCTCATATGTTCGCCATTGTGAATTTTTAAATGTTAATTAATTATTGCATAATGATTATGTCAAGCATTAGTATTGTGATCTCTCAAAGCTTTTTTAAGTTGTTTTTAAATTGAATTCCAAGTCCTTTCACTAGCAATGATCGTATTATATATAATTATTTATGGTAATTGTATATAATTATTTTTTTGTTTACTCATTATTATATACTTATATACTTACCGGTATTATTTGTTTAAACTTATTAATGATTTAATCTATCCATGTGTTTTTTTACCTTGTTATTTTTTTTGTTATGCACTTTACATTGTAAACTGACTTGTTTAGTCTTCGGACTTTTTAATCAGTACTTGAACAAAACCAAATATCTATCTATTTATCTAACTTTTACAACTCAAAACATAGTTGTGACTAAATTGTGACTAAATTTCTTGCTACACGAAAGAGAATACAAAAATTATTTATAAAAATGCATTCCTATATTCAGTCTGTGAGCATTTGCTTGTCAAGGACATTGTCCACTTTTTCGGCGCTAATTCAGAATCATATCCATACTTTGACCCATATAGCTCCGGCGTGGAGATTGAGATTCCCTATTAAAACATACCAAAAATTAACTAAATCTTCATCAATTGTTCAGATAATGGTAATGATTTAAAAGTTGATCGTTATACTTTCTTACCTGTTTCTTGTCAATTTTCTTATCTTTTTGGTAATGGTAATGGTTTTATTAAAAATTCATTTGCAGCCAGATGGTTGAATTGCAGAACTTTGTACATTGTAAAAACATAAATATTTATACAAACATAAAACGTATTGAGACATATCACGCAGTGATTGAATTTTAAATAAATCAGTGTACACATATATATATATATACAAATTAATACAATTCATAAAATTCGCTTAACATTCTATTCCACAATCATCATAGGGCTGGAGGGAAATATAGAAGAGAGGTAGGGAGGATAATAGTGCAGACAGCACAGGAGATCCAGGAAAAGTGTGATATAGAGACAGACAGAGAGGGAGAGAAAGAGAGAAAGGGAGAGAGGGAGAGAGAAAGAGAGACAAGGCGAGAGATATATATATATATATATATATATATATATATATATATATATATCATAGATGATGCTGAGGATGAGAGTGTATATCAGACATATCGAAAATAAGGTAAAAAGTACAATTTCGACAGAGAGAATACTGGTTGTAAAAATTAATAAATTACATTTTACATTTTCATTGGTGAGTTATGGATAACATATATTGTAAATTGATCGGTAGGTATGCAATCAGATGAGAGACATGAAATATGGTAATTTTGAGATTTTTCTTGTAATAAATATGTGGTAAGTATGTTTCAATCATTACAAAAGTTAACAATGGTAAACTTGATTTACCGTATTATATTATCATTTTCATTAATCAATTATCAAGGTTGTACAATCGTCTTAGTTAAAAAGTTATATACTATTTCACATAAAATAAAATAATTATATTTATAATTCTATACAAATGTGGACAAAGTGCATGATCATAACTGTGAATTTAGCAAGTCAATAAGATAGGGAACTGGGCTGTTACGAAATCGTTTGGTTTTACATTTTAACTGTTCTCTGGTATTTGATTTGCGTAGGCTTCTAATGTTCTTACAAGGAGGTATGAGGTAAGATACCTTCTCGATTGATATCAGTTTCTCTGCAAAACTCAAACACAGTTCCATCCTTCTGTCAGCCAAAGAAGACAGATTCATTAGATTTAGTGCTGTCTCATATGACTGGTAATTAGGTCCCAAGATTATTTTCAGAGTTCTTTTCTGCACCCTTTCTAGTCGATTTACTTGTTCTTTAGTTAGGCCTCCATTCCACACCGGCGAGGCATACTCTACGAGGGGTCTGAGGAAACCAGTGTAGATGGTACAGAGATCTTCGATCGGCAGTCCGTGACCTTTCAGGATCCTAATGAGGTGTATTCTTCCATTTGCACGTTTTATCATGAAATCCACATGATCACTCCATTTTAAATCACAGCGGATATGGACTCCTAACAATTTGATAGACGTGGATTGCTTTAGAGGATGCTGATCAATTTCCAGTGACAGTGGTGTTGGAGGCTTTTTCATAAAACACACCTGCATACTTTCACATTTAGCAGGGTTAAGGGACATTCCATTTGACGTAGACCATTCGGCAAAATGTTGAAGTGTTGCTTCCAATAGAATTGACTGATCTCCAGCGAATCTCGTGTCAACAACAGTGACATCATCAACATACTTCCAATATGCTATATTACTATCACGTAGCGCATTGTTGATGACGATTAGGAACACAATCGGGCCAAGTTTGGTTCCCTGAGGTACCCCTGCTTTCATAGTCACCCACTCTGATGTGACACCTCTGTAGCGTACGCATTGAGTCCTTTCTGTAAGAAAATCAGCTATCCAGCGGATCAATGTAGGTTTGACACCAAATGAGATCATCTTTTGGATGGCAATCGTGTGGTCTATGCGGTCAAACGCCTTGCGGAAATCTGTCATCACAAGAGTGGATACTGCCTTGCTTTTCTCCGCGTGTTGATAAAGGCAATGCAATAGGTCAACTAAGCAGTGCGTCGTTGATAATCCCTTTATATTACCAAATTGTTTATTGTCGAGCTGCGACCCGATGTACTGCATCAGCCACTTCGACACAAAACCCTCAAATACCTTCGCAAAACTATCAGTCAAGGAGATTGGACGGAGCTTGTCGATACATGCAGGGGTGGTTTTAGGGACAGGAACAACTACAGCTCTCTTCCACATCTTTGGAACGACACCTTCAGCAAGTGAGGTACTGAAGATATGGGCCAATGGGATACTAAGTTCACAAGCAAATTCTTTGATGATTCGGCTAGGTATCATATCGGGACCGACAGCTTTCCCAACCTTCACCTTCTTAAGCTGTTGGTAAACATCCCAAGGTTGAATGCGGGGAGGCGGAGAAGGGTCAGGTAAGTATGCAGGTAAGTTCTCAGCATCCATGGCAGGTACATCCTCAGCAACAGACTTGAAGAAGTCATTGATCCTGTTTGCTATTACGGCGGTATCATCTCTGTCAACTCCAGGAACAGTTATATAGGAGTTGGCATTTTTCATGTTAGTCATGATTTTGATTTGTTTATACCATTCTGCAGGATTCGCCTTCTTATGTTTCTTCACTCGGTCATTGTAATAGTCGTGCTTTGCTTTTCTTATCTCCTTTTTAACGCAGCTGGCAAGTTTCCTGGTAAGTTCCTTATTACCTCCACTGAATGCGGCTTGTCTTTCCTTGATCAAAGATTTGATGACAGGGGTAATCCATTTCTTGTCACGGCAGTGCATTTTGACCGTTTTTGTCGGCAGGAAACGGTCAATCTGGGAGTTCAAAATGGCATAGAATGCTTCCGTCTGTTCGTCTGATGAAATACTGTCCATCACCGAACTCCATTCATACCTTGTTATCCAGGACCCAAATAGTCTCTTATCCGAATCTCTGAGTGGTCTTGTTATTCGTTTCATGATAGAATTTTGATAACGAGGAGGGGCAAGTGGTGACCAAACCACCGTGTTGTGATCACTGGCTCCTAAGGGACAACATACGAGTGGCTGGTCATAAAAACCAGAGAAGTTTGTCACTATCTTGTCCAGGATCCTATTTTCTCTCGTTGGCGTCTTGACGGCTTGTTTGAAGTTGGTGTTTGCAAGCAAGGTAGTTAAGTCAAGTTGATTAAAGTCTCCCATAATCGCTATGGCAGCATCTGGATGCTGGCCCAAGATCTGATCCATGGTGTCCTGTAGATGGTCTATCAGTATGTCTGTAAGCACACTGCCTGGCGGATGATACACTACCGCCACGATCAGATGCGAAATTGCTCGCGGAAGACGTTCAGGTCGTATTTTCACCCAAAGAACCTCCAGTTCTGTGGGCACTTCAATTTTCATTTGTACTGGGTTGTATGCCTCCTGGACATAAAGCGCCACACCACCACCTTGCCTATGCAAACGTGACTTTGTGAACAAATTATAATTAGTAATTTCTGCAAGGTGTGTTGGCATATCGGATCTGAACCATGTTTCTGTTACTGCTGCAATATCGGTTTTCCTTTCTCTCAGAATTATTTCCATTTCATCTAATTTATTGTTGAGGGATCTTGCGTTGCATAGATAGAAGGATGGAAGGTTCAAATATCTGTGTTGACTGGCTGCTACTTGGCTATGACAGCGTTCAGTCGTTTTTATCCTCACAAGGTTTGCATGAATTGAAATTCTTTCACGTTGACAGTGGCGCTGATTATTCACAATGACATTTATTCCTGAACAATTCTCATTGGCTTGTGGTATAATGGATCTCACCTCAGATTGTCCAATGGATGTGTCCATCAGATGGCGGAGGTTGTTCATGTTGGCCCCATTCTGTCCTGGAATTGGCCTCCCTCTGCTGACCGATGCTGTTGTTACAACTGTTATTTTCCTTTGTTTTCTCCTTCCACCTCTCTTTCCTCTCTTCCCACGATAAGATTGTGATGGGCAGATACCAAGTGTCGTGATATCTCTCCATATCTGTTTCGGAATACTCCCTCTCTTTCCATGGTCCCAGACTGGATTGCATTTAAGCAGGAATGATCGGTCATAGACGATTCGCTTAATTTTTTCCCCATTAGGTGGAGATATATCATTACCATGTTTGGTTGGTCCTGGGTTTGGATTCACATCTCCAGACACCAGAAGTCGAAGTTGAAATGTTGCAGTAGTGTTAGGATGATAGGATATCCTTGCTCCAAAATATCTGCTTACTTTCAAATCACGGTTATAAAGTACAGGGTGTCTACACAATGACTGTGGCAGTACATGAATACATGCACATGAGCTTTTGACATTCCCGACAGACCATTCGGACAGGCTGACAATAAGCACAATAGCAACGAGCTTCACTGGTTCCATTGTTCACACTCCACTCAATTCAAGCTGACAATACACTGTTGTATTTCAGTGTTGGTCAAGCGTAAAAGTCTAGTGCAATGGGGTAGTACAATATGGCTACTAGTAGTAAGTTAGTAGCATCTTGGAAAAATCTTCCACTCTCAGTTCTGTTTCAGTTATCACAAAATATCCAGCCAAGTTTGTCCTACAGCCTCCATGTATTTGCTTGAATGCTTAGATAACATCTATATGGATGGCAATAAGATGGTTCTTCAAAAAATGACAAGATAGGCGGGAGCGATATAGTGGTATCAGCCTGCTAGGCGATTGCTGCGTTTGGAAGTATTTCCCCCCCAAAATGAAGACTTTTAATACCTACCGGTATACACTTTCTCACCGGATTCACGGCAAACCGCTGCACAATACAAGTGCATTCCTTGATTTTCCGTCTCTAGCGTACCAACGGTGGGGTGCGGGCGCGACAGAAGTTAGCGACTGTAATCTCAGATCCTCATTAAATTCATGCGAGTAATTCATCATTACAATTACAGTCTGTAACTTCATGCAAGCACGTGTGCCCGCACCTCACCGTCGGTGCGGTATATGCAATTGTATTATGCAGCAGTTTGTGAATCCCATGAGAAAGTGTATACTGGTATATCATAAATCTCTGTTTTTAGGAAAAATATTCCAGAAAACATAGCAATATTGACTTTTTCTTTTAGAAATGAAGTCTTTTGACTTTGTTACCCAAAAAAATCCAAACCTGGCTACAACATACTCAAAACGTTAAAGCATAATCTTCTACTCCCTGTAGATTCGAGAAGCAATATATACAATTTTAAAAAATCAGACATGAAATGATAACTATAACATTGAACAATTCAAGTACATTAATAAAGCAATTTTATGCAAAAATAATTATCTATCAAATCTGGGTCATCAATTAACAATAAACCAAAATGTGGCAAACAATAAAGAAGGATTAAGCCAGGACATAGGACAGGTGTACAATAATGCAATATATAGCTTAGGCCTACTTAGCCTAGGAATGTAGGCCTACAAATGTACTCTCAATCATTATCTTTAATCTTCAAAATTTGGAATACCCAAAATGCAAATTTCAACGTTAAAACATTGATTGATGTATGCGAGGGGGGATAGTTATCACCGTAATTATATTTAAACGTCTTTGGTTATCACCTAGAATCGAAGTTTCTGTCTCTTTCATTAGTTAGTCTCTGATTTGGGTAGGGTCGGCTAGACGAAATTCGGTCTAGTTATATCACCTATAATATACTCTACATCTAAGGTGATGTAGAACAAAAATTGTGTCTCTTTACTAGTCTCTTAGTCTAATTACCCTACCCAAATAAGAGGTGGCGGCTAACGAACGAAATTTAACATGTTTAAGAGAATTTTTGGTCTAATTATCACCTTGCCCTCAAGCCAAGGCTAGATCAATTTGCCAGCCCAAGCTCAAGCTGAACTGAGCGGGCTGCGAGCGTGCAGGGCTGGGAGGGCCGAGGGGGCCGCACCGACCGCGAATTGGGTCCGGTATACTGCACAAAAGATCTATTCACTCGGTCTATATAAATAGGGAGTAGCATTTTGACGTCTTGTTCATTGAGATTATAGTAGGCCTAGATCTATCGAGCTTAGATCTATGTCCTTTGGAATTATTTGGCATTACAGTTCTTACCAACAGAGTCAGAGAAAATTCATGATCATCGAGCGTCAAATTGCACGCCTGGTCCTTGAGCTAGCTGAATGGTATGTAAACGAGAGCGGATGGCCGCTACGGGGCCGGGTCGACGGTGAGGGCACGGGCCGTTGGGTGGAGCGGCGCTGATGGCTGGGTGAGAGGCGGGCGCGTGGTCACCAAAGAAAGGTGGGCGTGGCAGCGCAAGACTTGTATTGGGACGAAGTTAATCCCTCTTGAAGTTCACTACTATACTTTTTTAATGAAAACCATTCGATTTAGAGGCCGAGGTAAATTGGCAATTGGGTTTAAAATCTAGGTCCGCTCACTTTCGATCAGCAATTCAATACCGCTATCTCTTTTGTTTTAATTCGAAACGAACCAAAGGATATAGATATGATCTTGACAAAAAAAATTAGTGACTCTCCGGGGGGGGGGGGGACTCACATATTAGGACATAGAGGGGTGTGCCGCTCTAATGGGTCACTTTTTCACCAAAAAAAATTCCTAAACAAAAGTCCCACTTTTAACAAATATACCATTAAAAATGGGTCCATTTTTTCAGAATTTCCAAAATGTGCAAAATTTTCGGGTGTTTGCTATGCAAAAAAAAAAAATTCTCGAGAAAAATAACATTAAATTACCCCTAACAATTTATTTTATTCAGTTGTATGTTTTTGTTTGTATTACACTTTTGGAGGAATAAAACAAAATTACCAACAATAAAAAATTACTCATTTGCGGGGGTCGCGATTTCTTTTCATGACTGGGGGGGGGGGGGGGGACGAAACGCGAGGAACGAGGAGGAGTGACGTTATTAATTTTGCCTCGCCTGCGTAGCAAAAAAGCGAGACATAGGCGCCGCTTTTCCGGTGACAGCGGCGACGGCGGCGGCGACGGCGTCAACATCAAAGTTTTTGAATTTGTTATATAATTTTGAAAGTATAAGTTCTTAGTCAATGAAACTTGGACTATAGGGTAATCAAGTATCCCCAATCATGTGAGTACAATTTAGGTCACTAAGTTAAGGTCAAAGGTCATTTTAGGTCAACAAACTTAGACTTTTTGTGGCATCAACATCAAGATTTTGAATTTTTAGCATATTTTCAAAAGTGTTTGTTCAAATTCCATGAAACCTGAACCCAAGGGTTATTAAGTATCACAAGTCATATGACACAAATTCCAGGTCACAAGGTCAATGGTCATTTTAGGTCAGTAGACTTGGATTATGTTTTCTCAACTTAATATGAGAATAAATAATCAATTTTTGCTATTTGTTCATGATTCTTAATCAATATTTACTTCAAAATGCTGATAATATTCAGAGGATTTCATTTTGGGGGGCCTGCTAATGGGCCACCCTGCCTATAAATAATGTTCCAACCTCAATTTTTCATCATATCGAATTGCGTAATGCAGGCGAGACCACTGAGAGCGTTTCCCTTGTTTTTTTCTCTCTCTCTCTTTTTAGGCGGGGGGGGGGGAGAAAAAAATCCGAGTCATCACCGCTCTTAGATGTAACATGCAGGCCCCGTGGAACGTTATTCAAAGTGGGAGGGGGGGCTAAAGTATTAACGATCAGATAGAGCAAAGCAAGTGGAGCGTAAATTGGCGTGGGGTCCTTGGGCAAAGCCCCGGCGGGGGGGGGGGGGGTCAAGGGGCGGCCCATGAAGCTCAGTTTTTAGGCATTAAATAAGGGTCAGATGAGCACATTTTGATAACTTATTTGCGACACTTGCATGCAGGTCACTAATCGGAGTGGGGTCCAAGGCCGAAGCCCCCAGAAGCTCAGCGCTTTAAGGCATTAAATTACGATCAGTTGATCATCCAGGGGCCGCCTCATGCAGGGCCCTTGGTGGGGTGTAGGGGGCGGAGCCCCGGAAGCTCAGGGTTTTAAGCTTTTGAATATGGTCAGATGAACTTCCAGTGACACGCTTAGTGCCCTTGTGGGGTCCTGAGGACGGAGACCCGGAAGCTCAGGTGTTTAGGCATTTGATTATGGTCAGCTGAGCAACCAGGGTCCCGCCTTAGGGCCCTTGGTGGGGGTAAGGGGGCAGAGCCCCCGAAAGCTCAGAGAAAATAATGCCATTTCAGCAACCGTTTGTAAATTAACCACTGGTATCAAAACCACGTTTGAATTTTATCGGGGTGGGGGAACTGCCCCAAGCCCGGGTGAGTGAGCGTAGTGAACGAGAGGGGTGAAGGTGACGAAAGTGACTACCTCCTCACAGGTTTTAAAGTTTTGTTGTATTACAAAATTATATTCTTTAGAAACACTATAGTATGAAAAGAAACAATATACTTTTTTTCACACGTCACTTTTCTACAATATTTCCTAGAACATTTTGAAGGATGTTATGCGAGGGAGCATAGCTCCCGAGCCAGAAGATTTTTGCATTTTTATTTGTCTAAACACTGCACTCTTGGGCCCCATAAAGCCTAATAGTTTGTTGCAGCCTTTAGTAAGTATTTGCTGTACATCATGTTTTTGCATTTTTCAATTTTTTTCGGGGGGGGGACGATCCCCCTACAAAAACCGAGGGGGGGACATGTCCCCCCGTCCCCCCGGGATCGCCGCCCCTGCTCATTTGTATGTATGCCATTGATGATCTACATAATGGCTCAACTATCATGACACACTGGCTCAGCTAACCTGCGTGTTGGTGTTAATTGAGCCACTTGATCACTTTATCTCCACTGGCTCTAAAATCAAAATTGTTTTTTTCACAATATACAGCTTTGCTTAACATACTGCTCTTTTAGTCCCACACCCTAACAGCCTTACAAAACATTACACAAGGGCACCAGGTGATCTTGAGTAAGACGTGGCTCAACTAACTCGAGTCTCCCCTACCCCCCCCCCCTAACCATTATGAATATTTTGTCCTTTATAGGGTCTATATAATCAGAAATCTTAGAAGAATAGTTGTACACTTCTTTAAAATTGCTGTTTTAAATCAACTGTCCGGACACACGTCTGAATAAAAAGATTATTATTTAGTATGAAAGGACAACTTTTCGGCACTCTGTGTGTACCCAATTCTGTACCCTTCTCATACAACACTATGTAAAGAGTAAATAGGAAATGTATATTAAACGAACATCATCTTCGTGATTTAGCTTCTAAATAATGATGAGAATAATAACAACGTGAATTTAGGGCATTAAACTCAACGTCAATGTCAGAATGAAAGTCAAATCGGTTTCCAAATCGTAGACAATCGCAGTAGTGGCCTACCGGTCTGACGTCACTACGTTTCATCAGCTGAGTTTTCTACAAAGGAACCGTGAAATCCCTTGAAATTTAGATTTTCTTAATATGTTATAGAATTTTACTTTTTTTTAAACTAAATCAGATTTAATTGTACAAAACCCTGTTTGACTTTTTAACGATTCCCAAGATGATACACATTATATCGAATATTACAATGGCAACCTTTTACCCATGTTTGTTTGCAAAACTTATGTTACCATATTTTTATGCAATATTCTACATGCACCTTTTACTAAATTGGCCCAAATACAAAATGTTCTGCATTTTACCTACAATGTATAATTTGTATAATCTGTTTAAATCATTGGAGCATCTATTTGACTTTATAATTCCTGGATTGGGTTTCTGTTGTTGTCCCTGTTATTGAAGAAAACACCATTACTATACCTTACCCATCTGGCTATGCATTTTCCAACAACCAAAACATTTAATTCTTTTGAATATCAAAAATGTATTGCTATTCATGTATTGTATAAGTTTAATATATCATTTTATTGCAAATATGGTAATACAATTCGAATTTCTGTATATGTACCAAGCAATTTACCAAGGTCGTTGAAGCATAATTATATATCATTTGTACAAAAGTATTCCAATTTTACTACCATAATGCTACCATGCATAATGTTTTACGTGTAATTTTACTTTGTCACTGATGTATACCTTGTAAAAACAACTGCAATTCGGCTCTCGGGCCGCGAATGTTTTTTAATGAAATAAACCATTTTAAATAAATAAATAAATAAATAAATATACCGTGTGAGTCAAAAAAAAGTTTACACCTAGAAAATTGCTAATTATTTTAAAAATCATCTATGAACAGTAAATTATTATATATTGTATGAAAGAGTGTTTTATCCCAAATCATTTGGTATCATTTTTGTGTGGTATGTGTTCACGCTTGGATGTACAGGAGGCATTGTTTGCGAGAGTGTAAAAATCGACTTGCGCCAAAGTTGCTTATGTGATGTTTGAATAAAACAACTGGGATTTGGGTATTAATTCGGTCTTTGCACTGTATTTATGACGAATGCTCGTACCAAACGCTATTGCAAATTATTTAAAAATCGAATCAGTCAGATTGTGTAGTGGCACGAGCGATAAGTTTTTCAGAATCTGGGTCCGGAATAAGCTGATATATAGGCTTGTACCTCGAAAGGGTACTCAGTTTACAAATTATATTTTATTTATTTATGCATGCATGCATGTTCACAATTTCACCATCCATTGGAGTTAACATTACATGAAAAAGATTATAACAAATCATTTTTAATTTTATAATCCATTTGAATTGACTTCACATGAAAAAGAATATAACAATGTTTTATCAAAGACAAGTTGCAACCATGATCAAAGGTGGCGCTCCCGGGGGGCAGGGAGGGGCACAGTGCCCCCACTTTTTTCAGAACCCCCAAAGTATCCCTTTTTACATAAAAAGTGCCCCAATTAATTGTTTAAAGTGCCCATTCCCCTTTCCACCTCCGATAAGTACCCTTTTTATTTTGACACATACCCTTTTTCCTTCTACAAGTTCCCATTTTCTTTTGCAAAAAGTGTCCATTTTCCATTCTCATAAGTGTCCCTTTTCAGGTAAGAGAAGCGCCCCTTTTCAATTTTGATATGTGCCCCCTTCACCTCTGATATTTGCCCTATTCAAATCTGAGAGGTGCCTCTTTTACTTTGACAAGTGCCCCTTTCCCCTTTTAATAACTAACCCTTTTTAACTCGGATAAGCGCACCTTATATTTTCACATGTGCTCCCTTTCCTTTCTAAAAAGTGCCCCTTTTGCTAATGATAAGTGCCCCCATTTAAAAAAGAGCCCCTTTCCCTTCTCATAAATGCCCCTTTTCACCTATGCAAATAGTCCCTTTTCATTCTCATAACTGCCCCTTTTTTTCTCTGGTAAATGCCCCAAATTAAAATCAGTGTGTAAACAGAAGCGGCATATACACGTAGGCCTAAAAAGTGTATACATGGGGGGGGGGGTCCTCTCGCGCACGCACATACGTGCACACACCAGAACACACCCTACGCTTTTTTATTGTTGGCAATTTTGTTTTATTTCTCCTAATGTGTAATACAAACAATGACATAAAATTGAATAAAATAAACGTTTTCAATATTGATTGCTTATATATAAACATAGTTACACAAAAACTTGTTTGGAGTATATATATATATAACTTAGCATCAAAGTAAATGTATAAGTACCTAAACATAATAAATATGTCAATTGTAAATGTTATTCACTTAATATATAAAAAAATTTAAAAAAAATAAATAAAAAAAAAACTTAAACAAATCTGGAGGTAATTTTACTGGAGCAATGTCTGCTCCTTCCTGCCCCCCTCCCTCACACAAACACCCCACTCACCCGCACACATATTCACCCAACCACCCACCCCCACACACATATAAACACTACTCACTCAGTGGATGTCTGCTAACATTCTCAACTCAAGAAAAATATACTAAATAAGTTAACCAGTTACACTTTTAACAAGCTCACGGTGGAGAAGAAAATAAATCTTAATTAATCTAAAGCTGCTCCCACTTTAAGAAATGTGATCCCAGCTTTCACATTCTAATGGCTATTTTCTGTACACACACACACACACACACACACACTCACATATCCACCCACATCCACCCAGCCACACATAAATACGCACCGACGAATTCTAAATTTTCACCGAGTGAAGTTTATTTCAACGAAGCATTATATTAAACTGAAAAAAGGATTGACATGGACGATGGAAAATTCAGAATTTTGAGGTTGTGTATAGCCATTGTGACAATTGAATTTCATGTATTATTGATATGTGGAAGGACACACGGCTATGTATATAAATTATTATGTAGTAATGTTCAGATAATCATAATTGATATCTCAGTATTAAAAACTCGCATTTATTTTAATCACACACATTTCAGGTCTATCTTTGAAATCGTGGAAACACACTTAAGGGTCAATAGGTCTTACTAGACCTGGACTAGACTATAAATCTCATAAATGATCTTGAATTTATTGCCATGGACATGAAGTAAATGCTGGATGTTGATTACAGGAAGTGATAATCTTCAAAATACAAAATAAAACATATATAATGTATAATATATAATTGAAATATGACGTAAAAAGAATATCCCACTACCCTACAATACGATACATTTGACCTCGTAATTAACAAATTTAGCGAATTAAGAAAGAAAACATAAGTACGATGAAATAATCATTATTTCCTTATATTAAATTATTTAATGTAGGTAATAACGCAGTACAAAATGATGCTAAATGCTAAAGCCATGTACTTGTCAAGTACCCCAAATGTACCCCTTCTTATAAGGGCCCGTGTTTCCAAGAATTGTAGCAGCTTTGTGTAGTAACAGGTAACGTATTGCTACCACCACGATGTAAGGGATGGGGCAGTGCACTACGCCCCAAGTTTCATAAGAAAGGATTGTGCTCCTTTTAGGTTATAATAGTGGTCGTTTTCACTGATATTCCAATGTCCCTTCTCAAGTCATTTCAATATGAGAAGTGTGCCGTTTTTACACTACATGTTTGCCCCATTAAAACCACTATGGCATATTCTACTCGACTGCTCAACCTCTCATCTGTTAAACCATATACCCTGTGAACTTCATAGAATACCAAAGTAATCAATTGCCTTTTGTTAAAGAATATAAAAGTTAAAACGACAAAAGAGTTTTCAAACCCAAGGCAATTGCATTTACATTACCAAATGTCAATCATGTTAAAGGAGACATAATCATCATACGTGCTATGACAAGATGAGTAATATCAACCCTCATCTCCCAATAAACAATAACAAAGCCCATAGCCTGCTTAAAAATATGCGCCCTTAATTTAAAGCGACTGCGAGAAATATAAGTCTTGCACCTCCCCAAAACTCACTCGCTTGCATGTATAGTATCAAATTAAGTCATTATTAAAGGACTTATTCGTTCTTTCATTATGAGATTGTGCTTAAAACTCCATCAGGATTTGTGGTTTTATTTAAATAATACGGTACTGAAGCAGTATCCTGGACCACGTAAAGAGACAATTTTGAGTATCATCCCTGTTACAATTTAGGGATATATACTGTCTAAAAATTATATTTTTTCGCGTTTAGGCTACCCTTTGTATAGGTGCCCCCTTTTCTTTCAGAAAGTATCTTCTTTTATTGGTGCAACCCCACTTTGGTACACCGCCCCTGACTTCAAAATATCGAGGGGGGTGAGCGATAAACCATTATTGCCGAAATTTAGCCGGATTTTGTTATCATAATAGAAGAATAACTAAATAAAAATGTCCATAACGGGTTATATGAGCCGGTCCGCAGATTAAATGACAAGGGTAAAAGTGTGTCGTCACCAGTGGCGGATCCAAGGTGTTGCTTTGCCGTTACCATCTCTCCCAAGTTTTCACTTCTGATTTTCCCCCTGAGATTTTCTCAGTCGCTGCTTTTTCAGATTGCGCATCCGTCCAGACACGATCTCCCAGTCTGAGTAGCATGTTTCCAGATGCCTCTGAGTGTCAGCTTTCATGCTGAAGCCTAGACGACCATGTAAAATACGATGATTGTGAAAGGCCAGAATGTCACCTGAAAGGAATCGAAGAGAGACAGATGAGGTTTTAATACATTGTGAATAATATATATATTAATTATAGTGATAGTAATAATAATAATAATAGTGGGTTCTTTTATAGAGCACATGTCTGTCAGACTTTATTATTAAGTATTTGGCGTCACCTGTGCTTGAGAGGCAAAAGCGAATCACTATAACCCTCGGGTCTCTCCTCCCGGTATAACTGATTGGGGGTTTGCAGGTTGACCACTACACCGGGGTTTCCCCCTACTCTTACATTATGAATTATAGATATATTAATGATAGTGATAGTAATAATAATGATAGTCGGTTCTTTTATGAAGCCCATATCTGTCAGACTTGACATTATGGGCGCTCTACATTACCCAAGGATGCCATTGTGGTGCTCTAGAATGTTGTTATGAATTAGTTCTGCCAAGTACCCATGTACCTCACATGGGTCGAGTGTGGCACATGTAGATTAATGTCTTGTCAATGGATATTAGTGCTGTGACCGTGATTCGAAGCCCGTACCCTGTGGTTCACAGTCTGGTGGCTTATCCACTGGAGCACAAACCTTACCTTTTGTCGTACAGATTGAAAAGAAGAAGAATTGTTTTCGTTGATTTTCGTTGGTTAGCGTTTCACCTTAAGTTCTTTGAAACATGTAAACATGTTAAAATAGAGCATAATACTGCTCAAATATAAGATGAAACAAAAGAATAAGTACTATTATAGAACAGAGAGTAGAGTACTTACCAGCCTCCAGCTTGTACCGTACCAGGTTGTCTGGATGATACAGCATGTTGGTGAATTCCTTGAGTGCCACATATGCCTTCTTGACATCCTGCAGGGGTATCCGCAGCATGGCTGCTCTGCAAATGTCATTAATTGTGATCTGACACACCTCTTCGTCAGTGTCAAGTCTATGATTGATGTAAAAACAAAAATTGACGAGGTTTATAACAGTGCGAAGGAATGGACTTACTGAACTCTCAATACTCTTGAACGCCTTGTTGTGATTACTTTTTAGGTGCTAGTCACATGTATTAAACATGTACATCTGGCAGGGGCGGCATGCATGACACCCGGTGTCGTTTCCCTTTCCCACCTTTTTTAATACAAATTATTTAAAAAAACTCTTTCTGGTAAGGTCAGGGTAGTTGCTTTTGTGATATGTAATGGTACCTTTCTCCTATATAAGTGCACACTTCCCCACCATTACCTTGGATTTTCCACGAATTTCGTATGTTACATGTGTTAGAATTGTCTAGTTACTTATGGTTTTTAATAGATTAGTGATACATAGTATCATCTGAGCAGCTACGAACCAAATTGATTGGTGTATTTGGGGCTCTCCTCGCAGGGACTGCTGGTGTGACCAACCCTCAACAATTATCTGTTGATACCTGAACTGACTCAGTATTGTTTGAAATTGCACAATTTTTTTTTAATTGTTAATTAGAAATGATTTTATGGCCCGGTCCCACTGGCCGATGGACACAAAACGTATGCATAAAGGACACAGCGGACGAGCAAAATTTCGAGGGTGGCTCCATCCGTTTTCATCCGCTCCAGAAATGGACAAAATTTTCGAAAACTTGCGAAAACAGAACTGAAAATAACGGACGTGGGTAGTATGTAGCGGGGATGTCAAACGGATGTTCATCGGAAGCCTAGCGGATGAAAGCGGATGGAAGTGGATGACAGCTTTGAATACTTTATATACGAGATGCAAACGCTTTCATCCTTTCTATTCCCGTGCTACTAACGATGTATAGACGTTCCATGTACCTTGTCTTTCCTCCCTCTTTCCGTTTTCAGCTGCAGCGGATGTGAGTTGCGAGGATGCCCAGAGGATGCAGAGAGGATAGAGCGGACGTTTAACGGATGATAACGGACATAGAACGTGTGTTGCTCGTATTTGTCACGGATTTACATCGTACACGGCGGAAGTTCATCCGTTCTAAAAGTTTTGTGCAGCTCAAAACTTTTTGCGCGGATGAAATCACAGTGGACGGATGCTCGATGGATAGAGCGTATGAAACACGTATGCAATGAGTACACAACGGATGTATAGCGTTTTCCAACGGATGGCAAGATATTTTTACGTTTTACATCCTCTTTGCATCCGTAAGTGCAGTGGGACCGGGCCATAAAATCACATATTATACAAAGTTTCGGAAGACATGCCGTTATTTTCTAAACATGTGAAGGACATATATCTTTAATGTGTCTTCCTATATATATTTTGAATTGAAGACGGACATTCAATTTTCCGTTCATATATTTGTCCGTGAGGCACTCACAATGTTTGAAAGTACATATAGAACGCCTTTTTAGAATGGAGATGATGAAAGTGTTTTTCACTATCAAATTAACGTTATTTTTTCATAATAATATTTTCACCTAAGGATCTCGTTAACTGTTGAATATAGGTCAGTGATATTGACAGGGTTCGGGATTTGAGCCTGCCTGTGTCAGTCATCCATTCGTTGTTTATGTGCATGGGCAAGTAAACAAGCGAGGTATCTTATATCTACCTGATGACTTCGCGACGAGCAACATGGTAGTTTTTGTCGATAGCGAGCTTATATTCCCAGGGAATTCTGGTTAAAATCCTGAAAGACTCCGGGTTCTGACACCTGAAGTCCTCGGCGACCTTGAAGCCATCCGCGAGCAGACTGTCTCCGCCTCCTCCAGTTACTTGCTGTTTGCAGTGGAACAGCTGAAACTATACAGGCAAAATGTAACATGTATACCATCATTAATCGTGATGTAATAGTATGAGATACAGCTGCAGTCATACAGATATTGACTGGTATGGTGTGTAATAACCTTCTTTGGATCGACCGCTGAAGGGAGTTATCAGATTTATGATCAAGACAGACAAGAGGGAAATAGAACTCACCTGTGGTGCTAAAATTGTTTTTATATACCTCATACATAGATTGTCATTCACTGATTGGTCAAAACTATATCACATGTCAAGGAGCATTTTGATCTATCATTGCGTCAGAGGGTTTGATAGTACTTGGTACTTGGTACTTGTACTTGGTTGTTGTTCCTCCAAAAGATTCCTAGTGGAATTTAAACTGGAGGTCGTGGTGGCAGAGGGTGGACTTATTTCGGAAGGAGTGCTACTTTAAACTTTGCTGAGTCAGTCAGGGATACTAATGTCGAATCGAGATCATTCCATGCTCTGGTTGTGCGTGGAAAAAAAGAGTTTTTGTATACATCTAATCTGGTTAATGGTATTTCGAACTGACTTGACTTGAGTACTATAAAACCCTGTGATAGAACTCCTAACCCCTCCGCGATTTTTGCCCACACACAGCGTACAAGATTTCAAATGCGCGCTCAAGTCATGCAATTTACGCTGGGTCGCAGTACTTAACTGCATCACCTTTCTGCAGTACCTGTAAACATGTACAGTTTAGATTGGATTTCCGTATGTTGGATTTTTTTTAGCGTTGGATATTTGAAAATATACCTCACTTTAGAAATCTAGCCATCTGATTGGTCGAAATTGTCCATGTCCATTGCCATGTCCACCTACCAGTCAAAAGTCTTTTTTTTTTTAAAGCCCTCATGCCCGCCTACCAGTCAATAGTCTTTAAAAAATTGCCCTCATACCCGCCTACCGGTCAGTCTTTTAAAAAATGCCCTCATGCTGCGATCCCCATTGGTTAACGTGTAACATTTTCTTACCATACCATACAGCGCGTTTTGTCTGTGATTCCCAAATGATTGTAAGATTCAGTCATCTTTCCAGCGAAGATTAACAGACCGTGTCTCAGATTTCCTGTGATGTTTCAACCAATCTTTACTCACTGATAAAGATAAGGTAAGAATTCTTGGTAGATTTTTGTGTCTCTTTGGTATATAAAAGATATGACTGCTTTAATAATCGAGGCATATTTGTTTTTATAGGCTCTGTCTCGCGGACGTTAAATCCTGCCATCACTCCTCGGCACGCCTCGGGGTGATAACAGGATGTAGCATCCCCATGAGCCTATAAAAACAATTATATACCTCACTTAAGAAATCCAGCCATCTGATTGGTCGAATTGCATTCATAAACTTCAACTGTTCCTGTAAAATTCCCGGTAACCATGCATAAAACATTTCAATATTTTTAATAACCATGGTTATTAAAAAAATAGGTCAGTCTCCATGGTTACCCCATAGGTTTACATGTTAAAAAATGGTTTGAGCGATGGAGGATACCATACGTGTGCGAAAAATTGGTCGGCAATTTCAATACAATTGAATCTCGATCGATCTTACCGACAATTTTATCTTGCATTGTTGACATGAAGACAAAAATTAACTGTCAAAAACAAAAAAACAACATCTGCCGATAGATCTTGATCTAAGTTCGTGCCAATATGCATTGCAAAAGTAAAAGAAGAGTCCGTATATGGAGCTTTTGCGAAGCATTCATCACACGCGAAGCCGGTTTCAATCCATTTTAATGTATATATTGTACAAAACTGCCATGCATGTTAATAACGCGCGATGGCCGAGAGGTCTGAGGCGCTGACTTAAGATACATCACCTTTTGTACGCAAGAGTTCGAATCTCATCTTCGACCAAAAAAAAAAGTATTTTTTATTTTTTATTTTTTAGTCTATTTTTTTTCGGCATATAAAAGTATTAATGACTGCTTTAATATTCGAGAAATAGTTGTTTTCATACGCTCTCGGGAAGGTTACAATTGGGCTATTCCCCTCGGCACGCCTCGGGGAATAGCACAATTCTAACCTTCCCTTGAGCGTAATAAAACAACTATTTCTCTCAAAGCAGTCATTAATACTATCCCAGATAGCAAAATATCTGGGGCCCATCTGGGTTTTGTATGGGATGGCTAAAGCCCACGTGGCCCATACAAAAACCAGATGGGCCTTCCCACCCAGAACCCACGCATATGGGCCCCATGTGGGCCCCATGTGGGTTTTTGGTGGTGAAAATCGCACGTCGAGCATTGGCTGGGCCCAGCTAAAAACCAGGTGTATACCAGATGGGCCTTCCCACCCATAACCCACAACTACCGACACATATGGGCCCCATGTGGGCCCCATGTGGGTTTTTAGTGGTGAAAATCGCACATCGAACACCGGCTAGGCCCAGCTAAAAACCAGTTGTATACCAGATGGGCCTTCCCACCAAGAACCCACAAGTACCAACACATATGTGCCCCATGTGGGCCCCATGTGGGTTTTTGGTGGTGAAAATCGCACGTCGAACATCGGCTGGGTCCAGCTAAAAACCAGGTGTATACCAGATGGGCCTTCCCACCAAGAACCCACAAGTATTATGTGCCCCATGTGGGCCCCATGTGGGTTTTTGGTGGTGAAAATCGCACGTCGAACATCGGCTGGGCCCAGCTAAAAACCAGATGTATACCAGATGGACTTTCCCACCAAAAACCCACAAGTACCAACACATATGTGCCCCTTGTGGGTCCCATGTGGGTTTTTGGTGGTGAAAATCGCAAGTCGAACATTGTCTTCGCCCAGCTGAAAACCAGATGTATACCAGATGGGCCTTCACACCCAAAACCTACAAAATATACCCAGAATTTGCATAATGAATATGGGGTGCGTGCATATATGTTTTTTTTACAATTTATCTGAATTTACAGGATATTTCCTAATTGCTGATGATTTAGTTATAAGCAAATCATTTCGAAAATACTATTAAATGTAAATTGCTAATTATTAGGACATTTCACTACTTTGTATACATTACATTTAATTAAACATGAATTAGGAAAAACACTAACTATGACCTAAAACAGATTCAATAAAATACAAGTATATGGAAATGTCTCATCACCGCAAAATAACCAAGTCTTCTTAATACCAATGCCTTTACATTGGAAATTTTAGACGATGTGTTGTTGCTAATGGCAAAATTAATTAGTACAAGTGCTACATAAATTACTAATTAAGTCTGCTAATTGGAGCTAACAACTGGTTGAAAGTTGTGCCAAATGGTACGACTGGTCCAGTTAAACCCAACTGGTAACCCTGGAAATTGAAATTGGATAAATGAATTCAGCAACTGGGTAAAAATAGTACCCATTTAAACAATGAAGCCCATTTAGAACCACATTGGCCCATATGGGACCATATCAAACCCACTTGGCCCATATGGATCCCATATAAAAACCCGCTTATAGCACATATGGGGCCCATATAGAACCCACTTGACCCATATATAGAATGTGGTAGGTCCCACATATAACCCACATGGCCCATCTGGTGCCCAATAGGTAACCCTTGTGTATATTGATGGGCCAATTGTGGGGCCCATCTGGGTTCTACGTGGGCCCATCTGGGCCAAGTGGGTCCAATCTGGGCCGCCCATCTGGGGCCCTTCTATAACCCGGGTGCAGATTGCTGGGCCCCACATGGGGCCCATCTGGGACCCAAATGGGCTAAATGGGCCAAGTGGGCAATAGATGGGCTGGCCCATCTGGGCCAAGTGGGCTAGCCCAGTTGTAACCAGATAAAACCCAGATGGGCCCCACAACATTTTGCTATCTGGGATACTATCCCTCTCATAGCAGTCATTGGGCCGTATGCATAAAAAGTAGCAATTGCTTGTGCTAGCCTTTTACTTGAATCCGTATGCATAAACATAAGCAATTGCTTGCAAGCAAATGCTTTTGCTAGCAAGCACAAGCAATTATTGCTTGATGTCCGCAAGCAATTGCTTAAAGATCAAGCAATTGCTTAAAAACGTATGCATAAAACGAACCTTTTGCTTGTTCTTATAAGCAATTGCTTACGTTTTTTCAAGCTCCGTCATAGCGGCTTGAGCTCTTGCTTAATCGGGACGTTCGCGGTTAAGCATCATGTTTGCTCGTTAGAGAAAAACCAAAGTTGTACAGGAGTAGAATAAATCGAGAAGAAATTGCTCCCGAGACCTATCGGAAACTATTCCGTTTCGACAAAGAGAACGTTGAGTGGTTAGCACACAGGTTCATACCTGAACATGATGAAAAACGGGGAGGATGTCTGACAACAGTGGAGAGCATGGAGGCCAGGAAAGGCTACCCCACACGCATGACATTTGAATACACTACTAATATGCGAAACCCGCCTTCGTTCTCCCATGAATGATGTTCGCACCGGCGTGACGTCGCTATTGTTGAGATCGTAAGCAATTGCTTGCTGGAGGCAAGCAAAAGGTTTGAGCACAAGCAAAATGTTATGCATACGGGTTTAAGCAATTGCTTGAGCTTGATCTTTTGCTTGACAAGCAATTGCTTGTGCTTGAAGCAATTGCTTGCAAGCAATTCTCGCTACCCTAAATAGGTACGAAAATCTCGAAATTCGCGAGACGAGGTAATTTTCACTCTCTCGGGTCGTCACTACAACTTCCGGTATAGAGTCCCATCCCGCTGGCGCTAGCGCCTGTGTTCGCTGTGCAGAGTTTTCACGCACGCTAAAATCGATGCCAATCAGTGTAATTTGTACAGATTATAATATGCAATGGAAAGCTTCGGGCAGAATTAGTGACTTTAGCACAAAAAGCCGTTAAACTCTACCGTGAAAGAGAGGGTTGTGATCACGAACGCCTGCACAGGAAGCTGTAATGTCGAAAAGCTATCCCATAATGCAATGCGCGTTTTCAGGATTTTCCCCGGATCTCGGCAGAATCGCTATTTGGGGTAGCGAGAATTGCTACTTTTTATGCATACGGCCCATTATATCTATAATATTACACCCCTTCCAGTTATTATCTGTTTTATTAGATAACCTTGATACCGGACACCCCGTAAATGACCGTATATTTTTGGAAGTAAAATGATATGCATCGAAGTATTTTTCATTTTCCATCAAACTAGGTGTTATCAGATTTATGATCAAGACAGACAAGAGGGAAATAGAACTCACCTGTGGTGCAAAATCGAAAATTACACCCCCGGCTTCCAGTTATTATCTGTTTTATTAAATAGCCTTGATACCAGACGCCTCTTAATACTGGACATCCCGTAAATGACCGTATATATTTTAATTAGAATGATGGTCAACGCATTATGATTAGTTGACACACATGCGCTTGTTACACAGCGCAAGACGCGTACAGTACTGTAACGCGCATTTCCGCCTCACAGGCATATTAATACGCGCACAAAACCAACTGCAGTTGTTTACACAAACCAATATTATATAACCCTACATGGTACATTAAGTGGACAATGACAATGTCTACTTAATGACTCATTTTATCACTCCAAATGTCCCTCTAATGACGCCTTTAGTAAAATATTACGTGAATATATATGTATATTCTGCTTTCAAAATTTGTGTCCAGAAACTTATTATTTATGACGAAAACGTTTTTTTTTCCTTAGATGTACAGGGGGCTTTTTAGTCAAATTGCAGATCTACATAATGCCTTAACTACGCAAACATCATATGAGTTCAATTGTGTAGTTTTTATAGGGAAAACAAATCTTAAATATGTACCGGCAAAATTTACATTGGAAATTAGATTGTTTTTTCGATGATTTTATCATTTCCAAACTAGTAAAGTTTGTTTAATTATGATCTTGTGAGATAATTTGAATTGTAATTAATGTTTTATATAAAAAATACTTTATCTCGGTGTTCGACTAAAGTTCATTTCCAAATAAGTGACCGGTATATAGAACATGCTTTTTAACTAATACGAAATTTGAATAGTTCAATTGTGTGACGATCCTCTCTAAATGCCGCAGATTTACCGCTTCAAAGTTAGTAGACTTCATTCATGAATGTTTTATTTGTATATCACTAAATTTTCAAGACATTTCATTGGAAAGCTTTTTTGCAGTACGAAGAAATACAGTTAAATTTTCGGTAATAGGTTATAGCTGTTCAGTCTTCCGCGTCAAATGCGCGCGGCTAAGACAATGCAAACAATGGGTACGCGACTACGCGCAGTGTGACTAAGTAAATTATGGTACGACGCAAAAATATACTCATTTGACTATTCTTTATGGTCAATTCAACCATCGAAAAATGGCCGGGAGTGGAATATATGCTAATGACGATCATCGCAATCAATATCACGTGACGATCGAGTTGTGGACCAATCACACTTTTGGATATGTAAGAGCTAACTATACGTATGTATTTGCTAGAGTAGCAAGGATATTAACATGGCTTTTCATGGAGATGGAGGGGGGAGGGAGGGAGGGAGGGATTAGCAAGAACATGGCCTAGGGGTAGGAACAACCAGATGCTCCGATATTTGCTCCTGTGAACACTGCTCGCGATCTGAGCTTTATATCGTCAAAGATATATTGACTGCGGAACCACTGTCACGAGTATGTGGCTTCCGGCCGAACGAACATCGTGGATACAGGTGCGGTACTGATACTTACTCCTTTAGCCTGGGTATAGTAGCTTAAATCGTTGTGGAGCTGAAGGCTCGCTGCGGTGTACACTGGATGGTAGGATTTCATGTGCAGCTTCGCCTGGTTCAAGATTCTGCAATCGAACAAAGTTAGGATTAGTTAAGAGATCAAATTGCTATGTCACTATCAATTATTATAAATAAATGGTCACCAGGACCACAGGTGTATCAGGTACACTATAGAGCCAGCTTTCATCTCCTCCGCGTTTTTATATTTCGTATTACAATATATATTTTTCTCATTCACCCCCCCCCCCCCCCCTCCGGGCAATTAATACAGAGGAAAGTTGCATTCAGAAAAGCATAAGAAGATGAGACCTTCATTTAGGGAACACCAAATTCGCAATATCGCCGGCTGTAATCAAAGATCTGTCCTCGATTGCCGAATCGGGGAACGAAATATTGCAATAAATTATAGTATCGAATTTTTTTATTCTTGTTCACATTACTCACCCTGACGAGGAAGGAGCAGGAGAATCGTATCCCAGTCTCTTTTGAAGGCTGTACTGCTGACACTGCTCAATTGGTGCGTTCTTGAGGACAGCGATCCCGAGATTAAATAGCATCTTGAGCCAGTCGTAGAGGGCGTCGTCGCTCTCCATCACTTCGTCGAATTCGAACATTCTGAAGTGCGGTGTTGACATGACGTCGTGGCCCCAGAGATGAGGCCGGTTGCCCTCAATAGGGTCCGGTTGGGACTGGTCAAACCGATGACCTCGAAGCCAGTCAGTGGGAAAGATTCCATGATGACTATCAGCCCACTCCACGGACAGCAATTGACCGTTGTCCAACAAGGAGGCATTCTTAACTTCCGTCTTGTGATTAAAAGGGATAAGATTGATGTCAGAAATGCCTTAAAGGTACTATGTTCCATTTGCAGCCCAAAACAAATGTAAGGGTTAAATTCCAACGGCATATGAAAGATAATACTAATTATGAACTTCCCTTAAAAAAAATGTATGGATATCATTGGAAAAAATTGCAATATTTAAAGCCTTTTTACTATTAAAAAGCCTACCCTTTTCTGCAAAATTCAGAATTTTTTCCAGTACTTGCAGCCAGTACTTGCATACAGTCCATTGGCAAATATTTGTTTCCCATTGAAAAACTTAAAGCAAAATTCCTGTCTCGAGCAGGGTTAGACCTTAACTGGTTCCACGTAAGCCTTTTTGGTTGATTTAAGCTAAACCTTGACATTTAAAGGCGTGAATATTTTTTGTTCAAACACTTTCCTCCCGCCACCGTGTATAAAGCTACGGTCACAATGGTTCGTATGAACGATGCCTTCGTACGAATCTCCCTGTTCGTACGAATTCCAGAGTTCGTAGAGATTCGTAGATGGGGCAGTTTCTTACGTCCTTCTTACGGAGTTCGTACGAACGCCGTTTAATTTTTCGCTCTTGATTCGTTAGAATGCCCTGAGTTCATCAAACGTCAGACTTACGGCCATCTTACGAGTTTTTTTTCTCGCCAGATGTAACTGACGGCATTCTCAAGTCATTCGTAAGAAGATCTTATGATTTGTTTTGGTATATTTTGTCGGGTTGCAAAAAAGCGCTGCATAAATGTCATAAATTACGTACACCTTACGAGCATCTTATGAATGCCTTACGAACGCCAGCAGTCGTTCGTACGAAGGTCAAACTAATCTCCGTTTGTAAGGCGTTCGTACGAACGCCGTAAGAGCCCTCTATGAACAACTTAATTTTTGTATTTGTATTTATTAACATTTATTTCCTTCTCAACAGTACAATATGAAACACAATGTATATATACATGATATATGTAACAATTCTGTAAATAATTTAGATACGGAAGGAGGCGAAAACCCGGAAAGCATAGCTTGAGTTGGGAACGCCCATAATAAATTAACACAGTTACCGAGAGAACATTTATTATGAAAATTACATTTTATATAACAGAAAGTTGATAGGAAAGAACAAATATAGTAAATGGAACAGAGAGAAGAAGAAAAAAATGAGGAGAGAACTAAGTATAGGAAGGCATGTTCACTCATAAAGAGAAAGTTACCTCAATTGGGCAGTGCATGTGTCTGTGATTACATCATAAAAATAACGAAGTACTACAATTTTAAAATAGACAGCGGGTACATATCATTAAAAACAAGCAAAATCATCAAACAGACAACGGCTTTTTCCGACAGCATTGTCCTGGGAATATACATATGGTACTAGCAACAGCAACAGCTGAGGCATATACGTAAGTGATCAAAATCCAAACATGTCATTAAATTCCACAAGAGGTAATTTCACTCATAAATACAAGACAGGGTATCAATATCGAGCAATTAAATACATTTTTGCCTTACGGGAAAAAGTCTGCAAGGAGAGCGATTTTTGTAGAATAGATGGTAAGGTGTTCCAAAATTTTTGCCCGGAGTATCGAATGTCAAATTGAAATCTTCGGGTCCTATGTTTAGGGAGATGAATGTTGGCAGCGCTTCTCGTATTGTACGTATGGGTTTCCGAGTTGCATTGAAAATTGATAAAATCACTAAATTGTGGTGGGAAGATGTTATTCATGCTTTTATACATGAAAATACCCTGTTGATACAAGTTTATATCACTGAATCTCAAGAAAATAATTTGTTTAAAGATGGGACCAGTATGGGAATGATAGTGCATTCCGGATATTATACGAATAATCTTCTTCTGCAATAGTGTAAGCTTTTGTATTTTGTACTTGCAGGAATTCGCCCAAACAAGATTACAGTAAGAAAAATATGGAAGTATAAGAGCACAATATAACATACGTAGAATGTGATTGGGCAAGAGATGTTTGAGTCTGGATATAATGCCAATGTTTTTGGACACCTTACTTTCAACTTCGTGAATATGGTATTTCCAAGACAAGGAACTATCTAAATAAACGCCAAGAAATTTGACTTTATCTACCCTTGGCAATATGACATTATCAAGAAAAATATTGAAATTATTTAAATCTGCATTCATTCCATTGTAAAAAATCATATAATTACATTTCTTTACATTTACAGATAATTTATTAGATTTGAACCATTCACATATATATGCAAGACCTGCATTTACTGTATCCATAAGAGACTTCAAGTCTGAATCTCTGTGAAATATGTTTGTGTCGTCTGCATACAGTATAAAAGACAATTCATTAGCAGATTTTTAAATATCATTCACATATAATATAAATAACAATGGCCCAAGCAGGCTACCCTGTGGAATTCCGCATGTTATTGTCCTAAACTCCGAAATAGAAGATTGATATTTGGTACATTGTAATCGATTGTTAAGATAGCTATAAGAGCTACACCACGTATTCCATAACGATTTAGTTTAGATAGTAAAATAGTGTGATTAATTGTGTCAAATGCCTTAGACAGATCTATAAAAACTCAAATTGCAAATTCATTTGCCTCAAAGGCGTCTATGATTTTACTAAAGGGATTGGTGAGAGCCATACATGTTGAATAATCCCTACGGAAACCATATTGATGTTTATTGAGAATAGAATGTTTGTCAAGAAATTCAATAGTTCTTTTATAACCAATGCGCTCGAATAATTTAGAGAAGACTGACAGTACAGAAATGGGCCTATAGTTTGGAAATTCACGCTTGTCACCAGATTTAAACACTGGTGTTACCTTAGCTTTCTTTAGCTCATCTGGAAAAATTCTGTTTAATAATGAAAGGTTGAATACATGGCATAGGGGTCTACAGATGTACATAATGACCTGTTTAATGACGCTTGGACTGTATTCGTCCAAACCTGCAGCTTTATTGTTTCCAAAAGTACTAACAATGTTACAAATTTCGTTTTCCCTAGTAGGATATAAATAAAAAGAGTTAACAGGTGGATCATTCATATACTGTAAATAATTCTTTTGGGTACCTGGGATTTTATTTGCTAAAGATGGACCAATGCTTGTAAAGAAGTCATTAAAGGAGTTCGAAATAATGTCCGGCTCTATAGCGATGTCCCCGTTATAATTAAATACAGAATTCTCAGCTGGCTACTTTTGTTAAGTAGTGAATTGATCGTTTGCCACGTACGATTTACATTAGATTTATTAAGTAAAATTTGTCATGGAAATACTGAGATTTTGCTTTACGAATTAATCCTGTGAGTAGGTTACGATAGTTTTTATACACATAAGCATTGTGGTCTGATGGGTTACGTAAATACATTTTGTATAATTTATTCTTATGTCGGATCGACTGTAACAGTCCATTCGTCATCCAACATTTTAATTTCTTGTTTTTGTTTTTGTCTAATACAATAGGAAAATGCTTATCATACAATGCACGAAATTTATTTTGAAAAATATTATAACTATCGTTTGGATCTTCTGCAGCGTATACATCCCTCCAGTTGACTTCGTGCAAATTCCTAATTAAGGCCTCAATATTTCTCTGTTTTATAATTCTGTGACCTATGTTAACTTTCGATGATTTGACATTAGCAACATGGTAAAGACAGGCAAGTGATCGATACATCACAATACAATAGACCAGTATCATGAAATGAAAGTAGGTTATTTGTAAGTATATTATCTATTAAAGTGGCAGATGACTTCGTAATTCGTGTAGGTTTGTCGATTAAGGGGTAGCATGAGTTACTGAATACTATATCAATAAAGTTTTTTACCGAGTTGTTTTTATCATGTTGTAATAAGTCGATATTAAAATCACCGATTACATAACACATTTTCTTGTCGCTAGTTATATTGTTGAACACAATATCCAGTGCTTCAGAAAAAATATCGATCTGAATATTTAGGGGTTTGTATACCACACCAACTATAATATTCTTTCTCTTTTCTTGAACTATTTCTATAAAAATGGTGTCACAAATTTCTGAATCAAGCGTCAGGTCATCTCTTAGGAAATAATTATGCGAGACCGCTATATACATTCCAACTCCCCCGCCACGACCATGGTTTCTTTTCTTACAGATAAAAGTATATTCATCGATATTTATTGAAAGACTAGCGTCTCTTAACCAGGTCTCCGAGATGCCAATTACATCAAACTGGGGAATTTAAAATACTCAAGAATTTTTTTTTAAGGAATCACAATTTTTTTAAATACTCCTTACGTTGAAATGTATATTCGAAAAGGTTGCATTATTTTTGGTTATCGCAAATTTGTTCACAACATCTACCACCTCATAGTAATTACAAATGGACGTAACGTAGTTTGCAAAATGATTTTTGTCAGGGTCGATATCTGCATTGATATTGTGCCTCTCATTTTCAAGTACAAGTGGATTAAATCTGAGATTTAAATCGGTATCTTCGAAGGGAGCGTGCCGATCTGATATAATTGATTCCAAATCGTCTATATGATGAAAAGGGAACAGGTGAGAATAGCAGTTAATACACATGAGCAAGTTCTCATTCCATGAACTGTTATGTACAACATTACAATGGCATGATTGACAATAAAAGGTTTGATTACGTAATAGGACAGTGTTGTCGCTAGGCATTGAATTACTCGCCATGCAAATTCAGGATTGACAACAAATGGCTCGGTGTAAAAATGTCAGAGGTAAAAATGTCAGAGGAAAAAATGTCAGAGGTAAAAATGTCAGAGGTAAAAATGTCAGAGGAAAAAATGTCAGAGGTAAAAATGTCAGAGGTAAAAATGTCAGAGGTAAAAATGTCAGAGGTAAAATTGTCAGAGGTAAAATTGTCAGAGGAAAAAATGTCAGAGGAAAAAATGTTAGAGGTAAAAATGTCAGAGGAAAAAATGTCAGAGGTAAAAATGTCAGAGGTAAAAATGTCAGAGGTAAAAATGTCAGAGGTATAAATGTTAGAGGTATAAAATAAAAACAAAATCATGTGGCAAGTTTGTTATGGTTACACCCGGGCCATATATTAGGCTTATCGAAAAAGAACAGCGAGGGATATTCTGCAGTCGTTATTTCACCGCTGCTTTATTTTCTACTTTCCCAGTTAAAATTTATTTACCTTTCGGTCCCAAATTGTGACTTTTTGCCCGATTATTGCCGAAGGAAGACGAGGGGGGGGGGGTATTCTTCTTCTGGGGCACGGTGACCCGGCTGCTCTCCCCTTCCTCTTATATTATGCTTTGATATCCTTCCGAACAGTGGTCAATGCCTAGGCAGAGCAGGCAGACTAATGGGACATGGTTTCTGTTCCGAGTTTCGCGCCTTGCAAGCAATCATCAGGCAATAATTTGATAGCATTCTTAAAAGTACATGATTATCTTATACAACCTTGGTACAAATACCCCTAAAATAAGACTTAACTAATAAAATACAATTAGAATTACTCATGAGTAATTCTTATTATATTTTATTCAGGTATTAATTAGTTAAGTCTTATTTTGAGTGTATTTGTACCAAGGTTGCAGAGGAATCATGTACTTTGAAGAATACTATCAGTTGTCTGATGATCGCTTGCAAGGCGTGAAACTCGGAGTAGCAACCATGCATATGTCCCATGAGCAGCGCTCAAAATACACGGGGGCGATTGCAAAATTTAAAATCGCCCCCGTGGAATTATAAAATAAAGATTATCTTTTCTGTTATAACTTTAACACAATATTGAGTTTCAATTTTCAAACCTTAAACCAATGAAATGGAACTTAGATTAGCGTGCAAGATTTCTCGTTCTATGAGTATTTATTAACGATTCAGCTCGCAGTGCAGTGCTGCAGTCAGCAGTGGTTATAGGCCTACTGCGCCGTTAGTAACGGTACGTGTTCACGCTGCCGCCCCATATCTGCTGGAGCTGAAGGCGATCGCGCAAGGGCAGAAACATGGTCATGGAGAAGTTTTTCGTCGTGAAAAGCGTATACCCGCTGAAATCTGGTGATTTCAAATGACCAGCAAATAGTGAACCTCGACCAGTAAACCAAAATTAGGGACTTTTAGATTTGCACGACGAGAACGTGGACTGCAACGTGTGACCTCCTTTTAAGGCACTGCCAGTGCTTAAAAGGACGTCACATTATTGTGACTGCCAGTGCCTTAAAAGGACGTCACATGATTGTGACTGCCAGTGCCTTAAAAGGACGTAACACGTCCACGCAAATCTAAAAGTCCCTATTGGGAAGAAGAGGAAGACCAAGATGTTGTTGAATGATATGGTAACATGGGCAGATCTACAGGGGGGGGGGGGGTTAGGGGGTTTAACATTTTTGAGCAGACTCAGGCGACCGGTGAATATTAAAGCGGTGGGGGGATGCTGGAGAGGAGGACCACTAATTTTTTTATTTTTTTTAACTCTCACTTTCACCTATCCCAGATAACCCTAAGTTTTGTGTTGCTGCTTTATATGTAGATGATAATGCATGATTACAATAAATAGAGAGAGAGAGAGAGAGAGAACCACCATCATTATGCAATGGTTCAGGGTTTGTGTAATGTACGTTTGAAACCATTTCTTAGCGTCTCAAACCTAGAAAAATAGCGAAACTATTTTTGAGGAAAAGCATTATACTGAACTGAATAAAGAATAATAACTTTAAATTGGCTCATACTAATACTGATACGGGCTAAATACAATGTGGTATCGGCACAGTAAGATCGGGTATTTGTATAGAGGTATTCCAAAATGACATTCTGATAATCAACATTTTGTTCTGTTATCATATGTATATACGCATAATACAACTGATCTTTGTGATTTCTTAACGTGACATAGTTTCTTCTCCCCCTGCAAACAAAAAAGAAAACAAGGTTATTTAATAAAAGGATCATGGGACAAAATGATCATTGTGATTCAAATTGATGCAAGGATTTTTTTTTAATATTAAGCAATGCTTTTCACCAGAATCTTCTTTGTAAAAACGACTTTTAAAAATCTCAGCCATGCAATTCTGCCACTGTGTTGTAAGATCACTTTCACATTAGGAGAAGTGTATTTCTTTAATGAGTATTTTAAATTGAATGGAACGTCTCAACTCAGTAAGCATGGCTGAGATTTGTAAAAGTTGTTTTTACAAAGAAGATTCTGGTGAATAGCAGTGCTTATTCAAACAAATATTTGAATCACAATCATTATTTGTCGCTTAATCCCTTTTAATGATCTGTTTTCTTGCTCGTTTCAGTTCAGTTCAGTTCATTTTATTCAAAACCACACAAAGCATGATATAATCTGTTACATAATAAAGAGACTGGTAATAGTACATCAATCAACATATTCTAACTTGATTACATAATAAACTGAATGGTTTTAGGACCCCTTTAGAAGCTAAGCTTGTGAGCGGGGCCCTATAGTCAACAAAGTACATACATTTACAGTAAAAAGAATGTTACGTATGATTATACAATGGATGAAAATACTAAGCTACAGAATATAGAACATACAAATACTCTCTCACACACACACGCACACACACACACACACTGACAAGTAGGTCCTTAGTGGTCGAAAAACATTTCAGAATAAGAAAATACTAAGATGCAAATAAAAACTATGTCAGTCTTTCAAGTAGGTACGTTTTAGATAACCTTCTAAACCTAGAAAGAGTTGTACTATTTTTTTTATATCATCAGGCAGACTGTTCCATTCTTTAATGCAAGGGGAGAAGAAGATAATGTCATAGTGTGGTACGGTATGTCACTGAAACAGCCCCCGTACGACTTTTGTGCCAAAATTGATTATCAAAGTGGGGGGGGGGGCTAAAGTATTTACGATCAGGTAGAGGGTAGCGAGCGTAAATTGGTGTGGGGGGCTCAGGGGGTGGAGCCCCGGAAGCTCAGGGGTTTTAGGCATTTAATTACGGTCAGAGAAGCACAAATATTTTGATGCCGCATTTACGTCACCGGCCAAACCGGTCCGTTTCACAAACATTAACACATCAACCAATTCAAAATATAAAAAAATGTTAGACATTCATACATAATATAATTATATGCAAGCCTGATCACAAAAAAATAAATTTCAAAATCTATTTTCCACATTGTATAATCCTCAGGACATGTACGAAATACAACAAACAGCCATTTATAAAATTTACATTATTGAAGAAAGGAATATAATAGACAAGCCCATGCAGTAGCTCTACGTCTCGACATTCTGTGTGATAAAAGTGCTGAGATATTAAAACGGCACTCATTTTTTTTTGCTTGTACCTCTAACATTTTTACCTCTGATATTTTTACCTCTGACATTTTTACCTCTGACATTTTTACCTCTGACATTTTTACCTCTGACATTTTTACCTCTGACATTTTTACCTCTGACATTTTTACCTCTGACATTTTTTCCTCTGACATTTTTACCTCTGACATTTTTTCCTCTGACAATTTTACCTCTGACATTTTTACCTCTGACATTTTTACCTCTGACATTTTTACCTCTAACATTTTTACCTCTGACATTTTTTCCTCTGACATTTTTTCCTCTGACAATTTTACCTCTGACATTTTTACCTCTGACATTTTTACCTCTGACATTTTTACCTCTAACATTTTTACCTCTGACATTTTTTCCTCTGACATTTTTACCTGGCACCCAACAAATATCGTGTACATGATTTTACTTGAATGATATGCATGCTGTCTAAAGATACGATATTATAATAGTACATGCATTATGTTAATTAGATGACAATTATGGCAATTACAGACACAAAATATTGAAACACTCCATGCACTCTTAGGAAAGACAGCTAAAGAGTTTGTGATGGAATTTTCAAGAAATATAGTCATGCCAAAGAAGGAAAAAGGGGGGAAATCTAAAAAGAAATAAAACATAAACAGGTGAGGACACAGACTGTACTGTGTGCACACAGGCGAGAGAGGGAAGGGGAAACACACAACAGTGCTAGAGTACAGCATAGGTACCTCTCCGTATAATAAAACATTAATAGCAACAGTATCCTCTCCGTATACGTGTACATTAAAAGAAACAAGATAAGGAAGGAACTGCAATACTTCTCAAGACTAGTCAATGTACAGATATAGTATGTAGTCATTGCTGAAGTAGAACATGATGTGAAATGTACAATTTGGTACACAGAGACCTGAAAAATATGCAATGATATCTACAAATCACAGTCTCATGAGCTGTAATGAAAGAATAAATGAAAAATATGCAATGGTATCTACAAATCACAGTCTCATGAACTGTAATGAAAGAATACATTATTAGTCGTTCATTATCATTACAATATACAGATATAGTATGTAGTCATTGCTCAAGTGGAAATTAATGTGAGATGTACAATTTGGTACACAGACACATTTTTTCTTCTTCTCATGAACAAACAAAATACAAAATATTCATGAAAATCACTGCCTCATGAAAAGTACAAAATGTAAAAGATATGAAAAATGTACAGGAAGGTTCATCATGAGAACGTCTGTCCCATGAGTATACAACATGGTCATGAGATCACTGTCTCCTAGGAAGTACAAAATGTAAAAGATATGAAAAAACATACAGATGGCTCATGGTAATCAACGACTTATAACGAGTATGCGAAAATTTCAGGAGGAATAGGCATATTTACTCTCTTGATTTCTCCTTTAGCCATCTGATGTAAAGTCGAACAGGGTTCTATTCATATGGCGCCATTTTCCCGCTGAGAACTTTAGCTTCGTCCCCTGTTGATAAAGACGACTTACTTCTTGAGCATGCCTTCGCTTTTCTGTGAGATCATCTTTAGTGAGGTCATCGATCATTAAGTAGTTTTCGTTGGCTAGAGATGCTCGTGTAGACTTCATAACGGTAACTTTGTCGCGAAATGATAAGAACTTAAAGAGGATGTGCCGTGGACGATCAGCATCGGGCTTACCATCTTGGTGAGCTCTCTCGATCCTGGGGGTTATTCCAAATTTATCACTCATGACATTCTGAACAATCTGGATGCAATCTTCGACTGTATTTTCCGGTTTTCCAACGAGGCGCACGTTGTTTCGGCGAGAGAAGCGTTCTGCTTTGTTAATCCCAGCTTTCTGCTCAGCCGATTCTCGGAGAAGCGAAGTCATCTGCGTGTCGAGTGTGGAGATCTTCTTCTCAAGTGCAGCGTTCTTTTCCTGGAGTTCGTTTACTCTTTGGGACTCGAATTCGATTGCCGCCCCCAGGTCTCGCTCGACCCTCTTTACATTTTCGACTAGAGAGTCAACAGCTTTTGTAATCATTGTTTCAATTTTTCAGTCATTTTAATAAAGTATCAATCTATGTGTGCAATGCTTACAGGGCTGGGGTCAGAGGTTGTCGAGCGGCTCGCAGAGTCCGACAATGCGCCAACAGCTGCGGCGGGCAAGCTTCGCGGTGGTGATGTCACGTGACCATCGTACGTCAAGCCCATCGGTTGACGTGGCAGGAGAGGAGTAAAAATGGTCTAAACTTATGTCTTCCTCCTGCATTTCCAAGTGTCCTTTGGCCCTTCTTGCGAGTCTTGTCCTTTGAGAGTTCATCGTCGGTCGATTGCAAGTTATATAGTCCGTTTACAGCGCATATAGCGAGGAAAGTTCGAAAAAATACGGAGAGGCAAGAAACCTACGTCCTACTCGTATGCATGTCGCGAAATCATTTAAGGTGTTCTTACGATCATCGTAAGAATTTGAGGCTGAAAATTTAAAGCCTACAAAGTGTACGAAGATCTTGCATGGTTCTTACGACGTTCATACGGCCGCCTTACGAACAGAGATTTTCGTACGAAGTTGAACAAAATCTTGGACAAGACCAATGACCAGTCTGCGAACTTACGATTGGTCTACGAACGCTGGTTTCATATGGCCTTCTCAGTTAAGACAATTTTACGAAAAGGTCTGAAAATCGTTCGTACAGCGTTCGTAGCAGTTCGTAATGGTATTTGTGACCGAAGCTTAATCAATAAAACAAAAAATCAAGAGGAACGTAAAATTCGAAAATATTGACAAGATCTCGTATCTACACTGTTACCCATGAACATGGAATAACTTTTTCTTACCCCTTTTCATGAAATGCCGGATTGTTACAAAATGATTTATTCTTGATAGGTTAATGTTATACATGTATCTTCTATGAACTATATTGATCAATCTCTTTGACTTTTGAAAGAAGTAAAAGAATAACACAAGCTAAGAAAGACAGAAAGAGAAAGTGATAGAATGATTAAAACAAAGAATAACAGAAAGAGAAAATGATAGAAGGAAAACAAGGAATAACATAACAGGCCACGATAAGGAGCTATATATTGTGTACGCAAATTGTATGAAAAGCAGGCGCGCGGTTTTTGCCCAAACCGGAACAGGCCTCGATAATGACGCCACAGAATCATGATTGAGATCTCCGTTCGTTCAATCGAATTTAAGCGACTGTGATTCTGCAGAATCATAATAAAAAACCCATCTTTTTCAGCGTTTCATGTTTGTGTTTTTATACACGTTTATTTTTACGACCGACGGAAAAATCGCTTGACCGCAACGTGTTTTAGGGTGCGTTCGAAGCTAAAATCACAAATATAAATCATAAATCAAAATGCCGTTACAAAACAAGGTCACTGCGGGAAAGCGTTCAAGCGATTCTAGCTCATTTCGAGCCCAGCTGCGCATCACACTGCGCAGTTTGACCCAGGAAGTATAGGTCAACTTCGGCGAGCGCTTTCTGGAATTGTTTACGGCCGACTGCCGACTGTCGACTGCTGTTTTGAGCAGAGATCGCAATAATAAAACAAAGAATGAGAAAGTGATAGAAGGAAGAAACAAGGAATAACATAAGGAATGAAAGAAAGAGAAAGTGATAGAATGATTAAAACAAAGAATAACATAAGAGAAAGTGATAGAATGATTAAAACAAAGAATAACATAAGAGAAAGTGATAGAATGATTAAAACAAAGAATAACATAAGAGAAAGTGATAAAAGGAAGAAACAAAGAATAACATAAGGAAAGACAGATTAGAGAAAGTGAGAATGATTAAAACAAAGAATTACATAATAAAAGGTGATGAAAGGAAAATGTGTCGATTGAACGCACCCCTGGTGGTTACGCATTGCGTGAACTATTCGTAAATTAGAAGTGACCCTGCGTGCCGCTGCGCGTGCCAATAATTTGCACGCCATAGAGCGGGGCAGTGCGGGACCAAAATGCGGGCAAGTGTCAACGAGGCATATGTCTCCGCTCTGTGGCGTGCCAATGCGTGCTAATTAGTGGCACGCAGCGGCACGCAGGGTCAAGTCTAATTTACGAATAGTTCACGCAATCCGTAACCACCAGGACACGCATTCGTAGACTAAGCGCATGGCATGCGAAAACTGCGCGGGAAGTATGCGCAGCCAATGCGCAAATTGTGCGCAAATTAGTCGTTAACTAGTCGTTAACATGCGTGCCACTCGGCCATCGCACACGTATCGGCGCGCTCTGGCACGACTGGCAGCGCATAGGGTGCGCATAGTTCACGAAGTGTTCACGAACGTTGCCAAACAAAATTTTCGTGCCAAAATTTTGAACATTTTGAAAATTCTGTCACGCATTTCACGCACGGCCCGCATCCGCGCGCATCCTCCCGCACGCTACCACGAATACTTCCCGCATTGGCACGCAAGAGTATGTGTCTCGCAAACTGTGCGCAAACCAAAATGCGGGCAAGTGTCACCGGGGCAATAGGCCCTATGCTTTGCTGGAGTGAATTATCTCCCCATCATACCTCTAAAGACATTTCAGTCAAGTAGATTTTCCTGGTGACTGACACATGGTAGCAACAATCGGTGCAATGGCAGTTATCCCTTAGCCAAACGGCTGGATAATCTTGCTCCTCACCATCCGACCACAGCACCGACACCAACTGACCATCGCCGGAGATCGACGTTGACAACAGTGGGGTATTTTTTCCCCACGAATCGATTAGCGGCGCGTCATAATCGAACGCCGAGATTACTTCGTTTGAGTAGCTCTCATCTCTGGCAGCCACAGGGACCTGGTTACTACTCCACGCTCTATTTCCAGATGCCGCTCTCGCTGGAGCAGACGACTTCAGATAGCATTTCCTCTTTGAATCCTGCGATGTACACATTTGAAGCCTACTGAGCCCCGGTTTCGCATAGGCAGAGGCTGTGATACCCGCGCGAGATAATGGAAGAAAAGGTCTCGAAAACATCTTCGATCTCTTAAAAGATTGACAGAAGGCCGAAATCCAACACAGATATAGATTGCGGGCTGTAGTTTGCGCGCGGATTCAAGTTGGCCCGAATTCACAAAGCAAGGTTTGAGGTTTGTAAATAACAAAAGGAGGTTTGGCGGAACAAAAGGAGGTTTGAGCTCGATCAAACCTTGCTTTGTGAATTCGGGCCGTTATGTCTTCATTACACTATACATGTATCACACAAATTAAATAACGCTTGAATGGGTTTGGGTGACCCGACGGCAGGTCGGTGATCCCGGAGCATTAGGGACTTTTAGATTTGCACAACGACAACGTCCTTTCAATGCACTGCCTTGACGTACCAGTCCATATCAGTCACCCATATCAGTCCACGCAAATCTAAAAGTCCCTATTGACAATAACTAGGGATTAAGAAACGGACTTATTAGGGACTTTTAGATTGAGTGGACGAGAACACGACGAACGCCGACTGATCATGCGTGTCAACGTACTCAACTGCCCATGTTGACTACAATTAGAAATCTTTTAGATTGCACTCGACGATATACATGCATGCAGGAAGTAACACTATGAACATGACAGACAAAGAAAGAGGACAAAATATACAGTTCCTCATTCTACTCTCAACAATAGGCCATTTTCGTAATGTAACCAAATTTAATGCATTGGTCTTTGTGAAGTGCCTCAATACAAATTATTTCATTCACCTGATAGGAATAATAGTATTTCAATAGTCAGAATGCAACTGCATTATATTAAGTGTTTGCTAGGTAGGTATAATGTTTGTCCAACCTGGCAACAACTAATGTATGCAGTTAGGATTCTGTCTATTGAAATACTATTATTCTTATCAGGTGAATGAAATAGTTTGTATTGAGGCACTTCACAAAAACCGTCAGACTCTTGGCCATTTTGATCGTAATGACATCTTTACTTCTATAACGTTTTGTACCTCTGACATTTTTACCCGGGATTATGTCTTTAAGCATTGTGTTATTTGTTTGTAGGCTTTTTGGCTCTAGAAAAGATAGCTGATGGCATAATATCAAATTTCCTACCTCTAGCAGATCCAAGGGGAGGAGGGGGGGGGTGGGGGACTGTTGATTGGTAACTCTTTTCTTTCTTCGTAGTAAATACAAATCTCAAATATTTTGAAAACTTCATCGAACATGAAAAATGTCTTTAACATGTTAATGTTTTTAAGTATATCAACCCGCTAATATCCACACAAGGGCAGCGCAATTTAAATATAAAGGGATGTATTAGAGTTTATTTCTAAAATGAAATGAAAGGGCTATTTGACTTTCAAGGTCGATAAAAACTCTAATCCATCCCTTGGAATTTAAATTGCACTGTCCCCATTGTGTGAAGTTTTCAAAGAGCACAAAATGACCTCAAATTGAACATTCCATCTCATAAAATTGTTTATAAAAGAGAAAAAGATGTTATTTCTAAAATGAAATGAAAGGGCTATTTGAGAAATATCCTCTTTCTCTCTTCAAGACAATTTCTCTCTTGAAATTCAAATAAACTCGAGAGCATCCTGGGGCTCTGCCAGGCCCCTCAAGCTCTGCCATGTTGTACGGGTCCATTATAAAGCAAAATAAGCCCCCTCAATAATTACGTCATAGCGATTCATCCAATTAAAAAATCCACGTAAGAGGCATTTTTAAAGTTTTTAGAAAATTCCTTCAAATTCCAGGAAATTGGGTTTTCTTTTTCAGGAAACTCTATTTAAACGAGTGATAGCACTGGCGGCTCTGTGTTTTTTTTAAATTGTAACAATTTTCCTTGGATCAGATATAGACCAAAAACAAGCCTCATTATCTTCAGTATACAAGTGTCATTTCGGACCTTACAGCTTTCATAGAAATCACTTCTGGACCGTCAAAGAAAAAGTTTGAGAACCCCTGGCCTACGCATTATACACGTCAGGACCAACTTAACAAGGTGAAAGTTTTCGATCTCGAGTATCAATTTTCATGACTTTCTTCTTTGTTCGATTTCTATAAACCCCCCCCCCCCCCTGGATTTGTCTGCTTCCACCAAGACGAACTCTTTTACGAAGGGGTGCCAATAAGTACGCGTGAAAGAGAGAGAGAGAGAAAGATAGAGGAGATACAAATATACTGTCAAGAAAGAGGCTATAGAGAAAGACGGGAAAAGGTGAGCAAAAGGTGCCTCTTTTTACGTTTGAAAAGTGACATTTTCCTTTTAAGCAGTTCCCCTTCCCCTTATAAATACGTGCTTCTTTTCACCTCTGATATGTGCCTCTTTAATTTTGACACAGCGTGTCCCCTTTTCATTATTACTCTATTTCTTTCTGACAAATGCCCCTTTTTTTAACAGCCCCTTCCTCTTTTCATAAATACTCATTTTCATCTCTGATAAATGCCCCTATTAAAATCTGATAGGTGCCCCTTTTCCTTCGACAGAGGCCCCTTTTCCTTTCTCATAAGTACCTTTTTCATCTCTGGTGAGTGCCCCTTTTCAAGGTCACGGTTTATTATGACATGTGCCCATTTTCTATTCTAACGGTCATTTTTCTTTCTGAAAACTATCCTTTTTCCTTTCTCCATAACATACGCCCCTATAGAGCCACTTAGAGCCACTTTTTTTTCTTCATTTATTTCCCCCCAAAGCTCGCTCGCATTTATAATTGGTATAATTGTGTTACTTATGAAATGTATTTGCAGTCTTTTATGATTAAATTGTGCTTAAAATCAATCAGGGTTTGTTGTTGTTTTTCTCATTATAAAACTTTTCGCCCTGCGACGTCACAAATCTTAATTCTTTTCTTAATATTCAGACCATCACACTCAACTGCAAAGTATATTATTAAATAGTATATTGGACGATGTATAAAGAAAGAAACACGTATTGAAATCATCCCTGATAATGTAATCACAATCATAAAAATGTAGGGGTATATAGGCCTACCAATGTCTAAATATGGTAGATTTACATTTTGATGTTTCCCTTTGTATAGGTGCACCTTATATTCCAGAAAGTGCCCTATTTTGATGGTGCCCCCCCCCCCCCTTTGGAAAATGCTCCATCGCGCCTGTTTGTGCTTAACCATTTTTTAAATTTAGCTTTGATTCAACTCATACTCCCGATCGTCTAGCGTCGAGTCAAAAGACTGAAAGGTCCTTTATATTTAACGATATTTGGTTTACGGTTTATTAAAATACTGAACCTGGTATGGCAGCACGTAGGCTGAATTACATTCAATTTACATTAACATGTTATTTCTTGGTTAGTAATCAATGTAATCAATATATCTATTGCTAAAACGTGAATGTAATCGTAACTTGATCAGACAAATAATCTTTTGGTCAATAATTGCCGAATGAAAATAAAGATCACAAAATTGATGCCGCTTTGTTATAATTTCCTTAACAAATCGTGATCATTGTATTTTTCTGTGAGACGCTTAAGGTAATTCATGAATATGCATGAGATTCATCTGTTGGTTTCTATTGGACCCATTGGTTTCTATTAATTTGTTGGTCCTATTGGTTTCTATGGGTCTTATTGGTTTCTATTAATATGTTGGTCCTATTGGTTTCTATTGTTCCTATTGTTTTCTGTTGGTCCTAGTGGTTTCTACTGGTCCCATTAGGTTCTATAGGTCCTATTGGTTTCTATGAATATGTTGGTCCTAGTGGTTTCTATGGATCTTATTGGTTTTGCCCTATTGCATGGGTGTCGATCCGTAACTGATACCTATTCATCAGGGGGTGATCTATTCATTTATCCCCCCCCCCCCCCCTGATGAATAGGTATTACGTAAGGATCGACACCCATGCCCTATTGGTTTCTATTAATATATTGGTCCTATTGGTTTCTATTGGGTCCTGATTCCTGAAAAAGGACCTGGGGGTAGCTGGCTCTCGGTAGCTTAGCCACAAAGCCATGTTCATTTTTAAAACTGGCTTCAATAGCCTCTTATTGCCAGATTTACAACGTTTTTTTTTACATATTCAATTATAATTTCCTCGTTTATTCTCTCTCTACTGTCCCGTTCTATCCTTTTTTCAGTCTGTAAACCACTTTGCAACATGAAAACAATGATGAACAGGGTTCTACTTCTCCTATAAATTTAATAAAAGCGCCCTAATCTTGCCCGGGTTCATACAAAGGGCCTCGAAAGCATTCCCCCATCTCGCCTGTATACCCGAGCAGAATCGTGCTCAATAATATGAATTCATAGAATTAATGATAGATATGATTCTATTGCTATATTATAGAGGTAGAAAATCTAAGGACAACCTTGCTCTAAATTAAAAAACTAGATGATATTTCTATAGAGAGAAAGACATGTACAAAGTTCGTTGGTATCTATATCAATGAAAAACGTTGAGGATCAGCCACGCACCGTAAGACGCGGAAAGACTTGATGCATGGCTGATCGTCAACGAAGCGGAGTTAAAGGTAAAGTGAAATGGAAGCTCTCATTACCAATCATGTGAAAGAATATGTTTTGACTAATACATGATGATAAAAAATTTGCCGGGAAACCGCCTACTTATTCATATATTTGGTAAATTTGTTTCTCTCATGGTCTGTGAGAGATATAGGGTAGTCCCATATGCATCTTTTTGTGTATAGTGTTTGTAACTTTACGAAGAATGGGCCAAATTTCTTATCATTTTGATGATTCCAGAACCTTGCAGATGCTAGATGCTAGATGCTAGATGATCAACCTTTTCTGATCGATTCCACAACGTTTCTTTCACAATGCAATCGCATGACCATAACTGGTCTTTACCTTTAAGTCTTTTGTCAACTCTGTAAGTAGGCAACACCAGTGAAAACGAATATGTTTAATCAAATTATTGAAATGCAAGCATTACTTTAAACAAACAGAAATTTGTTATTCCTTGCTTATTTTTCCTGATTGAGGTATCATAGGAAAGGGCAGAAAATGAACCTTCTAGAAATGTGATTTTCTCATTGAAATTCTTATAGGCCTACCGCCCGCCAAATGACTTGTTGGTACCCTCTATTCAATTTTGATACCTTTTACACTGGCACGACGCTAATTATCGTGGGCTCCAGTGGGCGGAGGCAGGGGCGGATCCAGCCGTCGGGAAGAGGGGGGGGGGGCAAATCTTGAGAAAATATTTAGCGGCGAATCAGCCAGCCGGCGAACGGCGAATGAGCGGGAGGGGGGGGGGGGGTAAGAGCACATATATATATATATATATATATATATATATATGGGGGGGGGTCCAATTTTGTAGGGAATTTTTTGCGCTGAATCAGCCGGCCGGTGAATAAGCGGGGGGGGGGGGGGGGGGGTGAAGCGCCATTTTTACATGACTTTCTTTTTAACTCTCACTTTCACCTATCCCAGATAACCCTAAGTTTTTTTGTTGCTGCTTTCTATGCGGTTGATTATACATGATTAAAATAAATAGAGAGGGAGAACCACCATCATTATGCAAGGGTTCAGGGTTTGTGTAATGTACATTTGAAACCATTTCTTAGCGTCTCAACCCTAAAAAAATAGCGAAACTATTTTTGAGGAAAAGCATATACTGAACTGAATAAAGAATATATATTGTCTCATACTAATACTGATACGGGCTAAAGACAATGTGGTATTGGCACAGTAAGATCGGGTATTTGTATAGAGGTATTCCAAAATGACATTCTGATAATCAACATTTTGTTCTGTTATCATATGTATATACGCATAAACTGAGCTTTATGATTTCTTAACGTGACATAGCTTCTTCTCCCCCTGCAAACAAAAAAGAAAACAAGGTTATTTAATAAAAGGATCATGGGACAAAATGACCAATGTGATTCAAATTGATGCAAGGATTTTTTTTTGAATAAGCAATGCTTTTCACCAGAATCTTCTTTGTAAAAACGACTTTTACAAATCTCAGCCATGCTATTCTGCCACTGTGCTGTAAAATCACTTTCAGATTAAGACAAGTGTATTCTTTAATGAGTATGTTAAATTGAATGGAACGTCAACTCAGTAAGCATGGCTGAGATTTGTAAAAAGTTGTTTTTACAAAGAAGATTCTGGTGAATAGCAGTGCTTATTCAAACAGATACTTGCATCAATTTAAATCACAATCATTATTCGTCGCTTAATCCCTAATCGCCTTAGAGCCTTAGGTGGAATCCAGGGACAGATCCCCCGGAAGCTCAGGGGTTTGAGGCATTTAATCACGGTGCGATGAACAAATTTCAATACTCACTATTTTGTGACACTGGCAGGTCACTATTTGTTCTTTTATTCTTTCTTTCATTCTATTTCTCTTTAAAATACTTTTTCGAAAAAGTGAGGAGGCTCGAGGCCCTTGAGCCCCGCAGTTCCGCGGGCCCTGACATTGCCCGACTGTACAATTAGAAAACTGTCATTTTCCACCAAACTGAAGTATGATTTACTAAAAAGTGAGGGAAAATCTTGGAAATTATGTCATTTCAGCAACATTTGTAATTCACCGGTATCGAATTAGAAATGTACCACATTTTAATTTTAATTTGATTTGATTTGATTTTATTTCCTCCCCTTTTTCTCGTCTTTTCCTTTTTTCTTACCATTTCCTTCCTTCTCTCTTATTTTGTTGATGTGGAGAGGCAACATCAGCCTGGGAGGCAAGGCCCTTTTGACTCCCCCGATCTCCTTCCCCCTCCCCTTTTTTCTTCTTCCTTCTTTCCCTTTCTCTATTATTTCCCTTTCTCTTTTTTTCTCTCTCTATTTTTTTTTGCGGGGGGGGGGGGAGGGGCAAGGCCCGCTCGCCCCCCCCCCCCCCCTCTTGGATCCGCATCATGAGTGAATTGCCAATTTGTATTGTGATTTTCAAAGTTTTACATGTCATTCAAATTTCATAATTTTCTTATTAGTTATCCCATTTTGCTCAAACTTTATTTGATTGGTTTGTCTGATTTGTTACTTCTATTGAAAATAAGTTATATTTTGGATTGGACTTTAAACACATAGGCTACTGGATAGCTGCTTTGATTTTCAACATAATATACATGTCTGTAAGGGACCCCACTGGAAATAAGCTCTCGAGCTTTCGTGGGTTATCCTGTTCAAGCTGATTTATTTTTGATCTGTTATTGTTGTATATTATTATTATTATATTATTATTATTGTATAGTGTTGTATGTTGGAAGCTTGTCGAATAAAAATCAATCAAGCAATGTTTAAGATTTAAATGGGGCTTCCGGATTTTGAAACGGGGGACTTAGCGCACAGGAGGCACTTTCGTGGTAGGCCTATTGAAGAAAAATGATGGGGCACTTTCCCTTTACCGCCACAGCCCTGGAAACACCTATTATTCCTACTTGAAAACCGTCGACCTGTTCCTTAATTTCCTATGATCAAAAAATTGTCAGGATTTCTGAAATGTTATTACTTTTCTTCATGCATCCTTTCGTACTGGCAATACGATCTGGCGCCATCTCTTGTCATACCGGCGGAAATGGAGGATTGGAAAAGTTCAGCTGTGGCGTAAGAAATTAGAAAAGCTAGACCGAAAGTTCTTGTATAGATCTGTGTCAACTTTCACGAATTTACGTCGCACAGTGAAGACTCCATCTAGTATTTAAGGCAGTCGACAGACGGAAATTGTTGTATTTCTACGAAGGTAAGAACTAAGAAGCAGCATTTACCGAATGGTGTGTATGTAGTTGAGACTTAGGCGTCGACTTTGCTTTCACCTCAGTCCCGCCCATAGAAATCCTGGATGTGTAGTAAAAGAGGCAACACTGACCCACTGTGCTGCAGCACACATAGCTGCATATTTTAGCACACAACATCGGGTGCGCGATCAGACACCCTATACTACTATCCTGGCTGTGTATTAAAAGCTGTGCTATTGATTCTCAACATTTCAAACACCACTGTACAAAGCTCAACTGATTTCGCTAAAAATCGGTACTTTAGTGACAATTGATGACACCTAAAATAGCAGTAAAATACAATTTTGTTAACTTACTCTTACCGATGTTAGAAAGAATAATTTAAAAATTCTAAGTCTACTGTCACACTTTGCTTACACTTACAGCCGCATCGGCATGATTGTGTGCATTTGTGTATTATGTATGTATTGACTATTCATGTGAGCAAATTAAGGCTGCGACGGGTAGTCGAATGCTCGAGTACCCGCACGGTTGACAACTACTCGGGTACGATTTCTTGTACCCGAATATTCGGCCGCAAAAAAAAAAAAATTTAAAAAAAAAATAAAAAAAAAAAAAAAATGTCCAGGCCCACGCTCACCCGTGCCAGGGAGAGCAGCGTCCGCTGGCATGGTACCGTCGGTAAAAATGTTTCCCAACTCAAGCACTGTCAAACTCACCTTTCAGAAACTGGGACCAAATGTCCAGATTTCTGTTTGGACTTGGAGGAAAATGGATTATTCTGCCATCTTTGGTTTTTAAAACAGCATTGTTTACTGTTATTATTCTTATTAAATCGGCGCCTTCAACTGCAACTCAAGGTAAAGTTGCATGCGTATTCAGCGAGCTGCGCGAGGGACCTGAGAAACTGCCGAGTGGTATGGTAGTGGCAAAAAAAGAAAAAGAAGGAAAAAAATCCAAAAATTAAAAAATTAAAAAAAAATCAAAAAAATTTAAAAAAATTTAAAAAAATTAAAAAAAAATTAAAAATTTTAAAAAAAAACATGGCGTCCGAATATTCGAGTATTCGCCTGTGAGCCTGGGAGTGTACTCGGGTACCTCATGACACTGTTGTGCACAGCCCTAGAGCAAATGCTTCCTAACATGTAGTGCAGTGCTACAGATTTTTACAAAATGAACGTTGGAAGGTAGAGTAAAGGAGGGGGGTAATCGACCGTCGACAGTTTTCGGTCGGTCCGTTGGCTGCATGGTAAAATCCCTTTAAAATACATTGCATAATAGCATATCACATATCCCACACATACCATAACATGCCAGAGTCACTGAAGAACCACATTTGCAATGGAAAATATATCCTTAAATATCACATTTTAGCGATGCGGCGGTCCCGCTACCCGAATCTGAAAAATTGAGTATCTTACGCGTGTCTGTAAGGTATATGGGTACCATAAAATGAGCTTTATTTCAAGTATTTTTCAGAGTTAGAGCCCGATCTTGTGTGAGTCGCAAGCTCAAAAGTATCTCATCACATGTATTAAATCAATGCAGCCGGACACCGCAGCGCACACACGATATCTCTGTCTACAGGTAATTCTGATTACAATTTCTGATCACCGCAGAGATAGTTTTCGGCATGGCGAGCCCCGGGGAGCTCTGCCGTGGGATACCTGCTCCGCCCACTAGTGCTATAGATCAGCGAGGAAATGCACGGCCTGCGCGTGCTTCCTATTGACTTTGTACATGACCGAAAACTGTCTCGCTAGGCCGATAACTGTCTCCGAAACAGTGAAAATCAAAATGAATACTGTCATTGCAATTCATGATTTTTTTTCTGGGATTCTTTTTTTGTTTAAATAATAATAATATTTGCTTCATGATTTGAACAAGAAATGATAATAAATAGGAAGTAAAGAGTCAAAAAAATTGGATTTTGTCTTAAGTGGCCGAAAACCCCCTCTTTTACTCTAGATAGAATACGATGTTTATGTCAATCTTATGTTGGTTTAGGCCCATAGCTACAGCCATCTCAAAATGTGAAATAACTTGCCTTTTGTGAAACAACCCCCTGATGTTTGTTTCATTTTTTTCCATCCACTAGAAATTGTTGCTCATTGACTCAGCCATGTCGCTGAAGCCGAGGATCGTGAACTTCGAGGAGACGTGGGGGCGACTACTAGAGACGGTTCAGTCGGTCATTCAGCTCGGGGACATCAAACGAGGAACGTGGAGTGACAGATTTTCGTATCCTTTTTTTTCATCAAGTTTTGGGGCCTGTACACTTGTTTTTTTAGCTTAATGATAAAGTTATGATATGGTCAATGTGACTGCAAATGTGACAGACACTTTTGAGAAATGAAGGTTTTGTACTACTTAATAATTGTGTGTTTTTATATCATCAAGCTGAGGTTTTAAAATCATCACAATTATAAGAAGTTGACTTAATCTTATTGAAAATCGGAAACAATGAAAAACACTGAATACAGGAATGGGTATGTGGTACTACACACTGAGTTTGGTCCAAGCTTTTAAGCTATTTCTGGTGTTTTTTTTAATATCAGCGTATTTGAAGAGGTATCTTTTTCCAGAGGACATTTCTGATACATGTATGATATTCTTGCACTGAAGAATGAAAAGGGTGAGAAAGCCTACAAATTATGCTTTAGACATCTTCACCAGAACGCAAACTTTTTTTTATGCTAAATAACGGTCAATCAAACCAAAACTTGATCAAAAATATAGAAGTCATTTAATACCGGTAGTGCAATTTTATAATGAAATTTAACAAAATTTAGACAGATTTGATTGTTTGAAATTAAGAAAAAAATTGAAATAATGTACATGTACGTGTTACATGTATGTATAATCTCTTATTTGTCCGGTAGTGTCTGGGATAGGCCTTGTGTTTGACCACTATCTTTGATCTGAATATTCAATTGGTTCATAATAAATCATTATGGAGTCTGCTACTAACTATATGGTGTGCCTGGGTTACTGCTAATGAACTATTTTCTCTTGAGAATGTTCTTTTATTCAGCAGTTTGATCATATATGATTCCTTTACTCGTTGTATTGCTTCAGTGATGTGTATGCTCTCTGTGTAGCTTTCCCTGAGCCTCATAGTGAAAGGCTGTACAATGTGACTAAATTATTTCTTGAAGAGCATGTGGATAACCTCAGAAAGGTAAGTAATTTCCAATCCGCCTAGAAAATAGATAAACAAATAAACAAACAAACAGACAAGCTCAAAAGGCTGTGAGAAGTAAAATCAAATAAATTTATCATATATTCATTGTTATTTGAAAGAATTATAAAACATCATAGAATGATGAAGAAATTTATAACTCAGTGATTATATGCAAGAACTATGTAGTTCTAATATTTTTGTCGTAGCAAATTTTATCCCTAGATTTTACTGTACTATAACTCTTCTTGTGCTAGATCATAAATAGCCATTCATTTGTTGTGTGTGGAAAATATTCTTTTATTTCTGATAGCAAGTAGCGGGCGCTGGAGAATCATTGCTATCACAGTACCACAGATTCTGGCAGCAGTACAGCAAAGGAGCTGCGTACATGGATCAACTCTACTCGTAAGTTATTCTTATGAGGCCTAAATTTAAAAAAAGACGTTGTATTGCCCTTTAGATGCCAAAACATGGGTCAGTCAGTCAGAAATTTTCTTTTTTTAAAAACTTTTTCTCTCCCTCTTTGGGCTGATATTTCTCAGTTTTGATTGCTTTAATTTTTTTTTCTCTAAAAAAGGGTAACAAAAAAAAACTTTTTTTAAAAGCAGACCGTAGATGTCAAGATTTTGGGGTTGGTCTCAAAGGGTAATACATCTTTTTTTTAAAGGTCTAATGGTGTTCCAGCAGATGTTCGGTAATAGCTCGTGATCACATTATCTCAAAGATTGATCGATTCCTGCCAAACTTAGGTCATGTATGTATCTAGCAGAGCTAATGAACTGATTATATTTTGGGGTCACGAGGTCAAAGGTCACAGGGCTCATTATGTATGAAAAAAAGCTTGTGATCGCGATATCTCAAGAACCGCTGGATGAATTCCTGCCAAACTTGAGTCATGTATGTATCTTGCAGCGCCAATGATCTGATTAGATTTTGGGGTCAAAGGTCACAGGGGTCATTATGTATGCAAAAGTAGCTTATGATTACATTATCATTAGAACCGATGAACAGATTACCATCAAACTCAAAACATGTATTTATCAAGCAAAGCCAATGAACTGAGTAGAATTTGGGGTCAAAGGTCATGGGGCTCATTATGTAGATTTTAGAATCATAAGATCAAATACCAAAGGGTCATATAAAAAAATAGCTTGTACATGTAATAACGATATTCTGCCAACCTGTTAATGGATTACAATCAAACTTGAATTTGAAAAATTACTCTAAATGACGAGGCATCATTTTCGACTGCCCGCAGTCGAACATCCATCTTGTTATTATTATGATCACTAATACTACTGCTACTACAACTACTTCTACTACTACTACTACTACTACTACTACTACTACTACTACTACTACCTCTACTACTACTACTACTACTACTAGTAGTAGTAGTATCATTCTTTCATTATCATCATGATCATCATCATCATTAATTAGTAGTATACTATATCATCATTATTATTATCATTATTATGGTGATGACAATGATGATGTTTATAATATCATTATCATTATTATTATTTATCATGATTATGATTATTATTATCATTATTTCTTCTTCTCCAGATATCTGAACCAGCACATACGCAAGCAGAAGATGAGCGAAGCAGACAGGAATTTTGGAGCTTTTACAGATACCATAGAAGAACAGCTGATGGACATAGGCGAGGTATGAATTTATCTAGAGTGTATTTAAATCCCCACTGCACTACTTATAGCTACTTGCGCCCTCTCAGAACAAACAATGCCCAATCGGTGACCGTTGGTCCCCCCCCCCCATGGTCCGCCTTTTCTTATGTTAATTGAGAGCTGATTTGATGAGATATCCACCTGTCAGTGAACATGCAAGGAGGTCGAATCCCTCCTGGCCATACCAGTGCAGTGGGGCTTTAAACCTGCAGCATCTCTGCATTGTGTTATATTATGTTAATTGAGAGCTGATTCGATGAGATATCCACTTGTTAGTGAACATGCCAGGAGGTCTAATCCCTCCTGGCCAAACCAGTGCAGTGGGGCTTTAATCTGCATCATCTCTGCACTGTGTTATATTTGCAGCTGAAACACATTTCCATTACAGTTCATTAGTTTGGAACCCTGTTATTTTTGTAATTATTAATACCCTTTGATACATTGATGGCACTATGCTGGCACATTGCACAGAAATATCCCAGTTTATCTGTATGATAAGCTGCCATCAGGATTATTTCTACAGGGTACAAGGTACAATCTTTTATTTCTATTTCTTCCTTCCTAGTTGGCCCTGGACATCTGGAAGAGATTGATGATCAGACCCCTTGATAAATGTTTACAAGAACTTCTTCTCAGAGAAATGCTCAAGTGAGTATTTGGTTTCTAATTATCCATGTGTATCATCTGTTTCGAGCCAGAAGGATTTTAACTCATGTACTTGAAATCAGAATTAATGACGCTTAGTAGTAGGCTCTCATAGGGAATTTGACGCCATTCGGGTGTTTACCCAACTGGTGCTGTCACTTACCAGCTTTATGACCAACAGACCTTATGTAACGGTCTGCATTTTCCACTCATTCCAGTTGACTCTCAATCCAGGGCTTGAGGTTCAAGTCCCGGCCGGCACTACTGTCCTTTAGCAAGACATTAATCTACATTTACCACTCTCTGCCAAGGTGTTAAATGGGTATCTGGTAGGATGTGAAAGTCATTGTAGTTTGCTTAGCATTGTGTTTGTGTCAGTGCAGATACAGGTATGTAATAAAGCTACTGGGAGTGAGTGCACTAATGCAAACAAATATCTTTCATTTAAAAATAGATATACAGTCAAACCTACTATAGAGTCTACAAAGACCACATTTTGTGTTTCCCTAGAAAATGGATTCTCATTGAAACATGTACTAAAGGAACCTGTCTACAAAGACCACTTTTTGTGTTTCCTTTGGGCGGTTGCTATCGACAGGTTTGACTGTACATGTCACATGTTTTGGAATAAAACTCTTCATTTGTGTTGATAACTTACTTGCAGGGATCGAGCAGGAGACGACACCCAGCACACTGTCCTCCATAGTGTCATTAATTCACTGGTTGAAGTAGAGCAGTACAAGAAGAAACAGCAGCTCAAGGTATAGTACCATACACAATGAAACTTTAAACGGGCTGTTTCACAAAGATTCTAAGTCGAACTTAACTCTGAGTTTGACTTAAACATTATGGAGAGTCATTTGTAGCCTTAAAATGATATATATTCAAAAGCAAATATTCAAGTATTTTAGACTTTTTTATAAATTCCACATCAAGAACATGAAACCTCCTTGATAATAGAAATATGAAAGATTGGAATCAACATTTTATGCCTTTAAAAAAAACTTTAACAAAATATCTTCAAGATGCTAACAGTTTTCCATAATTGTTAAGTCCAACTTAAAGAAAAGTTTAACTTAGGTTTTTTGGGAAACACCCCCCTGGTCTCAAGTGATGGTAATGGAATTGCATTTCGATAGAAACTGTCTTAAATTTATCTTTCATTGTCATGTAATGTGCTTTGATCGTTTCTGCAATTACCACTTTACCTTAAAAAGGCAGGTTTATTTTGATGCTCTCTTAGTTATAGGGGGGTAGATTCCAACCCCCTCCCATATGTCGGTCATGGCGGATGACGAATTTGGAAGCTTTGCTCATAGATAGATAGGGGGTCTTCTAAAGATTATACCTATAAAGTTTCATATCCATATCTCAAGTGGGTTTGGAATCATTTGCTAATTAATGTTCCATGTTCACATATTGATGATATTGCATTGTGTACGGTACAGTACTCATGGACAAGGGTTCATGTTGGCCTTGGCCTAAAGTATATTTTAAAAAAAGGTATCAAAATGCATAAGACCCTAGGCTGTATTAAGCCATGGAGCTCGCACAAAGATATTGAACCTTTTTGACCTTCAATAATTTTACACAGAGAAGGGTCACAACATATTGAGCCTCATGTCTGGGTGGATCCCCCTCCCCCCCCCCCCCCCCCCCCCCCCCCATCAATCCCTTTTAGGGTTAAGGGAGACAAATGATTTTTCCCAGCAGGGTAATGTTTAATACAATATATTCTGTATTCATTGTCTTTAAACTAGTATTCAACTCTTGACTTCATCTGTGTGCTTCCTGGTGATTAGATTTGTTTTCTCCATCTTCATTTCGTCTTTTTTTGAAAATTCTTATGACAGCTTTACCAAGATCTGTTTGAGATCAAATGCTTAGAGCAAACGGGAGCATTCTACAGGAAAGAGTCAGCCAGGTTACTGCAAGATCATGACTGTTCACAATATATGGGCAAGGTAGAGTCTCATGTTATTTACATTTTTTTCTCATAAAAGATGAGGATTTATATTGTGCTTGTACAGTCAAACCTGCTTTAGTGACCATCTGTCTACAAAGACCACCTGTCTACAAGGACCACATTTTTTGTTTCCCTTGAAAAAGGTTTCTCATTGAAACATGTACTGAAGGAACCTGTCTACAAAGACCACTTTTTGCGTTTCCCTTAGGCGGTCGCTATAGACAGGTTTGACTGTACATGTATTAAGATAAGAAGTATTAAGAACTCCATACATAATGTATTTTATTGACATTAGTTGGTACATACAAAAAGTATATCATATGAGAAAAGCTCCTTGAAAAGGGTTACTCTTCAAATGCCTTCATATTTGAAGTATGAAGAGCCATAACCGAAATGTTTTGACCAAACTTTTGTGCCACATCCAGAGCTGACAACCATTCCGTTTTTGCCGGAATTACTCTGTTTTTTCCTCCCAATTACGGTATTACGTTTTTTCTTCATAAAATACGTTTTTTAATAATTTTTTTTATTTATTTATTTATTTTTTTTTTTTTTTTTTTTTTTTTTTTTAACATACCGCACGTCAAACAACTGGCCTAAAATGGTGATTTGATCACAAATTCAATAGAAAAATAATTTTAAAACATACTTGAAGAGAAAAATATCAAACAAAATGAAATGCCGATAATACTGTACCAAAATAACCACAAAAAAAATTACCTGCTTGTATGGAAAAAACAGCATGATGAATGAACATTTCTGCATTGGAAGTGTGTCGCGCGTGGTTGTAAGTTTTGTTTTTATGAATTCCTTTTTTTTGCTTGAAATTCCTTTTTTTTTGCCATCATGATTCCTTTTTTTGGTCGCACAAGGTTGGCAGCTCTGCATATCTGTGTAGTCCCACATACCTAATTCTGTGTGCAGTGCTCATGACTGACAACAAGATGGACTCGTTTTCTTTTCATTCTGATCATTTTAAAGCCTCTCATTATACATCAGTTTGTATGTACTGCATAATGAAGCCCTTCCACTACTTCTAGCCAGTTTCTTTTGTGACTCATACTCACATTTATTGTTAATCTCTTTTTTGAAAGGTGTTACAAAGATTACAAGAGGAACAGCTAAGGAGTCGAAAGTTCCTTCACCCCAGCTCCTACCATCGGGTACTAGAGGAGTGCCAGAAGAGAATGGTAGCAGATCACATGTCACTATTGCACTCTGAATGTAGAACAATGGTTAGAAAAGAGCAGAGACAAGGTAAGTTGTGATGATTTACCAGTCTTTGAAAATACATGTCTTTAAGAAATAAGTGTCTGAAAGCTATTTAGTTGTTGCCTTTTTTTGGGCGAGGTTAAAAAAAGAATGGTAGCAGATCATGTTTTACTACTTCACTCCGAATGTAGGACAATGGTCAGAAAGGAGAAGAGACAAGGTGAGTTGTGATAATTTACCAGTCTTTGAAAATACATCTCTTTGAAAATAGATATGTCATAAAGTCAGCTTTAACCATTGATCTCCTAGAGGTTAAAGAAAATTTGTAGCAGATTGCATGTTTCTATTTCTCTCCAAATATTGGATACTGTGCAAAAAGATACCAAGCCAAGGTGAGTTGCGAAGGGATACTGTACTCCCAGAAATTAAAGATCCTATTTCCAGTTTTTATAAATCCAATTGTTGTTCTTGTTGTTTTTATTATTACAGTGCTTTTGATGGATGCACATCAGTGGGTAGAGCAAAATATATGATTAACCGGTTGGCTCACTGATACAATAATCATTGTACACGAAGCATCATTATGCTTGCATTATTACTTGTAAAGGCAGTGAGGGGGGGGGGGGTGGTCAATGAAAGCATTGCTATTCTTTTCATGTTACATTCATTTTGTCACTTTGTGAAAGTAAGGAAAGTAAGGAGTCGTTATGTTGATGAATGAAAGCATTGCTTAAACTTTTCATATTACTTTCACTTTTGAACAACGGTGCTCTTACATCGTCATCGAAAGGCTGCATATGATGCCTTGTGTTATGTGAAGTGCAAATTTTCTCCCCCGTTTCTATGTTTTCATGAATTTATTTCTCCTTCTTGCATAGATCTTTCGAGAATGTACGAGCTTCTAAAACCAATCACAAGTGGTCTGAGCATCATGGTTGAGGAGTTAGAAGCACATATAATAGATTCGGGTGAGTTTATCATGATTAGTTTAATTAGTTTACTTTTATTTCACATGAAACATAATACATTAACAAAACATAGCATATACGGTAGGCTTGCGGTTGCATCATGTGAGAGAGGGGAGGATTGGGGAGTCCTGAAAAGGACTGTTGGTATAGTCTTGAAAAAGACTGTTGGTTATCTTTGTTAACTTATAGTTCTAAGGAGAACTATAGCGTCGGTTGGAGAGGATGGGTGGTAGGAGTGGCTCGAGTTTCGAATAGGTTGACTATCAATCATCCGCCGTTTAGAAGCATCTAAAACATAGCATATTAACAAAGTTGATGTTCATGAAATATAAAGACATTTACACAGCAATTAGTTTGTAATGCATTTACATAGGATAATTCCGAAATTACGTGTGAGAAAAGGAACTTAATAGAAAGCATAGCTTGTAGAGTTTAAGTTCCTCAAAATCATGTTGACACAGTGTCATTCATAATCTTTTTTTTTTTTTTTTTTTTTATTGCTTCAAATCAAAGATATTTACAATCGTTGCTCATTATAACATTCGATCTGCATTCATAATCTTGGCTTAAAGATCATGCTGAGTTCTGGTAACGATAAAAATTAAATCCTTAATGTCCGTTCAGGTAAGACGCGGTATGTTTATTTGTTTTAATTAATACGCTTCATATTTCTATAAGTTATAATGCACTAAGCACAGATGATGAGTACGCATAGGACCTTTATTCATCCTGTTGTTATTACATTTAATCTGTTTATTTTAAGTGTCTTGATCACCATCTGGTTGATATGCATTATTATTATTATTATTATTGTTATTATTAGTAGTATTTGTGTTATTATTATTATTAATATCAATGTAATTTTCTGTTTTATCAAATTAAAGAGAGCTGCTTTACACATTGATAAACCCTTCTTTTTTATCTACAGGTCGGCAAGCTATAGCTGGGCTACATGGTGACAATGTAAGTTCTTTAAAATCAGTATGTTCTGTATTCTATAATTATAAATGGGGGGGGGGGTGCATATTCAGATTACAACTGAGATGGTTTAGATCGTGTGTCATTGTATGAGAATATGGATGTAAAATTCTTCATGAGAACCCTAGATGATCTACCTTCAACCCTTTCAGGACTTCACTGTTTTAAGGGCTTAATCGATCACATTTTGTTTGTTAAAGAGCAAATCATTGTTACATTTTAGTATGATGTAATGTCTCTGAAATAAAAATACATGAGTAAGAGATTTATTGATGAGATGAAAAAATAGCAAAAATTGATAAACAGTGATTTGGAACCAATTGTTATGTTGTCAATTTAGGAATTATAATTCTTTTTTTGTTTTATTTTTAATTCCTGGCATCAAGCACGATATGGTCATGCACAAATGGACACAGCAGGCGGTGTCACCCAGAAAAATCCCTTGAAGGGAGAATTTTGTTGCTTCGTTAGAGGATTTTTGAAGGGACAATATTGATGACAGACAGCAATTTAGAGGATAACTAAATTCCGGATAATTAAAATCCGGATTTTTAGCCTCTGTGTGAGACCGCCTAGCGTGTACAAAAATTGTTGCCCTTTCTGCTCGTACATCTAGAATATTCAATTTGAACAAAACCTTAAAATGTGGAATGTCTGTGTGTGAATTGTTTTGATTTGATACAGATACCGGCCCAATTCGTAGAAGCAATGCTGTCACTTCACATCAAGTTTTCAGAAATGATAACGACAGTCTTCAATAAAGATCAGCTCTTCACAAAATCATTAGATATGGTAAGTTTTCCTGTGCATCAATTCTAGTCTTGTCCTCGCCAGATGCCACGAGGTCAGAAACTTCAACACGGTATAATGATGTAAATGGGTACCTGGGGGGTGTTTCATAAAGCTGTTCGTAAAGTTACGCATGACATTTCGAACGAGTTGTATATGAAGTGCCAGATAGGATGCCCAAAGTTTTTTCTGATATTTTCAATAACCTCAATTAAATTATGGCAAAAAATATATGTTGCGTTAAAAATGTTTGTTATTATAAGAATGTTAATCTACATCTGCATAGTTCAACTTTAGTTGATGTATTTAATAATGATTGAGCATCCCATTTGGCTTTTACAAGTCGTTCGTAAAGCCATGCGTAACTTAACGAAAAGCTTTATGAAACACCCCCTGGTGATGTAAATGGGTACCTGACAGGAATTAATTCTTTGAAATGCTAGAGCGCTGGGGTAATAATCTCCAAGTTGTGAAGCGCTAAGTGATTCTAATAAGCGCTATATAAAAACTGAGTATTATTATTTATTATTATTACATTTAAAACTACAACATTGACTTTTCGTTCCATTTTATTTTCTGGGTTATATTTAGTTCAATATACATTTACTGAATTATTAGGAGGGGAAAGGTTATAAATTTCTCTTTAGGTGTTATTGATTACTTTCAGTATATGATAATGCTACATGGATTCTACTTGCGTAAATTTTAAACTATATAATGCATATTGTACATCCTAACGTTTCATCACAGAGTTTTGAAACTCTGATTAGAAATAACGGTTCAAAAAAAGGATATGAACCTGATGATTTATCAACAGTTTTTAGCCAACAGGTCACATGGATTGTACTTATCTCTTTTTCTCTGTCTGTCTTTCTTTCTCTCTCTCTCTCTCTCTCTTGCTCTCTCCCTCCCAGGCATGTTCATCAGTAGTCAACAAGAAGCTGTCTTCAAAACACAATTCATGTAGATCACCAGAATTGGTAAATAAACTTTGTTTCCTTTAGTCCTGCACATGCAAAAAAAAACTATCTTTGGTCACATAGCATATGGGGAAAGGGATGAGGGGCACATTTAAAAAAATCATAGATGTACCTCAGAAAAATGTGAGGATCTTATTTTCTCTAAAGTTTCAATTTTCTTTATATTAATGCCTCCCCCCCCCCCCTCCCCTTTGTAAAAATGTGATAGGCATTTTGCTACTGTTTCGTTTTCAATTTTTGAGAATTCCCCCCTTCCTCAAGTCACATAAAATTGTTCACATTTTGATAATAATTTGTTTGATAATCAAATAACATAGTTCACTGACTGGATTTATACTTAGAGATCTTTAAAGATGATTTGAGAGTGAATTTGATATTCACTATTTCAAAGGAAAGGTCTAATTAACATTACTAAGTCCGATTTTGATGTGCATGTACTATTTTTCTACCCATGAAATTATGAAAACATTTTCTTATGTTCGCTGCTTGCTTTACACAGCTGGCGAGGCATTGTGATGCATTACTGAAGAAGAGTTCGAAAGGGAGCAGCGAATCAGAACTAGACGACAGGTTGGGGCAATGCATTCTGGTCTTCAGATATATAGATGACAAAGATATCTTCCAGAGGGTAAGAAATATTATTTCAACTTTTTTTCCATCCATGTTTGTAATATTTTAGTTCTAGTTTGTCAGGGTTTTTTTTTCCCTTAAAATCTTGAATTTTTATTTGATATGATTAAAGTAATGCTTTTTTCTCTTTATGGTCTTTTCCCAGATTTATACAAATAATCACAACAAGAAAAACAAATGGTACTATTGATGCGTTATCAAAGTAAATTAATTTTGTTGTAATATTAACTTAACAGAACCATAAATGATAAGTTGTTTGCGCTCATAATCTTTAAAAATTTGTGTGAAATTTGATCACAAGTTCCGATAATGATCAAAAATAAAATCTTTGAGAATTATACCAACTTATTTTTCATGTTCAAAGAAACAAAAAAACATGCTCATATAAATGGTCTTGTGCCCTGAGAATTATGTTTTTGAGCATTTTTAATACCGGTACCCAAAATCAAGGATGGGGATTTGTTTTATTAAGAAAAGCATGTTTTTTCCTTAGAAATTAAGAAATCTTGAACTGCACCCTGATTTATGATGGAACAGTGGATTGCCTTTTTCTAGACACTTGACTTACTGACTAAGGTGCACAGGACAGAGTGTCCCCTTGCGCTCCTACGGGTGGTCGGCCTCCATTCACTTCTGTTGTGGGCTTGGTGTTGGGCAGCCTCCAGGCTTAATCCAGAGTCTTGGCGGATTTGGTCTTTCCACCTCAGGGGAGGACGTCCTGATGGTCGTGGACTTGTATTGGTAGACGTTCCTGTGGCATACGTACAACCAACATGTCAAAACCATGTTAGGCGGCGGTTGGATATTTCCTCATTTATTCCCTTGTAGATTTTCAGTGACTTTCGGATGTCTACACTTGTAATTCTATCTAGAAGATGGACACCTGCTATTGTACGCAGACATATTTCTAGGCACATTTGTTGAAAATACCAATTCATTTATTCCTCAGCATTGAACTTTGGCCTGTTCAAGAGAGAAGTAGGTCATCTGGCATGAATCATTGACTTGATTGACAGGTTGTATATTACACAGGAAATTCTGAACTGAAATTAACACCAGCAGGAGTGTAATTAACAAGGTTGGCAATTTGAAGCTTGCTGGGAGAAGAAATCTACATGCAATTGACAATGGAGTAATTTCTTGGCCAAAATTTGTAAACAAGGAGGAATGTAATTGACATTGGCTCCTCTGTGAGCAGGCAGGTAGTTCAAAAGGTCATTGCAAATCTGGGTTGGGGGTATTTTCCATTTCATCACACTGCAAGGCATTAAGCCATGTCATGGTGGTTGTATAGTTCAGTCGGTCGGAATTTGTTTAATTAAAATATATATTTAAAAAATCTCCCCCTTTGGGCTGATATTTCTTCGTTTTTGAATGCTTTAATACATGTTTTTCTTCTAAAAAAACAGTAAAAAAAAAAATAAAAACAAATTAAAAAGCCGACCGTAGATTTCAAGATTTCGGGGTTGGCCAAAGGGCAATACAACATTTTTTTTTTAGGCCTAATTATAGGCTGTGTTTGGGATGATTTAACAGCATTTTCTCCTGGTTTTTAATTCTTGGACTTTGTCTAAGATAAAGGTTAAGATTTGCTTTTAGGTTTAAGATTTAAGGTTACGGTTATTATTAGGTGTAGTGTTGGGTTTTAGTTTTGAAGTTTGGAATTTTGACTGGTGCGAGAAATTTCTGCAGAACAATTGTCACCAGAGCATGTGTTAGACAATCAACGCACTGGTGATGTACAGGTAATGGCATTCATTGATTTGATCATGATGCTTCTGCAAAATTTCAGTAGTCATTATTCATACATTATTCAAAAAAAGTTACAGTAAATGATCTCACAGAAGACAAATTAAAACAATTATGCGGAAAACAGAATGAGCAAATACGTGACAGATAAAAACTGAAATGACACTTTAAGGATATCACTACATGTTATGCATGTGATATTACAACAGAAGAAATTTTGGAAGGGGAAATATTTAAAGCCCTCACATTTTGATTTTTTTTCTTTTTCGTTATTTTCTATCGCACTTGCAGTTCTATGCACGTATGTTAGCTAAGAGGTTAATACATGGTCTATCAACGTCAATGGATGCAGAGGAATCAATGATCAATAAACTAAAGGTATGGTGTTCCTTGATATATTTATATTTATATACCTCATACATAGATTGTCATTCACTGATTGGTCAAAACTATATCACATGTCAAGGAGCATTTCGATCTATCAAGTATCATTACGTCAGAGGGGTTGATAGCTACTATCAAACCCTGGGATAGGACCCCTAACCCCTCCCGCGACTTAGTTGCGCACACAAATTTTTTGAGTTGCTAGGCTACCGCAATCGCGCGGTTACGCGCAGCGCGTAGGAATTCAATACTCTTGCCTTGGACTTGATGTTGGATTTTTCTTATTTGGGTTAGTAAATTCCTCTTGATCTCGTTTCCTGTTTTTAGAGCTAGATCTAGACCTACAGCTAGACCTAATCATGAATCAATAAAAAGGATGAGGTATATAATACAAATATGGACTGCTCTGTAATCGGATGATGGTGGGAACTACCACTCCCTCGGTGGTGTTCACACCGGCCCTTCTATCACCCCCTCGGCTTCGCCTCGGGGATGATAGAAGGGCCGGTGTAAACACTACCTTGGGAGTGATATTTCCCACCATCATCCTCATGAGCAGTCAATATTTGTATAATATATATCTCTCTCTTTCTTTCACTCTCTCTCTCTCTCTCTCTCTTTCTCTTCCCACTTTCTATTTCTCTTATCATGCATTTCTTCTATCCCTTTCTCTCTCTTTTTCAAACACTCTCTCTTTCTCATCTCTCTCTCCTTGTTTTCTCTTTCTCTTCTCACTTCTCTCTCCCCCTCTCTCTCTCTTTTTCTTTTTCACACACTCTCTCTCTCTCTTCCTCACTTTCTCTCTTTCTCACTTTCTCTTTCTCTCTCTATCTATCTTTCTCTTCCCACTTTCTATCTCTCTTATTCATTTCTTCTATCCCTTTCTCTCTCTTTTTCACTCACTCTCTCTTCCTTACTTTCTCTCTCACCCTCTCCTTGTTTTGGCTCTCTCTCTCTCTCTCTCTCTCTCTTTCTCTTTCTCTTTCTCTCACTCTCTCTCCCTCCCTCCCTCCCTCCCTCCCTCTCCTCCCTCCCTCTCTCTCTTCCCACTTTCTATCTCTCTTATCATTCATTTCTTCTATCCTTCTATCATTTTGCAAATTTATATTCAGATACATGTTTGAATTATCAGCTCTTTTCTTATCTGTTCCGTTCTGTTTTCAGCAAGCGTGTGGGTATGAGTTCACGAATAAGCTACATCGGATGTTCACAGATATGGGCGTCAGTGACGATCTCAATAACAAGTTTGCCAAGTTTAGCCAAGAGAAAGAGACAGACCTCGGAATCAACTTTTCCATCTATGTCCTCACAGTGAGTATTAGTGATAGTAATAGTAATGATGATGATGGTGACGATGGAGACGATGATGGTGATATTGATAATGAAAATGATAAGAACCACAATGATCAAATTTATAAAGCACTTTTTATGAGGATACAGATCATTTACTTATGAAATGAGCGAAGCCTTATTCTATTTGTGCAAATCTCTTTCTTGCATTGCAGTTTATGGATCATTCCATATGGTTAAATAAATATTTGTGACATATCAGAACTTAGAAAATATGTCTGTTATGAACCCCAAGAACAATTTGCTGATAATGATCTCAAAGTTATGTAAAACTGTAGGCTATAAAGTCATGAAAGCTCGCAATGCAAAAGGAAAATAATCATTGCTGTGCGCTTCTTGAGGATGTATTCTGTTCTCCAGTTGGCCATTAAATCTTTTATGGTTGATATACAAATGTACAAGTTCTGAGGCAACCTTCCTAGTCATAAGGACTGCTAATCATAACGTGTAACGTCCTATACGTTAAGGACTGCTATTCATAAAACGCAAAGGGGGTCACTATTCGTAAAGGCATAAGGACTGTTAATCATAAGGACAAGTATTCACAATGTGAGATGAAGGTTGCTTTTCATAATTCATATCAAGGGTCATTACTCATAAGGACCGCTATTCATAAACATGAAGAAGGGGCACTATTCATAATTTATATTGGGGGTCACTACTCATTATACAAGAAGAATAGAATAGCAAGCCACTTCTCGTATTATGAATAGGGACTCCTATGAATAATGAACCCGATTTGCTATTATGAATAGCGACCCACTTCTTCAATTATGAATAGCAGATCTTATGAATAATGGCCCATTTCTTCAATTATGAATAGCGGTCCTCATGAATAGCCAGCGGACCTCCAAGTTTTCATACCAGAGTAACGTGAACTTTATCCTATCTTTTGCCCAAACCTCATATCATGATCCCATTCTATTGTTTGCATCCATCTTGTTTTCCTTTCCCCTTAACAGACTGGTTCGTGGCCCCTCGGTCAGTCCGCTCTCACACCGTTTGCAATATCACAAGAGCTGGAGAAGAGTGTCAGAATGGTAGGATACATTTATAAACAATGCTTGGGTAATTTTGGTAATAGCACGCTGAGGGGTCATATCATGATGTAGCGTGCCCGAGAGACAGTATAGAAACAGCTATGCTTTGATTATTAAAGCAGTCGATGTGTCTTTTATATACCAAATTCACAAACAAATCTACAAAGAATTCTTACCTTACCTTTTTTTTAGTCAAGACTGGTTAAAACAACACAGAAAGTCTGAGACATCGTCTGTAAATCTTCCATGAAAAATTCGGGAATTGCAGTAAAAAAGCACTGTATGGTATCCTTGCTCGCACAACTTTTTACACGTAAACCAATGGGGATCTCAGCAAAATTTATTTATGGGTCTGTCACACGGGGCAACGGGCATCTTTAAAAAAAAACTATTGACCTGTAGGTGGGCATGGCTGAATTCAAGACTCAAATTTTGACCAATCAGATGACTAGATTCATTAACATACTAAAGAAAGGTATTTTTCTAAGGTTACCACTTTGTGAGTATCAGTCCAGTCATGAAATGTTTTAAACTTTTCCTTCTTTGATATGCTCTTCTTTTTCAGTTTGAAATTTTCTACAGTGAAAAGTTTCCAGGAAGGAAGCTAACATGGCTACATCATTTGTGTACAGGTGAGATTCTCTCTTTGATGGCAACAATATATTCACAATGATAATATTAGTAATTAATGATGATGATGGCGTTGGTGGTGGTAATGATGGTGATGATGGTGGTGGTGATGGTGAGGGTGGTGGTGATGATGGTGATGGTGATGGTGGTGATGGTGATAATGATAATGATGATGAAGATGGTGATAATATTTAGTAATTCATGATGATGATGATGATGATGATGGTGATGATGGTGAAGATGATAGTGATGATGGTGATAATGATGGTGATGATGATGGTGGTGATGATAATGACGAGGGTGGTGATGATGATGATGGTGATGGAGATGGTCATGATGATGATGGTGGTGGTGATTATGATGATGATGATGCTGCTGGTGGTGGTGGTGATGATGATGATGATGATGATGATGATGATAATGATGATGGTGGTGATGATAATGACGAGGGTGGTGATGATGATGATGGTGATGGAGATGGTCATGATGATGATGGTGGTGGTGATTATGATGATGATGATGCTGCTGGTGGTGGTGGTGATGATGATGATGATGATGATGATGATGATGATAATGATGATGGTGGTGATGATGATGGTGATGATGAAGATGGTGTTGATGATGAATTGTATTATTATTATTATTGTTAGTGTTGTTTATGTTATTGTTATTATTTATCTATCCATTATTAGGTGAGCTAAAGCTGAACTATTTAAAGAAGCCGTACATAGTAACTACCACCACGTTTCAGATGGCCGTCTTACTCATGTTCAACAACCAAGACACTGTTCAGTATTCGGAGCTCATCAATAGTTCTCTCATCAACGAGAAGGAACTCAGTAAAACAGTCCAGTCTCTCATTGATACCAAGTTCATCGAACAAAACCATGAGGTGAGGTCTGCTATAGTTGTAGTTGGGGGAGTTGAGGGGGGGGGGGTTGTATGACACATGCATCAGTGACATTTATAATACTCAATATTGAGAGAATACTTACAATTTAAAGATATAAAATGCAAATACATACAAAGACATAAGAAATAACAATATATGAGAAAAAAAGAAAGAAAAATATTATGGAATGTGCACAGAAATAATATTAAAAGGGTTGATAGTAATAAAAATAACCTTGGGGGTTCTGTCGAAGCACCAACTATATACATAAACATAGCCTTAAACTTATCTTAAACCAAAATGCAACCCTAACTCTATATCTTTGATGAAATATAGCCTAGAGCAAATGTCAGGGCATATAAAAGGGGAATTCTACTAAGGCATCTAGTCGCTTCAATAGAAGCATAACATGAGAGGCAAATTGGTGAAAGTTTGAGGAAAATCTAATGAAGGATAAGAAGTTATTCACTTTTGAATTTGCAATAGATCAAATACAAGTTATCAAGATTTATTTGCATTGGGAGCACCTTTCCTGTTTGGTCTGTATCCAACACTTGCACAGCCTTTCTGTGAAATAATTCTAGTTCTTTATTAACAAACAAGAAAATGGATATTCAGGAATTGAAGCTAGAACAGTTTTTATCTGACCGGCTGGAAAAGTTTATTGGCAAAGCGCCAGCTTGTGTCCATCTCAAGACAGTTGCTGACATGAAATAATGAGTTGAGAAAATGCTTACACATTGAGGTTTGAATCATCTATTTTCAGGGGCATCCTGGAAAATTAATCTATCATTTAAGCACTTTAAGGAGGCTAAGAGTTTTCACTGTGAAAGCCAGGAGCTACAGAGCTACTGTAACTAAAGAAGCTAATCGAAAGAGAGCTAATAGTGGAGCAATTAACGCAACAAATTGTTCTGAAGTATCTAGCTATGCAGAATAAAGTCAAGATAGCTCCTGTAGAGACCTTTGTCAGTGTGTGTTTATTCAACGTACCTCACGTGCATTCACAGTTAAAACTCTTAGCCATTGTTTGTTTGTTTGTTTGTTTTCCATGTAGGGTCCAATCACAGAGAACACAAGCTTCACACTAAATCTGTTGTACTCCAACAAGAGGACAAAGTTCAAGATTACGACAGCCGTTCAGAGAGATCCCCCTCAGGTAAAGTCTTGGATCCACCTTTCTCTCAGTATTTCTCCTTTTAAAGCCCCACTGTACGACTTATAGCTACTTGTGCCATCTATCCAGCAAACAATGCTTAATCGGTGCCTTTTGGTCCCCCATGATCCTCTTTTTCTTATGTTAGTTGAGTGCTGATTTGATGAGATAACCACCCATCGGTGACCTTGCATGGAGGTCTAATCCCCCCTGGCCAAACTTTATGAATAATTTAGTTGGTTACTACATGTTTGCTCCTCTCACCCAAACTGTATTATAAATCGGGTGACTATCAATGCTGGGGTAATAGTAATTTCATTCCAGGGCCCTCAAGACGAACAGCATTGTACTGATGCAACTACTCTAAGTAAATACAACCATACCATTATTGTTGTTCTTATGATCCTTCATTAATTTGCAGCAAGAAGTAGAACAAACCCACAACGCAGTAGACGAGGACAGGAAGCTGTATCTACAGGCAGCAATCGTCAGGATAATGAAAGCACGCAAGAAACTTAGGCATAATATACTCATACAAGAGGTGAGAAATGGGAGGGGAAAGGAAAGACGAGAGTAAGTAGGACTGAAAAGAGAGAAAGAGAGACAGGCCTGATAATTTCCAGATTTAAATCGGGTTTTCCTGATTATTCGTTTATCCTGATTTCTTTTTTGTTTTTATTTCTTTTTTTTAAATAATGATTTTTATTCTCCAAAAATGGTTAGTCCCTGAGATCGATGTTAATCCGGTTTCAAATTAGGGGGGTGAGGTGCTGTTTTTCATGACTTGCTCGAAGACCTCGTTTCGCTCAAAAAAACAAAAACAAAATTAAACCCGAGGAAAGAGGGAGGGTTGGGGGGGGCATTACAGAGAGCAAGAGAGAAAGAGATAATGAAAGATAAGGAAAGACAAAGAAAGAGTCCAATGTAGAAAGAGGTGATACAACTGAAGCACGTAGGACATGAGGACAATAAGGAATGACCTCTCTGGGTTTGAAGTTGCCACTGGCTTTAAGACTGCAAATACCACTGCCAGCAGAAAGAGGAACACATTCTGAAATGCAACTTCAGAATTGGACAAGCGACTTCAATACAATGGATGGTGAATGACAGAGAGAGAAGAGGTGGGAAAAATGTAGAAGCAGAATGTGATTTTAAAAGTTCCCCTAAAATTCAAGTAAGTATTTTCTTGAAACCCAAGTATGTTATGGAGTGTAATATTATTCTTATCATTATGAGTTACACTAGACTACACGTAAAGGTCTGTTTTTTTACCATGAACTGTGTTTTTGTTTTCAGGTCATCTCTCAGGCCAGGTCACGGTTCTCGCCCAGTGTCAGCATGATCAAGAAGTGCATCGAGGCTCTCATCGACAAGCAGTACTTAGAGAGGACGACCAAAGCCGACGAGTACGCGTATGTGGCATAGCCTTGCCTGTATATAGACCCACTCCCTCAGTATCCTGTGATGTTCAGACATGTCATGCTGCAGCAAACCTTATGGTGCATTTGGGAAATGCATGCAGGAAATTGATATCATGAACCATATTTCTCGTGACTCCTGCTTGTCGGTAAAAGCAGAAACGATGCTGCAGCAAGATCGCGATTTCCCGGGTACAAAGTGGACACGACATTGCAGGAGATTCCTAAAAAGATTGGCTCACTCTTGAGGATGGAACGTTTGTGCGACTCTGCCATCGATAGAGCCCGAGGATAGCGAACTGAACTGAACCGAAGAGAATCGTCCATGATCTTTGAATGAATAAAAATGTCTTTTGATTATCCACACCAGATACATTACAGCAGACTACAGTCATATGTTTTGCAGAAAATGTTGTTGGGATTACTTCTTACTGCTTGATTTTTATAATCACTGTATCAACGGACATGGGATGGGAACGCTGGACATAATCTGGATTTTCATAACGTCTGTAATAGTGAGCTTCGCAGTTATTTTTACCCCAGTCATCAGCTTCATACCAAAAAACAATGATTGGTATGTGCACCATCTCCATTTCTCCACTCCCTGAGGAGTATTTCCACTATATAACTACTTCACTGAGAGGGCATGTGCAGAAGGCGGTATATGTTACCACTATAGACGGGTGGCCTTTATAGAAAGGTTGCTGATAAAACAGGTTTGACTGTACATGTACTAAAAAATACATGTACATGCACTTTATCATGGCAGCAAAGCATTTCAGTTCAAAATTGTACTCTTGAAAGTTCAGATGTGAATATTTTCCAAAAATTAAAACAGAAGGGGTTAATTAATTACTTGGTACAAAAGCTTTCTCGATGTTGATGATCTGAGAGTAGGTACAATTGCATGAAAAGTGACTTTCTGTTTATAGTCTCAGGGTAATTTTTTATTTTAATTGTATTTATTATCATCTTTTTATTATTTTCGACTATTAAAATGTGCATTCTGTACCAAGTTCTCTAAGTTGCTGTTTGAATGAAAAGGAATGGGTTTTGCACACTTGGGGCCAGACATCGAATAGGAGGCGTGTTAATTCTTTAACACCTGACTCTATGGCATGTCCAAGAACTGTCTCAAGAAACAAACCCCTGTTTGCAACAGGGCTCAAGGGACAAAAATATATTCAGAGATACAAGTACAGTATTCCTTAGGGCCGCAGCTAACCAAACAACATCTGGATTTTGAAAGTAATAGCTATAGAAAAGGCAATTCTGAAAACGTAAATGAATGAATACTTGAATGGTCATATCAATAATAATGGTGGCTTCTTATATACATGTAGCGCAAATGTCTATTATGCTGCGACACTCCTGGTGCTCCATTATTACCCCGGTCACAGCCGGCAGCCGGCAGCCAACTATGTGGTGCTCTGGCATATCAGGGGGGCGTTTCACAAAACTTGTCATCAGTGACAAATGACAATTTGTGTTATAAGCTACTGAAATCCTTGCTTCTGATTGGTTACCAGCAGATTTGTCACTGATTTTTGTTATTTGTCATTGAAAAAAGGCTTTGTGAAGTGCCCTCCAGGTACCCATTTACACCTGGGTGGAGAGTGGCAAATGTAGAATGTCTTGCCGAAACACGATAGTGCGTTGATGGGATTCAAACCCTGAACCCTTGGATTGGGATGGGTCAACCAAATAAGCATATTTGGGTTTTGATAATGTATTTAGAAAAGTTATGACACTTGATTTTGATCCTCCCGTTGTTATAGCAGTTGAAATAGATGGTATCATATCACCTGCTTAGAGACAGAAAGGAGTTAACTCTCTGTTTAAGTATACAAGTTAATGCTCTTCTGGCTTCAAACAGACAATATCTTAAAATTCCAAAACAATTTTTGAACCACCACTCCCATACATTTGATTTTGATCCTCCCATTGTTATAGCAGTTGGCATAGATTGTATCATATTACCTGCTTAGAGACAGGAGGGCGTTAACTCTCTGTTTAAGTATACAAGTTAATGCTCTTCTGGCTCCAAACAGACGATATCATAAAATACAAAAAAATTGAACACCCACTCCCATGCATGAGAAAAATATCATTCATGATATACAAACTCCCACTCATTTAATTTTTTTGAGAAGTAGATAGAAAGTCCAGTTTGAAAAGATAAGTAGCTGGGACAGAATCCAAATTCTTTTTGTACTTTCTTCTCAAAAGTTTATTTCTTGAAAACAATAATGCTTGTGGATGCTGTTGGTTCGTGTTATTTATTAAATTTGCAAAGTTAAAAAATGTGGGGGAAATTCTACATGAGGGTAGATCAAACACAGATCCTGAAGTGGTTCTAAAATGCTTGGATTTTAGTATTTTTCCTGTAGGCCCAATATAAATCAGACCCTGTGTGTGTTTATTTCTAATTTTTCAATATATATCTGATTGTTTTCTGCCACGTTACAACAACGTTATGGCAGTATACTACCTACATGTACATGCATGTAGTAGTACAAGGAGAGAAATCATTTTTATCAATTTTTCCATTTTTTTTTGTTTTTTTAGTGAGATATCTTTGCATGATTATATGTATTACTAGACTTATTTCAAGGTAATATTTATTGATATAAATGCTTTATACTCACAAAAATCTACACTAATACAGTCAGATCCAAATTTATGATGAGACAGCATTTCAGCATTATGAAAATAGGTGAGATATAATATTGGGATACGATTTAGATTTCATTGGTGGGGGTTATCATAACATGTAGTTTAAGCCTAATCTACATGTTGATAAAGGTATCCAATATGTAGCAGACATCACATTAATTCATATATTTGTTTATAATATTTGATGAATAAGTTGATGGAGTTACTTCGATGTCCTATCTAGAAGAAATTGATATCAAATATATTACACATGCGATTTGAATGAACCATACATAGTATATATATGAATAAAAAACTGTTGTTACATGTATATTTTGTGTGCGTGTGTAATTATTGAGATTGTAAGGTTTGAAACAAGCATGCTTTGTCTGTTTACTGAGTTTGTTTTTGTTCCAAATGTTTGGGGATAAAAGGCTTTCCCTCTACTTTCATCCTTCTTGATCATTTTGAAGCGCAATTTTTTAGGGCTTCCATATTACACCATATCACAGACACTTATAACATGTAGCACCATGCATCTCAGATTTAACATAAAAGGTGCCTTTAATAAATTATTTATGATTTTATTATTATTGTATTAACCAGTCAGCCTATTGAATGGGGCCACATATAATAGTCAGATTTTGTGCAGCCCTTATAAAATGAAACCTGCTTTAGCAACCACCTGTATAGAAAGACCACATTTTCTAGTAAATATTCTATATGTTTTTCTGTGCATGTACATGCGAGTGGTGAAGTGAAATTTCTTATTCAATATACCTAGAGAGACTGAGAATGCCTTGCTTTACCAACATCACTTTCTTGTTTTTCTTCAACTTTCATTCAAAGCAACTTGAAAAGTAACGAAGTACAAAACAATATATAAACACACAGTATCAAGTATATAGAATGGAAAAGAACTTTATTATTTGTTTAAGTACAGTGGATCTCTTTGCAACGGTTTTGTGCAAACATCCTAAGAAAAGCGGACACATGCACACAGATACAATGTTTCAAGTATATAGGCATATAATTCACATGTGACACAGTTAACCACAGAGTAAGTTTTTGTGTACTAAATTTGAAGGGCACAGTATACTATGACGGTCTACCGCAGTACATGTGAACGACCCTTTAAATAGACATGGAAAGGCTTGACTGAATTGTGGAAGAAAATGGATGAAGGTTTGTAAATATATATATATTTTTTTTTTTTACAAACGTATCAATCAGATATGATTATTTATGTCCGACTTTTAACGGCACCATTCAAAAGACATGACTCGGTTGAAAACTGGGGTCCGCCTGAGTCAGTTTGTAGGTGAGGACACAGATCGGACAAGAACGTACCGCTAGACCAACTCACAATAATGAATACCCTGGTACGCACGGTATAAAACCTTGTTCAAATATGGCATATACAGTATATCAAACCGTCTAATAATAACCACTGCAGCAAAATAAAGAAAGATGAAAACAAAGAAGCAGCATGCAACAATGAATAAATGATGCATGCGATTTGGGTGCTTTACACGATCTATCCATACCTCGTTGAGGCTGTGTGCATCTACTACAAAGCTGTCCTGCCGAGTATGATAGATGCACATACAGCCTCAACAAAGAGAATAAACGAATAAAGATATGTATCATTTGTTAGGATTTATCTAAAATACCAGTCATTTTAAAATTGGTCTATGTCATTGTTGATGCCAAATAAATCCCAAGTATTATATGCTTACTTTAGCATGTACAGACGGTACAACCTGTACGTACAAAGCTACGCGGGTTCATGCATATATGCCTAAACACAGTACTAGTGCCAAGTTCCTCTATACGCACTGCTGAGCTTTGCATACCCCACAGGTGTTCTTAAAATTTGTTGGATAGTACTGGAAACTAATTGCATGCTTTTTAATGAAAAAATGTGTGATAGTCCCAATAAATGAATCGTGCCTGTCTGCGTTCGACCAATCATCGATTAGGATCTGGAGTGAGTTGTACAATATGTATTGTACGGTATGTGATATTGAGGAAAAGACACTACACCAGTGCCATTATTTTGCCTAATCTTTTTAGGTAATTTGACCATGTCATATGTAAGCAAGGCTTCTTGTAAAAAGTGCTGCACATATTAAAAATGTGCAAAAATCTTTAAGAATCTAAATACATGTCATTCCATAATGGAATTGGAATAGACCAGCTAAAAACCCAATAGCGTAAAACTGAAAAACATATATACACTATTCAATGACACATACATGTACATGTACACCGTATGAAGTGCTAGATGGCTATGATTGGTAAAGCATACAGAAGTTAATTGTATTCTCATATAAATCATCACTTTTTCAATTTTCATCTTTTGAAGACACATCCAAAAACAAAACAAAATAAAATAAAATTACAGCTAAAAAAAAATCTTTTAAATTTGATAGCGTTGATAAATTTGATAAATTTGATATACACATAAATTTGTTATTGCATTCATTAGGAAATAATCTATGTCAGAAAATAGAGAAACATTTGATATCATCTGAACTCTAATATATCATGGTACTTACATAGTACTATAAAGAAAGAGATACTATCATAAAATTGTTATATACAATATGTGCACATAGCTCGTAATTCACAGAAATTTCAATTAAACATAAAAAACCACAAGACCAAACAAGCAAAATAAAATAAAACATACCCTTACAATGTAAAAGGCGAATGGAACAATACCTGGTATTCGTTATGAGCTAGAAGGGCATGAAATGCAAAGTATTCTTTCACACAATATCAATGCCCGGCTTTCTGACTCTAAGCAGATATGATACATGTACATTTGCTATCTCTACATGTAATATTTCAAAATGCAAGCAACTTGAAGAAGAAAAAATCAATAGTAGATATACACGTAAATATTTACATACCAAACTTCAAAGAAATGTTACCTTAACTCATAATCACAGGACTCTGTAACATTAAGCAGATGACACATGTACATTTGCTATCTCTACATGTAATATTTCAAAATGCAAGCAACTTGAAGAAGAAAAAAATCAATAGTAGATATACATGTAAATATTTACATACCAAACTTCAAAGAAATGTTACCTTAACTCATAATCACAGGACTCTGTAACATACGGTAAACAAATTGATTACATGTTTAACCCACTGACTGTATAAATCTGATGTACAGTGCACATCAGAGCAACAAGACCAAGCTCTGTAATTATTAGGATCTCTGTCCAGTAGTGCCGTACGTGTTTGTGCCATCGAACTGGATCGACCAAATCAACTGATTCATAATATATATATGCAATATTTTTTCCCGTAACATGAGAGTAATTTTAATAGTTTCATACTATTAATTAAATGTAATGTTTACTGTTATTGTATAATTGTTTTAAATGGGGGCACGCTACAAGAGTCCTATCTCGCACCCCGGGGCAACGTGTCTGACACGGCTGGTTGTAGCAACTACTCCGAAGATCAAGATTACATTAATCTTGATCTAAGGAGACACGAACGAACGAACAGTGTACATGTATCTCCAATTATGCTGCTATTAATCAGAAAATAACATGCATTGAATATATCAATATTCACAAAAATTTAATTATAACTTACTATTCATCAAGAAGATACAATTGATTTACAATAATCTTTTAAAGTCCACTCCAAATTTTATTAAGTTAAACCGAAAATGGAAATTCTTTTTGCCCAATTGATTGTGAGCCCGGCAGCCACTGAGCAGTGCCAGATAAAAGTTGCTCTATCCCTTATTATTGACACCAAACAAGATAGCAGCAACTCCCGTCTTTTAACGTCTTTTGGTATGACGCGGCCGGGGTTTGAACCCACGACCTCCCGGTTGTGAGGCGGACGCTCTACTGACTGAGCCAACACACCGGTGTATAATCAATTTGAAGGAGACACGATCATTTGGGAGGGAAGGGGGAGGGGGGACAATTAATTGTATCTCTTTTTTGTTAGAGCCCTGAAATAATTTTGTAATGATTTTACAATACATTTATTAATATTCCTTGCACTGTTTTAATAACATTGGTTATCAATACAGGGCAGGAAGACATATAATTAGACATAACAGGGCATTTAGTATTCAGCAAAATAAAATAAGGAAAAACACATACAGCATTATTTCATCAATAACATATTTATATAATATTGACTGGCCTTGAGGGGTATATCAGAAATATTGACCAAGCTCAGATCATATTGCCCTGAGTCGAAAGACGAGGGCAATATGGTCTTAGCGCGGTCAATATTTCTGATATCCTCCGAAAGTAAAGCCAGTCAATATTTTCATTGTTATCCAAATCAGACATCTAGAGGAAATACAGAAATCCACCATGACAATCTCAAAGAACTGAACAAACTTCGCCAAATCAGCACTGTGCATCCAGTGCTTGACGAAAATGTTTGATACACTGCAAACAGTGTGCATTTGGTGTGATTATTAAGTCACAATAGAGTGCGCGCAAAGTGCGCAGGTTCTCGTACGCATAATAGATGCGCAATGAAAATGACAAAATATGGCGCTTTCAATACAAGATGCCCGGATGCGAGAACGTGGAAAATACAAAGGTATATTTTCCCTCGTCTCTACACACAAAGTCTATACGAGCAAGGAGACCAAGGAAAATACAAAGAATATACCCCTCCGTTCCCACTGCTAGTGAAAACTAGAGCAATACGGTTTTGTAAATGACCAGCTCAGATGTCTGATACGGGTAATAATACATTATTACTCTATAAGTACAGTTTATGTATCTGTAGAAATAACTATGTACATTGTACCTCATATTGAGAAGGACATTTTATGTTTAAAAGTGGAAATGCAAATTAACCAAATAACTTTCATCTCAATTTACATATTGTATGTCAGTAGGAAAAAATATATAGGTCATATTATGATTAATGTCTTTACCTACTTCCATAGTCCATTTATCAACGAATCATGAAAGCATTATTTTCTCAATGTTTAAGTACAACATGAATACATGTGTATAAATTTCAGGGTTTTTCCAAGTTCTATTATTTTTGTACTAGTATGAAAGTTTCGTCTCAATATTTACAATTCAATATTCAATACTTAAGTACAATATCCGATACAAATCAAAATGGAATGTCTGCAATAAATTTAACTTCAAAGTACTATCAAAACTTGTATAGGTCCAGCTTATACTAACTACTGACATAATGAATGGTGTATTAATTTAAACAAATATGAATATGGCAGGAATCATTACATTGAAAAGAGAACATTGAGTTCTGAAAACAAAATAAAATTGGCCGCGACTATTTTTTCTCCTTTTAGTTTTATTTGAAAAAACTCCCTAATGAATGATGCATAGTAGGCTTACAAATAATCCTCATTTTGTTTTCAGTAAATGAACTCTGTGATTTCAGAAACCTTACTCCAAAGTTTTGAGCAGTAAACTTTAATAATGTACCATGGGTTGTAATAATACACGGCTGTCTATACAATCCTACCAGGTACACACTTGCTGCACCCGGGTCGAGGGTGGCAAATATACAAGTATTGCATGCTCTGGCCTTCAGGGTAACAAAATATATGAACCAACAAATTAAGAATTCCCAGAGTGATGTTAGATTTCACCGAGGCCACATGCCGTGGTTGAATTATAATACAACAAAGGGAATTCTGACTTTGAAGGAGAATACATGTTATACTGAACAACGCAGTGCAGGTCTTATTTGTTATATAAAATTGAGAGTATTTGCAATCTCATGCCTCCCTCCTTTGTCTTCCCGTTAGGGGGGCATTTCACAAAACTTGTCATCAGTGAAAAATGACAGTTATTTTGTTATAAGCTACTGAAATCCTTGCTTCTGATTGGCTATCAGCAGATTTGACACTGATTTTTGTCATTTGTCATTGAAAAAAGGCTACAGGCCCCTGATGTGCACAGCGCATAATATGCAGACAATGGATACGCGCAGGGAAGAGAGGTGTGTGTTCAGTCTAGTTCACTTTTGTATGCGTTCAACCGTGCAAAAAAGGTTGTTATATTGCATGGTCAACAAAATGTTAAGTGTCATGTGACACCGTTTCAGCCAATAGGATACTTAGTACTCACTTACAAAAACCCTATTTTATATAGACAAATGTCTTTTCGCTGGAAAATTGGAAGGGGCACTGGAAATAACACATATGAAATCAGATAACAACTGAAACTGTTAATCTACAAATCTTTTAAGGTCTTAAAATTGTTCATCTACTTGAACCTGTACATAAAATTGTATTTATAAGTATTTACAACTGTTTTTGGCTGAAAATGATCTAATACATAATGGAAAATGGAAGAAATGTGCCACGTCTACTGAATATAATCTTCAGGGTATGTCAATATCATATTAAAAAATGTCGAAATAACAAAAAGAGAGTAAATATAAAAAGAACTTTTCTAAAATTTTGCAATTTTATTGCTTATCATTAGTTTTTAGCAGAGAGCTTTCAGTGTGCGCACTTCAGAGAAGAGCTGATAATTTGATTTATTTTACATTTAAATTTACTCTTTCTCTTTCTCTCTCTCTACCTCCCTCTCTCTCTCTCTCTATTTCCCTCTCTATCTCTTTCTCTCCCTCTCTCCTATACTATTGGTTTGAGCATAACAACGGTGATGTATACTTCATGAGGTCAACTTTTGAGCCTGATATCTAAACTATGCAGTTCCCACACTGAAATGTAAAACCTTATTATATGCAAGGCGGCGATTTTCATGACAAAATTTGGCAATTACTAGACGTTTAATGAGGTTAGGTGCTAAATAGAGATTTAAAAATATTGCAAAAAGATTACGTTATAAATTCAAAAATAAACTATATTAATTAGCTGTGACTAAAACATTAAGATACCACAGTGGCATCTACCGGTATACAAGGAAGTCAACTCTATTCAGCACAACTTTTGAAAGTCGTTGGATAAGTTAAAAGTTCAGGTAGTGTGCTTACATTGGTGTGAACTCTACAATGATCTGGATCTTTTTAAGCATGATTGATTAAACCAGGTTGTTCCTAGATGTATATCGAGCCTAAATCACAAGTCGACAGAAAGAATCCTTCAACCAGCAGCTCCAAATGGAAGAGTACAGTACCTTCTTCTTTTCTTTGGTAGAAAAGCCAGTAGTCAACAAGTTTCAGGCAAATCAGAATTCCCTGTGAAGAAGCATCAAAGGAAGGACATTTTCTGAACATTCCTTCTTCTTCTTTTGCTTGTGTATATTTCCCTGATAATTCCAAAGATCAGTGTTAATATCACAGAATACAAAAGTCTTACACAGTTCCGTAATTCTGTATCAGTTCTTACACTCTGCACTTGTACATCAAGTAGAGCAGAGTGAGGCACAGGTAGAATGGGTTTTATGTAGGTGATGAAAGCAGATACAACGAAGAAGACTTTTCTCCCCGAGAGTTTATATATGAGGCATCTAGGATGAAAAGACAAACGGACTGTACATGGGTATCCAGGCACCATATAAACCTGTCTATAGCGACCGCCCAAGGGAAACACAGAAAGTGGTCTTTGTAGACAGGTGGTCTTTGTAGACAGGTTCCTTCAGTGCATGTTTCAATGAGAAACAATTTTCAAGGGAATCAAAAAATGTGGTCTTTGTAGACAGGTGGTCACTAAAGCAGGTTTGACTGTACCTGAATTTACAACAACCACTGGCTATAACCGCCACAAATGTCTCCTCACGTGAAGGTCCGTCTCCCACGTGATCAATACGTGTATCCTGGACAAAGAGGGCGCACATCCGTGTCCTATACGTGAGAGGAAGAGAGCGAGATCACATGAGGGGCAGGTCCGACGGCTCCGAGAGCAACGGGCTGCGGTTGGTAGCCTTCCGTTGAGGTAGCTTCCCATGTGATGGCAGCATCTCTTAGGACCTGAAAACAAACATGGATTTAAACAAAAATTAATAATAATAACATCTGAAGTAATCATTCACTTTTACTCATGAATTGTTATGAAGTAATACAGTAAGTCTATATAACAAACAAAAAAGGAGGAGGCAGGGCATTACTATTTTAATTTTTTTGCATTTTTTTTCCAAGATGGCTGTCATGCTAATTAAGCTGGCCAAGTCTATTTATTCACAGATATTGTGCTATGTGAGTATACTGATGCAATGAATGACAAAACAAATGATTTGTATCACTTCAGAAGCTATTTAAACAAAATGTGAATCGCAGGCTTTTTTGGGGGGGGATTTTTTTTTTTTGGGGGGGGGGGGGGCCTTTTTTTTCTTTCTGAATGGTAAATAGTATTTTTTTTAAAGGAGGAGGCGGCTGAAAATGAGGTTGGCAGGGACAAGGAACACTTTGTTTTTGTTAATTGGCCTAAAACCTTCTTATTTTATTTAGAGAAAAAATACTTATATCCTCTAGTATATTTCTCAGTATCCAATCCAATCCAATCCAAAAGATATTTGATATAGCGCCTTTTCCTTGCAGGAGGAAGTTATCTTAAACAGGCAATAGCAGGGTTGCAATGTACAAACATGTAGTTGATTAACACCAGAAATGGGTTACCATGCAATAATTTATTTATGAACACTGTGATCTTTGTTAATTGGTGTCTGTGCCTCATGTTTATGCCAGTTTGGCACACGTGGCAAGCCAGCAAGCATGTCAATTGGCAATTGTGGAAAAGGAAAGGTTTATAACTGACCTGTAAGTGTGATTCCATCTGCTTGATTGACCCATCAATCCACTCCACATAACTGGACATTTGACAGGCTTGCTTGGTGACCAGTACAAGATGCTGCAGTGATAAGAGTAAGGCAGCTGACCTGTGGATACAAGGGTCAAATGTGGTTTTAAATATTAATAAAGGAGCTAGAAGGGCATTAACTCATATCATTTTTACATAGAGTCAATTCCAATAACAGACAATACACTTATTCTACATAACTGGACATCTGAAAGGCTTGATTAGTGATCAGTACGAGATGCTGCAGTGAGAAGAGTAAGGCCACTGACCAGTGCAGAGAGGGGTCAAATAGGGTTTAACATGTCAGACAGGTTGTAAAACAAATGCTCCAGTAACAAGTACTTGGCAGTCAATGGCTTGCCTACACTGGAACAAACACTATACCTATTAAACCCTAATTCCATACCTAATCTCAAACCTGACATATAACCACCTAACTGAATCCCTAACCCCATCGCTTCTATTTTTCATTAAATAAAGCATAGAGAATTGTGCTGATGCCAGGTCACGATACTGACACATAAGATGAAGAATTTTACTGACCTTGCTTCCAGCAGCCGAGGATCAATGGGAGGATACATGCACTTCACTACATCATCGACTCTGGAACAAAAAAGAAAATAAAAGGCTTGAAGCACAGCTACATGTATGGTGAAGAAATGATTTTATGTTGACAGCCTGTCTGGAATCTCCGCAAAATGCGAACAATTGAACAGTGTCGATTTTTTTTTTCCCTCGATTTTTTTTTTTGTTTCCATTTAAAATTATTAAAAAACTTGAATTCGGCGTAAATATTCACAATTGAATGACACACGCCCTTAAAACTAAAACAACAACAACAACAACAAAATATATAATGAAAGCTTTACAATCACTCAAAGGAGACAAGAAAAGTGGTCTTGATAGGCAGGTGGTCTATACACAAAGGTTCATCTACTATCAATTTCAATAAGAAACACTATATGCAGACAAAAGCAAAGTTTTGTGCTTTTTCAAAGCATAACTTCACTAATCATTGGTACTTGTGCCTCAGCTTTGTAGACTTCAGGGTAACGCTTTGGAAATGAAATAAATAGTTTTTAAAAAAAATACCCCAGGCATATTTTCCCAGCATATCCAATATCAACTGATCTTTGACCTCTGAATTACAACTAAAATTTATTTCATGTGCTTCATGAATTTGGACCCTGGCAAGTCGCAGGTACTAGTATTCAATGTTCCATTCATTTATCCTGTATCTATCATGCCATTCTGAACTAAAATTGACATAAAATGTGACATTTCACTTCATATTTGGTCTGATCCAAGCTCTGATAAGGAAACAGCAGATTCAAAAGATATCCAAAATCTGACTTGGTCACTTACACATTTGACATGAGAGTGGTTTGAAAAATGCCAATGTTACTGCTGAAAAAGCAGAGTTTAGGTCTTGCCCAAGCTACGCACAGGAGACAAAATGAAGTTCATAATACTAATAATATCAGATATTTATATAGCCCACATATCCACCATGCAAGGTGCTGAAGACGCTCCAAATATTATCCAAATGGCGCTCACAGCATTCATTCCTACCAGTACCCATTTTACACCTCGGTGGAGAGTGGCAAATGTAGATTAATGCCTTGCCAAAGGACATTAGTGCCGCGGCGGGACTCGAACCGCGAGCCCTGTGATCCACAGTCCGACAAATTATCCACTAGACTGCAACACCTCTACATAAAAGTTAAATGAAAAGTGAATGAAATTCTCACCTTGGATTAATCCTCTTGGCCACCTCCACAATATCAGACAGACTGTCAGACGTCCTGGGATGATGGGCGTTACCCATCGTCATGGCAACCAGCTTCTCCGTCAGCTCATGGCATGTCTTCAGGATAGCGATGCAGTGCGGCATCAGACCTCTGCAGAAGAAATCAGGTTGACTTCAATCACAACATGTATCCGTACAGTGAACCGTAACTTGCATTTCATAGCATTTTCACACATAGTGGCCCAAATTCACAAAGGAGGTTTTATAGCTTTAATAACCCATGGTTTAAACCCTCATTTACATAACCCATGGTTTAAAAATTAGCGCAAAATAAGCGTACCTTGCCTTGCGCGCGTCTAATATTGGACATCTGACTGTTTCATGCTTATTTTGCGCTAATTTTAGACCATGGGTTATGTAAATGAGGGTTTAAAGTATTTAAACCATGGGTTAAATTTAAACCTCCTTTGTGAATTCAGCCCATTATGTTTGTTTGAAAACACTTTAACTTCAGGTTCTGATAGGGAGACCTACTTCTACGGTGCCGGTGAGATGCCACTTTCTAATGGCATCCTTTCTGAACATGACCAGTGAAACATCAGAAGACACAAGAACAAAGAAGTGTGGGACAAACTTAAGAAATATTGTCTATAAGGCCGATATTGGTGGAGACACGATGGCTCAGTGGTAGAGCAGTGGTCTTGTAACTGAGAGGTCCCGGTTTTGAAACCAAGTACATTTAGATGCACTAGTGCCCTTTGGTAAGGCATTAATCCCCATTACCAAGTCCCACGGAAAGGACTTAAATCCATTGAGTCCCTGGTTGTTTACTTACAAGCATACACATGCTTTCTCAGCAGTCAGGTAAACCAAACCATACATGTATTAACTTCCCCAGTCTTCATCTCCAAGTATCTGCTCCAGGCTGATAAGAGTACAAACATCCCTCTCCTTTCTTCTTCTAATAATAATAATAATATTCCGCTTTTATATAGCGCCCAATACATTGAAGTACCTAAGTGCTTTACAGATATATTATCACTCCTGTCATCGGATTCAGGCTTACCTGCACACAATGTATGCACATTTTCCACTCCCTGGGGAGCATTCCAGCCAGTCGCCAATTTGCAAGCGCACACTTGCTCATCCAACCACATGAACTTTTGCACCCTACCGGGTGCCCATTTAACACCTGGATGGAGAGTAGCAGGTGCAGGTAAAATTTTTGCCAAAGGATATTAGTGCCGTGTCGGGATTCGAACCCCCAACTTTCGCATCTCCAGTCAAGCACCTTAAACCACTCCCATCCATTCCTCCTCCTCCCATCCTCATCCCCCTTCTCAAAATGAACAACCGTCAGAGTAACTTACGAAGCATCGTCAACCCAGTCTTCATCTTCCAGTATCTGTTCCAGGTTGTTGTTTGCGCAGACATCTCTCAGCTCCACCTCAAAGTCTTCATGAGGCATCTCTGCATCGTTGACCAGGGACACGTTCTGACGACCACTGACAAAAATTAGAATCATAATCATTCAGGGTTTTGTTTATGAACATCACAGCGTAAATATATCAACAAAAACAATACACAGTTAGTGAGTGATTTCACAGTGCCAAAATAAAATCCGGTAGACAATAATTGTATTACATGTATGTAAGAAAAAGTGCAAGGAAATTACATTATCATTATAGCAAAGCTAAAAAGAGTTTCTGTGATTAAAAAAATATTATTTTTACGCTACATATTAAACATTCACCTGTACATGTACATGTAGCTCTCACTATTAATAGGAATCAAATATTTTAATGCATCACATTCATATTTCATAATATCATTTCCATTCTAGTTTAAATCAATTAAATCCATAATTATCCTTTATATGAAGTGTATCATTGGAAAGCACTATGAAGGGAAAGCATTTTTAATATTAATGCTGCTCACAAGCAAATTGCTTTTTTTGGTAAATATGGCAATATGTACTCTAAAAATCTACTTTTGACTACCGGTACAAAACATGTTGTGCAAAAAGACCTGTTAAGCTATTAAATAAAAATGCCCTTACAATTGTTAAGGGGTCCTACATGTACATGTATGTACGTTTGCTTCTTTTCCAGTGATTTTTAACATCAAGTATACATGTTTTTTTTTATTATACATTCATTTATTTTAAAAATGCAGCATAATCCTTTTCCTCTCTAACATTTCCTGGTAGGAGTGATTGACCTATGCACATAAAACTTCTACATAGTATTACATGTAGGTATTCCCTCTTCTGCTGCTTACTTTTGACCTTAATGTTTATTTCCTCCTCTCTAGAACTTTGTTACAGAGATCAAAGAAACAAACGTAACTTTGAGAATGTTGCTTCACTATCAGCATGGATCTGAAATATGTGTTATTTTCATCTCTTTTTCATACAAAGCAGTGTTGTGTAGCACATAAATAAATTTACACTGTATACATGTATATGATGGAGGTATTTGTAATGTTTTTATATAAATGTTATTATTTTGATGAATTGAAATAAATTAATAAATTGTATTAATGATTTACCCTTGGTAAAACCCAACCGCTATTTAATAAAGAAAACAACATGAACAGTAAGTGGACCAAGGATGTATTACCAGGAAACATGCACACAAATCTTACATACATGTACTTCCATTCAAAATGATTTCATTACACTTTAAATATTTCCTTTTTTTTTTAAGTTGTTCCATTATTATGGATTTTCATGTTCATACTTTTCTTCTCCTTTGCACCATGAGCGCTTTATTATTATGGAGTTGGCACATCACAAATTCTGGTACTTTCTGAATTTTGTTTCTTATTCCTTTCTTGGGCCAAGCAGCCCAACTGAGGCTGATACCAACACTATACAAAAGGCCATCATCATAATCATTATTATCATCATTTTACAATACACTCTTTCACGGTTAACAGAGTGCACATGCACCGACATGGGTACCATTTTAAATTGCAAGTAATTATTGAGAGTACCTTTTATTTTATGCAACATGCAAAGCACATGTGATGCTACAATACATGAGCGTCTGAAAACATTAATGCGCAATGTTTACTCGCAAATTGAAAAGGCGGCCTCAACCGTGAAGGGTGTATTGAACTGACCTGTTTTTCCTGTGTATAGACTCCTTAATATTGATGTCAAAGACTCGACAACGATGTCTGCAAGCGACGATGAGAGCCACAAATGATGCCATGAAGAGTAGGCCGAGGATGGCAATTGCGACTATGACTACGATGTCCATTGCCATGTTTGTTGTTTAGGTGATCGACGAGGGCTTTGAATTATTATATCCTCTTGGATCCAATCACACTATGTTTGCATCGTGCTAAGGAACTATAATGAGAAAAAGTGAGGAACAATTACTCATAGCTCAAGTAGAGTACTGGAGGTCGTATCATGAAACCAACTCTGTAATGTTAAGTCACTGCCTATCCGCACACATAGGAGCATCACTATCCTGGCTGTGTAGTAAAAGCTGTGCTTTTGATTCTTAACATTTCAAACACCACTGTACAAAACTCAACTGATTTCACTCAAAATCGGTACTTTAGTGACAATTGATGACACCTAAATAGCAGTAAAATACATTTTTTCAACTTACAGATGTTAAAAAGAATAATTTAAAAATTCAAATTGTAAGTCTACTGTCAAACTTTGCTTACAGCAGCATCGGCATGATCGTATACAGGCTATGCAATATTGTGTGGTGTGTGTATTTGTGTATGGGTCTAATAATACCTGCCCCACAGCAAGCATGCAGTGCTAGAGGTTAATAGACATTAGCATTGACTCTCTATGCTTTGCTGGCCTGGAGTGCCTATCCGTCGATACGTCCAGTGCAATGCTTCTGTTTTATTTGTTTTGTTCGAAGTGTAAAATTGGTTCTTTTGCTCATTCTCGACTCAACGACATCGGCCCAAATGTCATGCTATAGCAGTGAGTACAAGTTCAATGTTCGGTGTTGGTGTTGAGAGCGTGGAAAGGCTGCTGAACTGAGCTCCAACACTGGTGGTCAGTTTAAGACGATACCGATTATGTTATCAATAGCTCAACCAGTAGGGGCGCTGGGGAGGATTTCACTAACATTGCCGAGCGATTAATCGCCCAACCCATCGTTCGAACTCTACTCATCGCTGCTGCGTTGAGTAGAGTCAGAGGATTTCACTAAACCCGTCGCAGCAGCGATGCATTTTTAATGAGTAAAGTCTTCGTGAACGAGGATGAGGTCAATCGCATCGCTATATACTAGCGTCCTTTTGCCCGCCAGTTTTAACTGCAACAACTTGATACTTCACCAACAAAAGTTGAAAATGGATTCAAGCAACATGCATGATGCCAGTGACGTAAGTTAATTTAGAATTACAAGTTTCGTTGCTATTAGATTGTGGTTTTTCAAAACTATTCATCAACACAGGAGTTTACGATTTTGTTTTTGTTATGGCTCATCGCCAAGTTTTCGTGGTGGATTTGCTGCGCCTGTGCATAGTCTATGAACGTGCGCGGCGAATACATTGCTATCTACATTAGATGTTAAGATGGCACACACTGTTTCAAAACCCGGTCACCATTTTTGTTGGATATTTGAGTAAAAAATGTAATCAGAATAATACTTTTCAAAGTTCAAGACTCACCGATGTTTCTATCAAAAGATACAGCCCCTCAAAAACTTAACAATATTCATAGCATTTTTGTCAGAATAGACAAAAAAAAGTGGTTCACGCCAGCCCAAGACAATTAAGTTAAGGTCTAACAGTTTAATTAGGTCTAGATCCTAGTCTAGGGAATCTATCATTTTTTTTTGCTCAGCAAGACAACAGCTGCATTCTAAATAGGCCTAGATCTAGGCTACTAATAATGGCCTAGGCCTAGATCTAGGTCTAATGCATATAAGGCCTAGAATCTAGGCGATATGCAAAACGTGGGGAAGGGTATTTAATACAAACTTAAATCGTAGAATCCTCTAGAATGTGATCCTCATTTATTGCGTATAATTCTAGGCCATGCAAGCCTAAGTTAGGGCTATCACCTTCTCAGGATAAATTAAGAGATCTCTAGATCTAGATCTAGATCTGGACCCTATAGAGGCTAAGGGCACAACCAGCCGAGTAAAAATTATAATTGAATGACACACGCCCTTATTAAGACTAAAACAACAACAACAACAACGAGGCAATCTCCCCCCCCCCCCCCCCAGTGACAATGGAAAAGAAAAAAAATCAATTAGGCCTAGATCTAGGTCTAGAAATCTACGTCTAGATCTAGATCTAGACTCTAGGTCTAGCCTAGCCCTAGGGCTAGGGTCTAGATCTAATACATAAATAAAAATAGTCTGTGGATTAAGTGGATTGGAACTGGAAATGATGAATTTTCCCACTGATCTATTGTTGTTTTTGTTTTAAATTTCAGAAGAGAGGAAAGCCCTGGGAGGACCATGAGGTGGTGGCCCTCTGCAGCTTTGTGGGCTCACACGCATCCCGTCTTTTTGGGAGTGGCGGGAGGGGAAGTTTGGGCGTGGAGCGCCAAAAGACGGATGCTTGGGAGGAGTGCCGGAGGCACATAGTAGCAGCAGGGGGTCGCCCAGACAGGTCCTGGGCGAAGCTGAGGAAAAAATGGCAGGACTTGGCTTCTAAGGCCAAAAAATACTCAACACAAAGGAAGCAGCAAGTGCATGGAACTGGTAGGTTTCTCTTGATTTATTTCACAATATGTACAACACATAGATTTAGTAATTAAAAATTTAGACTAGATCTAGACCTAATAATAAAATCAGACTGTCTTAAACTTAAGGAGAAAGGCTCTTGTGGGCAAGTGACAAGAAGTATAAGGAAGTAAGGAAACCACCATGCACTAACTTTTATTAAATTTGTATCATTCTGGGATTTTGTTTTAAAAATAATTATTTTTAAAAAAAGTACATAATTATTCCTTTTACACTTGAAAAAGGTTAATTGACTGATCCATGGAATGTCTTCTCATGCAAATCTCAATGTATGTTATATGATCTATGTTAGCAATCAAATTCCTTTAGAATAGTACATGAGAAACACTTCAAGATAGAATTGTCTTCTGTGAATAATTTGTATTTAAAGTTGCCTTCGTGATATTGACTATTGACTTTAAATGCATATTTTACATTGGCATTTTGATAAAATCAACATTGTATCACATAAACTCTAATTGATATACATGTACATGCATTTCTCTCAACTGTCACAGGTGGAGGAGGCTTTGTGCCGGCCCACAGACTCTACGAGCTGGTGCTGCAGGCACTACCTGATGAGCTCAGGGACGGCATAGCTCCCATCGACATGGCTGAAACTGTAAGTGAATGAGAATCGTCTGTTGAGAGCCAAAAGTACATGCACTAACTACTTTATTGTTTATAGAGTTAATGCCATTCTGGCTCTGAATATATCAAAAAGCTTTCAACTCTTAAATAATACACCTATTTACTTTTATTACAATAGATGTTAATTCAAAATTGAAACAAAGTTCCTGTTATTATGAAAGCATCATATGCTTCATGAATTTGCAGTCTTCCCCCCCCCCCCCCCCAAATAACACCAGTAGTTAAAGTATGTTAAAACATAATATTCCCAGCTCCTAGCTGTAGTACATTGTTGTAAAAGAATGAATAACAAGAATAACTGCCCATTATATTGAGTGACTTGGAGGAATAATCAAATAAATTGCTACTTGAAACTAACAACTACACTTAAAACTTAAAATGCAAACTTTCAACAGCAAACTGCAACTGACTCCAACAAAGCCCAAGAAGTACATGTGTACCCAATACAAGAGGCCAAAGTGTATAATGCTTCTTAATTCCACGAAATGACTCAGTGACTAAGAGAAAGATTTGATAAACACATGTATTCATGATTTTTCATATTTCTAGGCCCCATCAAGTGGATCACACAAGAACGGTGTAGAAGTTGTTAAGGTAAGATTATTAATAAAAAGAGGGTCTACAAGTACATTAAATTTGCATCTACTCTTGCTGTTAATTTTATGAATTTGATCATAGCAAGGCATAATTTTTTTCTTCTTCAAAATTCCACTCTGAATGCTAATTATGCTAAAGCATATAAAGAGTAAAAGTTTTAAAACGATCTTCATAGTGCTGTTGAAGTGTGAGTGTGTCCCGGGGGGGGGGGGGTGTTGTGATGCATCTCCAGAAAATGCAAATATTTTAACCTTTTGGGGGGGGGGAAAGGGTGGAATAGACCTTATCTCTTCTTACTTCATCTTTGGGATGTCAACGTCCTTTAATACAAAGGAAACCTAATTATGGAAGCTGTGGTGTAATTTCATTTTTTTTTTACACATGGGCCTGATGTAAGGATTTTTTCTTTTCTAGAAGGGGGTGGGGTGGATGTGTAGTAAGATGTGCTTAAATGCATAGACTATACCTTTAATATACAAAGTGACTAAAACAATAAACATAATAAAATAACACTATATGGTCTTGCGTTTTCCTTCCAGCGACATGCAGAAGTTTCTGTAGTACCAGCTACTGTGACTTCATCACAAACATCTCAAGAGAATGTAAGGAAGGTAAGATTCAGTTTTCCATGATCAATGTCGCTCTCTCTCTCTCTCTCTCTCTCTCTTTTTCTCTCCTTTTCCCCTTTCTCTCTCTAGTTCTCCCTCTCATATTATTTTCCCTTCGCTCTCTTTCTCCTATTCTCTATCTTTCTTTCTTTTTCTCTCACTCTCTTCCCTTTACTCTCTTTAGCAATCTCATTTGACTTTATTATTCTGCTGAAAAGAGTTGTACCAAGATGTTAATTATCCTTAAAGTCATACCCCACTCATGTCAGCATTTACGTACTACATGTACATTTTTCATTAATTGTGCATTCTTATTCGATTTTCTTTATATAATATAATCATATATATAGATATATATATACACATTTATAACCCTTTTTTATAACTGTTTTGATAAATGTTTTTAGGTTTGAATGCTACCATTTATTAATAGAAAATTTAAATTGATTTTAAATCAGAAAAGTATTGGGAGTAGTTTTTTTCCATCATGTGGCCGGGTTTTCTTTAGATTTTGACACCAATTCCCCCCTATAGTCCCTGTAACAAGTGGGGGGGGGGGTTGTATGATTACACATCAGGGTTACTATATGTTGGGTAAGGATCATAATGATTGCATAGCATTAATGTGGTCTTGTATGTCTCTCTGCAGCAACACGCTGCACTTTCTATTGAGCGAGTACCAGCAACTGTGACTTCACTACAAGGAGCTATACAGACTGTTAGGAAGGTATAGACTCGGTCCATGAAAGATATCCATCAGTGTTTTCATACATTTCATG